GCCGCAGGCGGCCTTCTTCAACGGCCAGGACGGGGGGGGGGGGGTGAGGGGCAAAACTTGTCGGGGGAGACCGACCCCTCCAGATCCGCTGTCGGCTGGGTGTAAACCCGAAGGAGGTGGTTTCTAAACCCGAAGGAGGGTCTCCGTGTGTATGTTTATACAATTATTATTGCTTGTTTTTTCCCACGGGCCCAAGGGCCCATCATGGTCCTTTTTTGTTTCTCTTCTCTTTTGCGGGTTCTTTTGGGGTGAAGCCTGAAGGGACAGAAAAGGAACCCTGAGGTGGTGAACATTGATTGTGAAAAGGCTCGGCAAAAGTATTGGACCTTTAGTCTGGCTGAAGCAGTGGTGGTTGAAACAATAGTGTCTAAAACAACGCCTTAGGCAAGCAAACGTTTAAACGAGGCGTTCAAAGGGGAGCCACAGCAACCGTGGCTCTAAACAAACGGTGCTCCAAACAAAGCGGCGTTTAAACCAGCGGGTCCAAACATCAACACAAGTTAAATGCATCCTGTATATTTGTTCAATCAGTGATCCTCCCCCTTTTGGTTGTTTGCAGCTTCAATGCCCGGTGGCTGGTTTTCTTTTGGCTTGCCAAGTTCACGCGGGTCGGCTTCCTGCCGATGAGCATGGAAGTGACGCATGTGTTCAGTCCAAGCCCTTTGTTCTTCATGGAGGAAATGGTGTTAGCGCCTAGGTTCCGCGATGAGGGCACCCCCCAATGAAAAAGAAGAAGCAACAAGAACAAACATCCTCATGTGTGATCATCCCCCATAGTTCTAAAGACACAAATCGCGTCACGGGAGAATCAGGTACCACCAAGGTTTTGGGCCACTTTTCTTGCTATCTTCTCGTCATGGGACGTCGTCGACTCCACGTTTTGGGTCTCAGCAACGGGCGGGCATCGGCCCATCGGCCCATCGGCCCAGGTGAGCCACTTGCTCAAAACCGTAGATGAATTAGGTAAGTGATCCCCTTGCCACAAAAGTCGCCTTCTTATATTTCCGCCTTCATTTTCTTGAGGCATGGGATTTCCGCCTTCTTAATTTTCATGGTGGGGTTTCCATTTGGGCAGCGATCATTCGTTTGGGGCCCAGCGGCTCAGGTGGACCCCTGGCAGATGCTCTTCACCAGGCCCATGGGCCACCAGGACGCTTCGAACGGCTCGACGAGGGGCGGTGTTTGGGGCGGGGTTTGGGGCGGGTGGGACGGGAGGGGCGGGGTGTGGATGATGTTTTGGCAGTTTTGCTTGGGCGAACCGTTTCGGGTTTTGGGCGGAGGGTTTTTTTTGAATGTTTTTCGGAAACTTTTGGGTTTTGGTGGAGGGGTTTTTGAACTTTTCGTGCTTTTGGGTTTGGTGGATTGGTTTACGCCGGCTGGTTCGCTTCTTCGACTTAAATTTTGTTCGTTTGTTCGGATGATGTCCCTTCCGGGAGCGGATGCGAACCCGGAAGGACATGTTTCGGGTCCGTGGAAGCGGCTGAAAGTTTCACCGGGTCAAAAGCAGGGTGGGAGGGGCTTTGTTCCCACTTTCTGATACCACTGGATCCTGAACCCCGAGGAAAGTAGAAGAGTCATTGGGAAGGCCGTTTTTTTTGCCCCAAAGGAGGGGTAAAACTGCAACTGGTCCAAAGGAGCTGCACCGGGTCTTAGAAGTGATTTTGAGATTCCCGTCCAATGTGACCGCTTCAACAGATCTGGTACAATTTTTGGGTAGGTGCACCACCCATTTTAGTCTATTTTAGTGGGGATTGGGATGTTCACCGGATTTTGACCCATGGCCATCTGGATTTGTTCATCTTCGCAGCGGCTGCTGGCTTCTCCAAGGACAACTTCGGATCAAGCTAAAAATGATCTGGAGCGCGAGTTGCTGCATTTTCCCAGCAACTCTGACAGTTTTTGGGGTACGGTGTCTGAAACACAAACAGCAACTCGGCCATCTAGGGATGACCGAACGCCGATCAGAGTGGTTCGGTAGCATGGGCCCATTCCCCATTCATTGTAGTTGCTTGCATAATTTTTTGCTGTAAATTCTACCCCCCGAATAAGTCAATGCATTCTGCGAGATACTCTAGGTGGAGTCCAACCAATCTGCTCCTGGAGCAGAGATTGGTTTTTTTCGTGGATGGGATCATCCAGGCCCTTAGAGAGGAGAACGGGGCTTCTCTTGACTTTGGTCCACGGGGACCTGAGGATTCAAGCCAGGTAAGCAAAGGTGGTGATATGAGCCGCCGTTGTTTCGACGGCTTGAATCCCAGGGAACGCTTTTTGGATTGCTTTCAAGGCACCAGATCCGCAGGAGGAGAGCCGCAAGGCTGCGCTGCCGGACCGCAAGGTCTGCGTGCCCTACAAGGCGTGTGGGTTTTTTCACGCGGCAGGTTGTTCGGGGTTTGGTGCTGGCTTCATGACTAGCGGAATATGCGGAGAGAAGCTGACTGAGCTGGGTTTGGTTTCTTTTTGAGCACCATTTGATTCATTGGATGCTGAACCAGGATTCATTCAGACCCTGTTCATTCCTGATTCAGGGGGTGTCCAATTTGCTGGGGAGTAAGCAATCAGGGTAAAATCGTTCACACTTTTGGAGGAACCCCCTGTTCTGGAGGATCCATCCGCCACGTTTGGCACTCCGGGCAGTTTTCGGGGAATATGTTCTTCGAGCGTCACTTTGACGCGACTTGGGGAGTCACGCGAAGTTGGGCCTTGGGTTTCTTTGAGCCATTCATGGACGGCACTCTCTCGACGGGGCAAGTCTCGAGGGGTTGGACCCGGAAATGACGAGCCCCGGCCCCGTTTTGGGATGAACCGAGCTGTTCTCCTTGTGTCGGTCTGCTTTTTTTTTTCTTCTTCTTCCCTATGGCGCGAACCAGGTACCAACAGACAACTCCTACACTTGCAAAGGTCGACTTGCGAAGGTCAGGTTCTTGGCCAAAAAGAATTAAGGCGAGGATCCACACCCAACCCCCGTGGCCCATGGACCCTGCCGACTCTTTTTGCGTTTCTTGGGCGCTTCAGTGCAGAGGACCCGGCCTGCTGGAAGCGCAAGAGCCTGTTGCTCATGGAGACCTGCGAGTATTGCTGCAGCCCCTTCCAGCACAAGTCCGGCAGGCCAGGGAATCCGGATCTCTGAAAGATGAATCCCGCTCAGGGTCCCTGAGCAAGTCTCCACGGAAAATCGGAGAAGTGCGGGGAAATGGGGAAGACGCTCCTCAAAACCTTGTTGGGAGAGATTATATGACAATATGCCTCCCAAAGAAAGGCATGGTCACAAGCCCCGAATTGCAAAATGGTCCAGCTTTGCCTGAAGCGGATATCACACTCTGCAGCCTCGAAAGAAGCGGGCAGTGTGGAAGGCTAGTTCCGAGTTCCTAAAGAGGAGCCTCTTTTCTCCAATGGAAGTGGACTTGGGAATGAGCCGGAAGGGGTTCCCTTAAAGGAACGCATCTTGGGATCATTCCATTTCTCCTTCCCTGCCAGTGGAACCAGCAAGAAGACTAACAAAAAGAAAATATTACTCAAAGTAACAGATTGTCAACAACAAATACAATAGTAATTAGCTAGTATAAATGCTAAATTAAGTACCATAAAAAGTTGGTCTACAGATACTGCGTGGTGTCACCTAGCCCCCCCCAATTCGACGGAGATCCTTCCCATTGGCGGTCCAGACGGCTTTGCTGCTTCGCTCAGGGGCGCGGAGATCTGCTGGGATGGCGAGTGGACCTATGAGCGGTGCTGCCAGCAGGACTACAAGGACTGAAAAGGGAAAACGGGGTCGGAAAAAAGGCGGGGCTTTGGACAAACAGGTGAGAAGTGAAGCAAGGGTATGTCCTGGCAAAAGGGTGGGGAAGTTGTAAACAAAGCGCTCTTCCAGAAGAGGGTGGGGGGGTGTTGTAACCCAGCTTTTCGATGGACGCTTACTCTTTTTCAGGCTTCTTTGAAACTGCTCCCTGGTTCTGCCGGGTTATTAAAAAGGTCGCTTGGATTTGCCTGGCAATCGTGCGCGTATGCGCGTATGCGCGCTCGCGTGGGTTGCTGCGTGTCTCTTAAGCGGCCCGTTGTTCGCGGGTTTTAGAGGGATTCCACTTGGAACCTATCCATTTCCGGGGTTCCCATACTTTGAGATAAGGGTATGGGTCAAATTATGCCACCAGGGGACCACAGGTTTTAGTCTTTGGTTCCATTTACGAGGGTTCCATTTTGGGTACTGATTTTTGACCCACAGCCATAAAGATCTATGGGAATCCGCCGCAGCAAGGAATCCATGCAGCCGTCGCAGAAGCCAGGTTTGCCACCAAATTATTGACATGTTTCTTTGTGAAGGCAGGCCAAGCAAACACCCGTGTGCATGAACGACGCATTGAGGTTTCTTTGCAACCAAAAGCCGCGGTCACGGAAACTGGTTTCAAGCGGTTCGGGTGTTACTTGTCAGGCAATTTGGGGGTTGCTTAGAAAGGGTTCCAAGAAAAACCCAAAGGGAACCAAGGAAACGCCACGGTAAAAACACCAACAGAAGCAAGGAAACACCACAAGGAAACACCACAACAACACCACATGTGTCAAAAATCAAGTTTGGTTCTGTTCCTATTGCAAAAAGCAGGTCCATTCGACAACCCAAGGACTTGGTCTGCGAGATGAACCGGAAGGCCCGGGGACTCAACCGGCGGAGATTGGTGCGGCGGGTCTGAAGCTTGAGGATTGCTTTCACAAGGCTCCCTATGTTTGCTTCTGTTTTTTCAAACAACGCCATCTGGTCCAATATGCTTAAGGGGAAGCATAGGGTTTTCAGTTTTGCATGGAACAAATTATTCTTGAACAGGGCGGTGAGATGGCGCTCCGAACCTTGAAAAGGAGCAAACCATGTCGGAAGTGCATGTTTCTCATTCGATCGTTTCTTCCAAGGGGCTCATGAAGGGTCACAGATTTTGTCACCCCGTCGCGTTCCGAATGGGACCTTTTTGTTGGGCCTGGACCAAAAGGAAGCAACACGAAGCCAATCATCTGGTGTCCCGGGGGCCCAACTTTCCACGTTCAAGTTGGGGGCTGAATAGTGAGGGTGTTTGGCTTCGGAGATGAATTGGTTTGGCCTGGGTTCCTCAAGCCGAATGGGCAGCTTTCCACTTTTCCTCGCTCAGACGTTTGGACGTCTTGGATTTGCCGAGATCTTTCAGAGTGTCGATCCCTTGCGTTTCGTTAACTGGGAGCCCCCCCCAAAAACGCTTCTTTTCTTTTTTTTGCGGTTCCCCTTCCCGCCTGGGCAAAGCAAACCTTTGCCGGTCACCTTTCGCGCCAGCCAACTGCGCAGGGGGAGGAGGGGGGCTGTGTGGACTGCAAGAAGACGGTGGTGTACATGTGCCTCACCCCCACGGAGAAGCGCCTCAAAGACGCCCAGAACACCTACAACGAGAAGGCCGGCCTGCCCTGGCGCGAAGGGCGCGAAGGGCGCGAAGGGCAACCCCAGAAGTTCTGTGGGGTTTGTTTGTGAGGTAGTTTGTGGGGGTGAGTAGGGGGAATTTGTTGTGTGTATGTGTAAGGTCGGTTTGCTTTGTTTTGCTTTGGTCTGGTTTCTGTCTTTTTCCTTTCTTCCTTTCTTCCTTTCTTCCTTTGAACAAATCCTTCCCTTTTCATTCCTTTCTTTATTCCTTCCTCTTTTTTTTACAAGATATATATATATATAAGAATCATGTGTTCTTCCTTTTTTTCCTTCTTCCTTTCTTCCTTTTTTTCCTTATTCCTTTCTTCCTTTCTTCCTTCTTTTCTTCTTTTCTTCTTTCTTTCTTTCTTTCTTTCTTTCTTTCTTTCTTGCTTTCTTTCTTTCTTTCTTTCTTTCTTTCTTTCCTTCTTTCCTTCTTTCCTTCTTTCCTTCTTTCCTTCTTTCCTTCTTTCCTTCTTTCCTTCTTTCCTTCTTTCCTTCTTTCCTTCTTTCTTTCTTTCTTTCTTTCTTTCTTTCTTTCTTTCCTTCCTTCTTTCTTTCTTTTTTTTCTTTCTTTCTTTCAGTCGTTCTTTGCGTGTTCGTTTGTTTGTTTGTTTGTTTGTTTGTTTGTTTGTTTGTTTGTTTGTTTTGCTTTGTTCTGTTCTGTGTTGTTCGTTCTTTTTTTGCGTGGTCTGGGTCAACCATAACAGGTGCAACAATATGTTATTTTCCTGCATGTAATGAGGGGTTGGCCCAGGCTGCCGCCCTTTGGCCTGGATTCTCAGTGTCATGGGCCTTTCAGGGATTGGAAACCAGGGGACCGATCGATCAGAGCTTTGACTGCGGAAACGGAGGGGGGGGGGGGCTGGTGTGTGCTCTTTCTGACCAAGTGGGACGACTGTTTTCTCACGGAGAAAAAGAGAGAGCAACTCTTTCGTAGGCAGCCAACGGCCCGCCCAGCCAGTTTTGTCGAATAGCAGACCTGGCTGTTTCGAGTTTGTCACAGCAGCAAGGCCATTTCAGGAGCATACTAATCTATTGGATGACAAGGCGAACAACTTTCCGGCAGGGGCAGTTGCTGGCAAACAGCTGCAAGACAAACGATACAAAGCATCAAGGTTGCTTCAAGAACACTGATGCCATTTTTGTTCCAAGTGCGAAACTCCCAACAATGGTTCTTTTTTGGTTTCCCTCTCAACCGCAACAAGAATGCCATGAAAGCACAATACACCCACTTGTTTTGCCTTAAACCGCACACACACACACACACACACACACACACACACACACACACACACACACACACACACACACACACACACACACACACACACACACACACACACACACACACACACACACACACACACACACACACACACACACACACACACACACACACACACACACACACACACACACACACACACACACACACACACACACACACACACACACACACACACACACACACACACACACACACACACACACACACACACACACACACACACACACACACACACACACACACACACACACACACACACACACACACACACACACACACACATCACACACACACACACACACACACACACACACACACACACACACACACACACACACACACACACACACACACACACACACACACACACACACACACACACACACACACACACACACACACACACACACACACACACACACACACACACACACACACACACACACACACACACACACACACACACACACACACACACACACACACACACACACACACACACACACACACACACACACACACACACACACACACACACACACACACACACACACACACACACACACACACACACACACACACACACACACACACACACACACACACACACACACACACACACACACACACACACACACACACACACACACACACACACACACACACACACACACACACACACACACACACACACACACACACACACACACACACACACACACACACACACACACACACACACACACACACACACACACACACACACCACACACACACAGGTGTTTCTCAAATTGGGGAGCCCGATTGTTGCCCGTGTAACCCGGCCCACCACTTTGAGGGCTTCTGTGGCACAGAAGCTTCGTCAGGTGGACCTCTTCAACAGCATGCAGGAGAAGAGCGGGACTCTGGCAAAGGAGATCCGAGAGGTCAAGGAGGACAGGGGGTGCTCTTGGAATGAATGAACTAGGAGCGCGTGCCACTTGAAGATGGGATGGTACGGATAATTCACAGCATCTGGTGGATTTATAGGGATTCCCTTTTAAGAGGGAATCCGACCACCTGGGAGTTCTCAACAAGGTTTAATCCTGGTCAACAAAGGCTGACCCAACTGTGTGTGGGTCGGAGTTTTCCCTTTTGCGTTTTCTCCTTTGGTGGTTTCGACCTTCTATCGGGTGTTTCCACAAGGATATGGCCTTCTTGGTCCCCCTTATTTTGGTAAGTTCTTTTTATATCCAACAGTGCTCCCAGCCTTGGGAAAGGAACTGGTTTGGGCAAGCGGACCGATGCGTAAATCGGGTCTCAAGCCCAAGAAAGCACATGGAACCTAAGACGATCCGTGGACCCGAGTCTCCTTTCGGTGTGTGGGTTGCTGCCGTTACCCTGCCGCTCATTGGCAGGAGGGTTTTGGAAAAAAACCTGATCCGTTGGAAGCAGTGTCCTTTTCTTGGATTTGTCTCCCAAAATCCCCCCCCCCAAAACAAGAAAGTGGTACACCCCGGCCCAACCACGACCCAACCCTCCAACCCTCCCACCCACCCAACCGGTTTCCCATTAGTTTCTCCCTAAGTCACTGCTCCCTAGGACCTGGTGCAGAAGGACCTGGTCTATCAGGCCAGCCGTGGGAAAGGTCTGGCAGTCTGTTCTTGAGAGGCGGCCCTGCCCAATTTTATCACCTTCCAACTGGAAGAACTGTTGTCCGCGTCTTTTAGATGGAAGCCCACCTGTTTTCAGCGGGCTGGACATGTGTGACGTCATCCGTGGTATTTGTGACGCTCGTGTTAAAGAACGTGAGGTTTGTGAGATTGTGGACAGTTGGGGGTAACAACCCGGTTCACATGTTTAAGAAACACTCGAAAGGCATCTCATACTTCCAACGCACCGAAGCGTCAAAGGAGCCAGGGCCATTCCCTCAGGAACTCCACGCCGATCTCAACGCCAAGCTGAACATTTGGAACGTGGCCTACAACAACAAGTCCAGGCCATTTCCGGGTCTTTCGGCGTTTACCGTCGGGGGAGGCCGCCCTGGTTCCTCTGTGTTCTTGGCGTGGATTATGATCTGTTTCGATTCTTTGGTGGTGTTTGCTTCCGCATCTTTGCTCACACAGCCTGCCGGCGACCAAGGGCAATGTGATAGATCAGGATTTTGGCACCAACTCGTGATGCCGCCGCCCAATCGCCAGGCTGTCCTCGTTAGCCCGCCTGCAGCAGCAGCGGCTCACCTGGAACAACTCCCACGCGGTGTGGGAGGACACACGCTCTGTTCTGAAGGCGACCCGTCGACCGTCGACTCGACCCATCGCGCGCTCGTCCGCTGACTCTGGTGGAAAGAACCCTTCCCCTTTTTGGACCGGTCTAGTGGAGTCTTGACTCTTTTTTTAACACAACAACACAGAAAACCATTAGGACAGAATGGCTCTGGCCATTCTGCCATGAAGCCAAAAGGAACCCGTCCCCATTGGCCATTTGGAGGGGTCAATTCCGAGGTAGGGAAACTTGTGAGTGTGGAAGCCGGCTCGGAAGGTGTCAGCGCCTGGATACCGGGTTTTCAAACATGCGGGTGTTTGTTTAGATGAGTTGCGCCGCCTGTGAGGACTTGCTTGCCAGATGTTCGATCGAACAGGCGCTGGGGCCCCGCAAGAAGCAATCGCTGTTTTGAACACTGCAACAAAATCAAAAGAGGCCAAGCCTTGTGCCATAGGTCCTTCCGGGATTCGGAAAGTGAAGGGCATCATGCTGAATTCCAGTCTTAGCCTTTTGCAAAGTCTAGTTGAGACCCCCATGTGAAGGCACTTGCTTGGGCTTCGCGGGCGAGAGGTTCACTCGTGGAGTGGGGATGTTGACAGTCGCGACGAAGGGGGCAGAATGATGACGCACATGTTGCCAGGATCATGACCTGATTTTTGGTTTTGAAGTACCAGACCCGCAAGATTGATCGGCCGCAACTTGAGCAAGAACTTTTGGAACCCATGTGAGGAGGTTCCTAAGGACCACCATATGGCATGTAGTGCATTCCCTTTTGGAAGCTGCACCGCGGCAAAAGACAGGGAGTTTCGTTGCCAGAGGCAACTTGTGCCCCGAAAGGACTTGCAAGGGTCTTCCGGGTCATTTTTTCTTGCCAGACAACTGAAGTACCGCCAAAGTTTTACGCCGCTGTGTGAGAGCCCAGGTCAAGGAGGTTCACTAAGCAGTATTATTGAAGGCCACCTTCTCGCCACTTCACGCCTGCCCCATCGTTTGGATAGGACTATCCCCGAAACAAAACAAGAACCTCCTTTTACCCCCCGAAAATTCCAGCTGCGCTGTGTCTTCGAGATCGAAGAGCGAGCTCGTAGGGTATACTTTGCACCCCAAGCTCGTCCTCAGCATCCTCTGCATCACCTGCACGCAGGCCAGCCCAAACATCTGGACCCCAACACCCCTGGCCTTACGACGGGCTCCTGATGCCACGTTGCCCAGCCTTCAAAAAACACTGTAAGACCGTGCAAATCGCGCCAGCATCCCAGCCAACATCCTCGCCAACTTTACCAGCATCCCTCGCATTCCTGCATCACCAGCATCCGGGCTTTCCAGCGTCCCTTGCATCCCTTGCATCCCTTGCCCCTGCATCGCTCAAGCCCTCAAACAATTGCCCTGAGAGTAGGTTTTGGCGGTGGGCAGACATAGCGGGCATGTTTGTGGCCAAGTGAGCGGGGTTTCTGCGCAAGCGGGTACGGCGCCACTATGCACCGTGTTTGTTTGTCAGTTTTCCCGGCTTTCTACGGGGCTTAGAGCGGGGATGCAGTCTTAGTCTGTGGGCTTTGGGTGTGCGCGTGCGGCGCGTGGGTGGGTGTGGGTGGGTGTGGGTGGGTGTGGGTGGGTGTGGGTGGGAGGGGTGGGTGCTGAGTGGAGCAACCCCTGCAGCATTTACATGGAACCCACAAACCAGCATTTGAGTTTGAGGGACTTTGGGGGAACCCCTGTTTGGGTCCAGCTGCTCTTAGGACCCATACACCCAAAGGCCAAACTGGGGCCAGTGCTTTGCAGGGAAGCTTCCCTTGTGTCGGTTGGAGCTCCCATTTGGGCAGGTTTCCCTTTAGTTGACACCTGCCCAAATTATCTCAAAACAGTCCCTTTTTCGGCCAAAGATGGCCCCCGATTTGGAGACCCGAAGAGCCACGTCCGGCAAGGCTGCCCAGGCCGTGACCGCGGAGACCCAGCGGAACTTGTCGGACGCGCGCCAAAGCGAGGAGCCCACGCGGATGCGTTTGACTCGCGACACGTGAGAAGTTCCGGGTCGTTTATCTCCAGCGTCTCTTCGGGAAAGGGGGTGTATGTGGTATCCCCGTAAACTCTAGACTCTGGTTTGGTCGACCAAGGAAACGAGGAGATGGGTTGCCTCCTTTTTGAGGGAAGGAGTTGGCAACTACTACTGCTACACCTACTACAACTGCTACTTCTACTGCTACTACTACTTGTCCTAGTACTACTATTACCACCACTACTACTACTACTACTACTACTACTACTACTACTTCTTCTACTAGTACTACTACCACTACGACCGCTACTACGACTGCTACTACCGCTACTGCTACGACTACTACTGCCACCATCTGCTACGACTAGTACTGCCCCCACTGCTACTACTACTACTACTACTACTACTACTACCACTACTACTACTACTAGTACTAGTACTAGTACTACTACTACTACTACTACTACTACTACTACTACTACTACTACTACTACTACTGCTACCACTACTTCTACTACGCCCGTTTGCCAACGCACTTTCGCGTAGCCACTTTTCAACAAGCATGTTCTAGCCCCCGTAGCCAAACTCCGAGGGGGAAAGACAGCCGCATAGCCTCCGCATAGGTATGTGCTCCCAGCAGTGTATAGGCCCTTAAAAAAACACCAAAAAACAAAAACGGCTCATTTGGCTGACGGGTGTGCGTTCTCTAATTATCATGAAGCTCGAGCAGGTGTGCTTCTGCTTACTGTATCATTCAGCAACTCAAGATCATCGAGAGTGCGGCGTCAGGAGCACGGGTATATGACTGGCAGAGTTGTTGCTGCCTAAAAGAGATGACTTTGGAACATCATATTCTGGTCAGGGCCCACTTGCGTTCAGGCAGCTTGGCCGATGGTTTTCCGCGTGCCGCAGGAGATGGGTCGCCTGGCCCTGCAGCGGAACAGCTCGGAGTACCAACGGACGATGCAGGCGGCTTCCGCGCGGAGTGAAGCCAAAGTTTGACCAAGTTGAAGCAGGACCCCTTTCGTTTGATGATGGTGCAAGGGGCGGCGTTGGTGTTTTTAAATTCGGATCCTCTTGGCACGTGTTTTTCTTTTGAGAGTTTCAGTGATTGTTTTAGAATCCAGAGGCATCCCCCCCAAAAAAGCCAGAAACCCCAAAGAACCAGGCCCACGCTGCCAAAGGATCGTTCCAATTTCACGGGTTTGTGGTTACAGTTTAGTGGTAGTTGTTGCCTAGTTGCGCCGCTAAAACGGTCAAACTTGACCCACTTCGCCCACTAAAACTTAGTTAGCAAACTCTGCGACCGCCCCCATCTCCGCCCTTTTTCCGGCTCGCCGGGGCCCTTGTCTTTTTCCACCCGAACCCAAAACCGAAGCCCAGGCCTTCGAGGCGGCCTCCTCGCAGCTGCAGAGGGCCAAGGTGCGCCAGGCGCAGGCCCAGGACGCGCGGCGGGGCGCGCGCGTCCCTCTGCGAAAACGGGGGGAGGCGTCCACCGGGTTTCAAGGGGCTCCCAAGAGTGGATGGGTTGTGTTAAGGGAGGTGTCTGGGCAAGTGGATGGATGGGGTTCGATGGGAGAAAAGAGGTCAATGGATCAAGCTGTTTGTGGTTGTTTGTCCTTTTGATGGGTTGAAGTTTCGTTAGACATAGATGGGTAAACCACTGGTCTAGATTGGCTTGATGAACCGTTTACCAGAAGAAAAAAACAAAACATCGATTTGTCCAAAAGGACACATGGCTTGGGGGTCCAAGGCTTGTAATTCACGCCTCGGTGTCGCTTTCTGGGCTTCGGGGTCGGACTGATCTCGAAGGTTGTGACTTAAAACCTGGATCAGCACCAACACGTCCGGCTGGGGTGGTCTGAAACCCCGCCTTTTTGGCAGGGCCTCCTTTTTTTGGTGCATTTCCGAGTTCCTGGGCCATTTTTCAATAAGCACCGCCAGCCTGAGAATCGAACTGCGCCCTGTTCTTGCTGGCGCTCAGGGAATGTGAATATCTGGCCTCTAGACTTGCCTCCATCTTCTGTGCATGACCATGTGACCCGCCGGTGCATTTCGGTTTACATAGGAATTCCTTCGGCCATATTTGTGTCTTTGACACGCACACCGTGCGTGGACGGCTACTTGCAGGTGAAAAGGTTTGCGGCAGCGCGGACCAGATCAGAGAGGTTGAATCTCTGTTGCCAGTCAAACTGGTAGCGGAGCCTCGGCAGAGGCTCAGCCAAGGCGCGGTGGAGATCGCGCAGGTTGTGGAAAAGACCTACGTCAAGAACGTTGAAGTACGGGGTCTTCCCAGGGACAGGCAGAACAGCGAGCCCAACTCTCAGGACTTTGGAAACACCGAGCCCTACGGCACGGTCCTGAGCTACCTCACCTTCGGTGTCTACGGGATCCTCCCCCCGGTACTCTCGGGTGTCTTCTGTTGATAATCAGCTTTGGCATCTGTGAGGTGTGAGATCTTCAAGAAGAGCAACGAGCTTTACCTCGACTTTCTCTCGCCGGGCATCTGGGCGAGATGGCCACTGTGCAGGCCAAGGACGTGTACGTGACGTGGAACGGCGATCCGACCACCTGGGGCGATTACCTGCGGAAGGTCAGACTTCAGCACGATAAGACGCCCAAGCGGAAGCTCAAGCATCTGGGACCGGAATTGGTTTCCCGTTTGACGGACAGAGCATGGACAGCCTGCTCCGAAATTGACCACAGGCTTCTTCGCAAGAAGAGCGGCACCAAGTACCTCTTGCGCTTCCTCCTTGCCAGGTTGGGACAGACGGCCATCCCCGATGCAGGTTCCCGTCTCGAAGAGCTTTTCATCAAGCTTCGTCGACAACCTGGGACACCTATGAGTCAGTGGGCTCAACAGGTAAGGGAGGCCTATAAGAAGGTGCAACGGTCACTTCTTCGTGCCCGACATGAAGGCAAGGGTGCACTACCCGCTGAACCGGCTCGAGGTGAACTTGCTGGACAACGACCAGGTGCTGATCATCCTCGAGGAGCTCCTGCGGGATCCCGGCAAGGGCGATCTGGAGAGTCAGAGGCGTCCCGGAGATCGGATGCCATGCGGAAGAGCCAGAAAGCAGACGAGCAGTTCAGTCAACGCCTTCCTCTCCTACTAGAGGAGACCAAGGAGATCTGCAGGAAGGCGCAGCTCAGTCTGATCCTGGCCCTGAACTTCCCAGACTCCCGGAGGACGAGCAGGAGGAAGCCGACAAAGGAAACGATGGTGATTGGCGATGGTCGAGATCCTGGTGGAGTAGTGGCCAACATCAATGGGGCGCTCATCAGTGGCGTCGCGGTCGTGATGATTCTGATTCAGAAGATTCAGACGACGACGATGATCCCGACGTACCATGGGACGAGCTAGAGATCAACCCCATTGAGGTATTGCCTGAAGAAGTACTCGGATGGCTTCTGTTGCGGAGAGCGAATCTACCTTCCCAGGCACGGCTGAGTGTTCAGGCTTCGGTTCAAAACAGCCTGAGGTTCTCTGCCTTAAGATGGCGTTGCGGGACCAGGAGGAGGAGCTGCTGTACCAGGAACGGAAGTCGGATGAACGAAAGTTCAATCGGCCCAAGCGGACTTACTGGGTGGAGCAAGGTCAAGAATGGGGCCTCATGGACGTGGACTTCGGCGACGAAGACGATGATGACGCACGAATCCACTGGATCGGCAGAGAGCTCCCCCCCAAGGTCTACTACCAAGAGGAGCTTCCAGAAGAAGTGGAGAGTGCGTGGTGGAACGAGCAATGGTCGGATCCCTGGAGCTATGAGGACGTGTTCTACGGCGAGTCGGACTTCACTGTCGATGAGGTCAAAGAGCTGGAGGAGGCCTATGGCGTCTTTGAGAGCAAGCTGCGCACCTTTGCGCAGGCGAGGGCAATGATGAAGGCCAAGAATAAAGGTCGTGGCTTCTTTCAGCAGGCCAAGGGCGCGATGCCAAAAGGAAAGGGTTCCGGAAAAGGCAAGCCACAGTCCCCGGTTTTGGCCAACTTCCCCTCCGGCAAGAAGGGCAACGGCAAGGGCAGCAAGTCGGAATACACGGGCTGCTTCATCTGCGGCTCCAAAGAACATCGGTTTCAGCAATGTCCCCGTCGCCAAGGAGGTGGTTCGGGCGGCGGTGGAAAAGGAAAAGGATATGGTGGCGCCCCGGCCTACGTGGTGGTGACCGCCAACGAAGGTCCCGTCCCCGAGCTCTTCGGCGACGACGTAGTCCTGGCAACCACGGATGATGACAGCTACCGGCTATACGGGGTAATCGACTCGGGAGCCACTGAGACGGTGGGCTCTCTACTGGCTTTGGAGAACATCATGGAGACCCGGAGGAGTCTCTACGGGCCGGAGCCGGTCTACATCTACGGAGAGACGAACAAGTCCTTTCGGTTCGGCAACGGAGACCAGATGAAGGCCAGCAGCTACGTTGAAATCCCACAAACCGTGGGAGGACACACAGTGTACATGGGTATGTATACTCTTGATACCCCATCGTATGTTCCTGTTTTGATCGGCATCAAGACGTTGACACGTCTTGGCGCGGTTGTGGATTTCCAACAGCGCCAGGCAGTTTTCCGAGGACTCAACTCGAATGTAGTGCCATTGATTCACTGCAATCGCACGAGTCATCTTCTTATTGACCTCGCCCGAGACTGGACCAGCCCAGACCGAGTGGCAGTGTACACGGCGGTTGACTTGCATTTGGATTGGGCGCATGGCATCCATGAGGTTGAAGAGGAAGAGGATGTGAGTAATCATGATCAACAGGAATGGTCAGAACTGTTTGGTGGAGAGCATGCAGATGATGATCCGTGCTCACCGCAGCCGATGTGTGCTCAAAACGAGCAGGGCTCAGCTTTGGCTTCGGTGCCCGACCCTCTCCTCGATGGCAATGAGCTCTCAGACGGACAAGAACGAAGGCAGCCAGACGCCCGTGATCAAGACGGAATGCGCGGAGAAAGCCAAGACAGGCAAGAACAAGAAGGAGAAGCTGCCGGAGTCGGAGAAGTACGACCAGAGGGATCCACGATGCCACGGGGCCCCCTGCTTCGACCAGCACGAGATCATGCCCTTCTACAGGGGGAGCCTGAGCGGCAAGAATGCTCACGGTCGTTGGCTGACATGCGGGAAATGCCGATTGAGGATATCCTACGTGCCAGCGTTTGGGGCCCATGCTCGCTTTCGCCAAGCGGGACCCCTCTCCTCAGACGTCCATGCCCAGTTGGAGGAGAAGTCCAACGAGATTGTGGAGAACCCGGAGGTGCTGAATGCAACCACGGTGGCGATGGACGGTGCGGAGAGAAGCCTGGTGAACAAGTTGGCAGAGGTGAGAAGGAAGAAAGAGGAATTGAAGCCGAAAGCCAAAGCCAAGGCGGGTGCGGCTACTACCACTCCTACGATGAAGAAGATGACCAAGCGCGAGGGAACGGAGACGGCGGAGGAGCTGGAATCCCTGGAGGATGGCGAGTGGAAGAAGGTGCCTGCTTCGGGGAAGTGAAGGTGACATCGGGTGAGGAGAAGGCGAAGTTGGTGTGTAGCATCAAGGACGCCGTGGCTTCTGTGGACGAAGTTCTACGGGAGTTGGAAGGTGCATGCATGATGGCCAAGACCCCTCCGGTTGATCTGATTGAAGTGTGTTGCCCCCCGGATAGCTCGCTGTCCGGCATGGTGGAGGAGATGGGAGGGACGGTCATCCGAATTTGTGAGTCTCACATGAACCTTGCTACAAGAGATGGACTGATGAAAGCCGAAGAAGTTTTGCGGAGAGAAAAGCCGAGATGGATGTGGGTCAGCTTTCCCTGCGGACCCACCAGCAGTGTCCAGGCCCTCAACGAGAGGACCGAAGAGATGAAGGTGAAGAGCATGATGCGGAAGAAGAAGTCTCGCCGGCTGGTGAGACGCTCTATGAAGCTGCTCTACATCCATGTTTTTGAACATGGTGGACATCTGGCGTGGGAATGGCCTCAGAGCAACCAAGGGTGGTGGTTTCCGGAGGTTCAGCAGTTTTTCAAGGACGTGGAGAACCACTACGAGCTCTACAGAACGATTCTTCATGGTTGTCGAGTCGGAGTTCGCGCCCACGACGGAGGACTGATGAAGAAACCCTGGAAGATATTCACCACCAGCCAGGAGATGGCAAGTGCGCTGGATCTGCAGTGCACCAAAGATCACAAGCATTCTCCGTGCTTGGGGTCGGACAACACCAAGCGGTCTGCCTTCTACACAGAGAAGATGGTGAAGATCATCTCTCGGGTGATCCTCAAAGACCAGGGAAGACAAGCCCCTGGAATACGTCTGAAGAACATGGACGGCCACGACAACAACGTGGCGAACCTCGTCGACATCCTGGAGGACGCCGAGGAGGAGTTCATTGGTGCGGTGGACGACCAGTCCATCCCGAAGGAAGAAAAGTCAGAGATTCCGGAAGGACTCTCGGAACAACAATGGGCCAAAGTGCGAGAAGTGGTGAGAAAGCTGCATGTGCGGGCCGGGCATCCCTCCAACATCGCTTTGGTGAATTCTCTGAAGGCGAGAGGAGGAAGCGCTGCGCTGATTGAGGCTGCTCGTACGCTGCAGTGTGACGATTGCCTGGAAGCCAGAAGATCACACGCGGTGTCCAAGGCATCTTTCAGTCGTGCCAACACTCTGTGGCACACTCTGCAGATGGACATCGGGCAATTCAAGTATAAGAAGAAGATCCTGCATGTCTTGTTCCTGGTGGACGAGGCTTCGACGTTTGTGGTTCCTCACCTCATCGGCGAGCTCGACGAGGATAAGTCCATGAATGCCTCGGCCGAGCAGGTGGTGGAGGCACTGCAGGCATCATGGGTGCGGTTCTTTGGACATCCTAGCCTTCTAAGATGCGATCCTGAAGGAAGTCTGCGATCAAGACTCTTGGAAGATTGGTGTGCGAGAAGGGATGTGGAACTACAACCCTGTGCTGCGGAGGCGCATCATCAGATAGGCGTGGTTGAGCGCATGATCGGCACCATTCGGAAGAGTGTTGACCGTTTCCTACGTTCGGAGGAGGCGACGGCCTGGGAGGCGGTGCTGGCCATGTGCGCAGCTCATAACGAGCATGCGAAGGTCGGTGGCTTCAGCCCTAACCAATGGGCACTTGGACGTGATCCTGGACTGGATTTGAAGATGCATGAGAGCGGACGAGATGGAGCTCCCATACACGTCGGACAGCGCGACCCCAAGGAAGCGGTGTCCAAAGCAATGGCGGTGCGAACTCGAGCGGAGGAGGCGTATCGCCGGATGGTGGTGCAGGAGGCGATCAATCGCGCTTGGAACTCGAGCCCCAAGAAAGGTGAGATCTACATGCCGGGCGATTTGGTATATTATAAGAGGTTTCAGGCTCCTGGACAAGCAGTTGCCCATGCGGATGTCGATGTCACGCGAAGGCGGATGGCAAGATGGTTCGGTCCGGCAAGGGTCCTAGCGACGGAGACGCTGTCACCCTCGGGGAACGCTGAAGATTCTGTGCCGGGCAAGATCATTTGGATCGTGGCAGCTGGCAGGCTCAAACGTGTCAGCCCGGAGCAACTTCGTTTGGCTTCGCCCAGAGAGCGTTTGATCGAGGAGGGCACCAACCCAGCAGATTTTCCGTGGACTATCCATGGGATGCTCAACAAAGTAGAGAAGGGCGAGTTCGACAACTACGAAGACCTCTACCCAGATGGCGGCCGACTCCCTCTGATGTCTAGCAGAAAGCGAGGCAGAGCTCAGAGCGAGCCGCGGCCAAAGGCTGCTGCCAAATCTAGTGCAAGGGTAGAGGGAGGTGACAAGAGTGAATCAAGACCCATAAGAGGCCAAAAGACTCCAACAAGAAAGGGTGGCAAAGAAGGCCCATCAAGAGCGCAAGTAGGGACGGAAGGAGCACCGTCTGCGCCAAGAGAAGCGAGGGCACGCTCAAGGTCCCCTGTAGGAGGCACATCTAGCCCATCGGGCTTAGGAACCCCTGGTAGTGTAGTTGATCAGTCGCTGCACGAACTGCTCAATAATCGGCAGTTTGCTGCCGCTAGGCAACGCCATGGTGGCACAGCGGAAAGGAGCCGGTCATCGGCAAAAGTGGTGATGGATGAGTCCCTCGGTGAGGCGGTAGCTCTTCTCATGGACTCCGAGAAGGGCAAGAGCAACCTCATGCGGGACCCTGTCAACAGCTACCTGATTGACGAACTCGGCATTGGTAACAATGAGGTGATGGCGTGCTTCGTTGTTGACGTGCCCGAGGATGGCAAGGAGTTCCGGCAATTTCAACGAGATCCGGAAGAGTGGCTAGTGAAGAAGATTAAGAAATCCCCGGAGGTCAGTCTGTCGAAGATGGCTCCCGAAAGGGTTGAAGATTTCCGCAAAGCCAAAGAAGCGGAGGTCACTCAGTGGGTTCGTTCGGCAGCGTGCCGGGCGGTGGAAGGCGGCAGGCTCATTCCGAAGGACAGGGTGATGAAGATGCGGTGGGTCCTCACCGTGAAGGGCAGCGGCGCTGCAAAAGCTCGGATCGTGATCGTGGGCTTCACTGACCCTGATCTTGCTTGCTTGCCTAAAGCTAGCCCAACCATGAGCCGGAGATCCAGACAGTTGATGGCTACCATGGCGGCGACGGCAGGGTGGTCTCAGCTGAAGTGTGACGCGAAGAGCGCTTTCCTTCAATGCAGTCGGAACACGGAGGAATCGCGAAGCATTTTTGCGGTACCCCCGGATGAGTTGGCGGATGCCATGAAAGCACCTCGTGGCAGAGCAGTGCAGATTTTGAAAGCTTGCTACGGGCTGGTCAACGCCCCGTATCAATGGTTCTGCGAAGTGCGAGATCGCATTCTTCTCATTGGAGGCGAAGCTATCCACACCGAGCCTTGCATGTGGATTGTTCGCGGTCCCGACAGCAGTGTTTGTGGAATCATTGCCTCGCATGTGGACGACTTTTACATGGTAGGTGATGAACAGGACCCCACTTGGAACGCATTCTTGGTGAACTTCAAGCAGTCATACATGTGGAGCCCTTGGGAAGCAGATGTGTTTGAGCATTGTGGCATCATCATGCAGCAGCTTAGTACTGGTGAGATTCAGTTGGATCACAGCAAATATTGCACTGGCATGAAGCAGATCGACCTGAAGGATCGAGATGATCATGCTCCCGCCAATCCCACGGAAACAGAGCAGATGCGCGCTATCTTAGGTGCGGTTCAGTGGCGTGTGCAGCAGAGTGGACCTCAACATGCGGCGAAACTGGGACAGCTCTTGACCATGGTTAAGGCCCCGACTGTCGCTATTTTGCGTGAAGTGAACAAGTTAGTTCGCGAGGTCTATGCGGAGAGACACTCGTCTCCCCGGTTGCAACCGCTGAAATGTGAGCTCGAGAAAGTGGTGATGGTTTGCTGGACAGACGCGGCATTAGCAAATCGTGGTGACGGAGGCTCGACAGGCGGATACATAGTGGCGGCGGCCCCTCCGGCTTTGCTTGAAGGTCGTAGGTCACCTGTGTGCATGTTGAGCTGGAGATCAACGAAACTGCGGCGCGTGGCTCGCAGCTCGCTAGCTGCAGAAGCTCAAGCATTCTCTGAGGGTGAACAGGAGCTGATGTGGTGTCGTTTGCAGTGGCGTGAGATGCTTGGTGAACGCATCGACTTGCAGAGCCCGGGGAACAGTTTGCAGAAAACCCCTGGAGTGATGGTGACGGATGCCAAATCTCTTTACGACGCTGTGAGCCGTGGGGATGCAGCGACGAGCGGTTTGGGTTTGTCAGACAAGTACTCAGCTCTGGAAGTGCTGTCGGTGATGGAGAGACTAGCAGAAGCGAAGACATCAGTTCGGTGGGTGCACAGTGGTGCGCAGCTGGCAGATGGGTTGACAAAACATCAGCCATCATCGTGCCTGAAGAAGGCCATGACGGATGGCGCCTGGACGCTTGTGGCAGATGAGAACTTTCTGTCGCAGAAGAAGCGCAAGAAGATCGGGTTGGCAGATAATCCGGTCAACACAGAAGTTTCTGGCAAAAGACTATGGGGCATGTGAATATCTGGCCTCTAGACTTGCCTCCATCTTCTGTGCATGACCATGTGACCCGCCGGTGCATTTCGGTTTACATAGGAATTCCTTCGGCCATATTTGTGTCTTTGACACGCACACCGTGCGTGGACGGCTACTTGCAGGTGAAAAGGTTTGCGGCAGCGCGGACCAGATCAGAGAGGTTGAATCTCTGTTGCCAGTCAAAGGGAATGAGTTGGACTGAATCTGATTTTTCCTGAAAGGAAGCCACCAGTTGGACGGTTTGAATGGGGGGTCCTGCCCTTGGCCGCAGGAGGCGCGCGGTGCCGCGGAGGCCGCCGAGTCCTTGGCCTCAGGCAACGCCAGCGCCGCGGCCAACGCGGCGGCCGCGGCAAACGCGGCGCGGGAGGCGCGGTACGCGGCGACCGCGGAGCCGCTGCGGAGCGCCGCGGCCGCGAGGCGCGGGGTGCGGGGCGAGGTGCGAGAGGCCGGTTTGGAAGCGAAGTGGGAAGCGATCTCCTGGAAGTTCGTGGGGATATTTCCGGTTTTCAAGGGCAATGGCAGGAGGTGAGGGTTGGAAGTGGACCTAAAGACAAGGACGAAAGGGGTTGTGATTGTTTGTTTGTTAGGGTGAGCGGGCAGTCCTCGGAAGTCTGGACACGCGTCCTCTGGATTTTGCGGGTTCCCCCAGATAAGCGTGCCTTCTCAAGGGTTGGCATGTGTGTTTGTCAGCCTTGGCTTTGGCTAAATACTTTTAGGCATCACCAGTTCAGAGGCATCACCAGCAGAGGCATCACCAGCATCAGCAGCAGCACAGGCATCACCAGCAGCCATGGATGCGGATTTGCACGTCGCGCATGGCCAAACAAAACAGATTCGGATTTTTGTCCGGGCCTTCTCCGGATTTTGCGGCCTTCTCCGGGTTTTCGTGCTCCCCCAACCTTTGTGTGCTCGCTCCTTTTTATTATTATTATTTGTTTTCTAAAAAATATTTAAAACAAAATATGAGAAGGCCCTGCCACTTGGGAAAATCCTATGGCCACAAATGAGGTACCTTACAGTAAAAACGCAGATCGGCTTCTCCCCGGGGTATCGTGCATTCTCACTCCTTTTTTTTCTCCGGGCGGTTCCCCCCAGCCGGTTCTGCGCCGGGCTGCTCGGGTCCCCTTGACTTGTGGATCCTTGCTGGTCTTTGACAGGGAAGACAACCGGGTTCCAGTCCCAAGTCTCAGGTCTCAGCCCAGATGGCTGAAGCGCCAAAAGAGAAAGAGCGCTCAGTGCGTTCGCAACGCTTTTGGTGTGGCTGTGGGAAAGTAATCAAGCAAGTTTGTGGGTATAGCGGCCTTTAGAACGGTTCCAAGCATTGAGAAGGCATGGTTTTTCTGGGGAAGAATCCTCGGGGATGGGGGTCCAGACCCTCGAAGTCCAGAATCTGCAGAGTTTCCTTTGGACCTGCAAAATGATCAGAAGTTCAAGTGCCTGGGAAGCGAATTATTGTTGGGGGCAACAAACCAAGAGAAGAAACCTGATAGTTTGGCCAAGCCGAGCACATGGTCCAGCAACTTCCTTTCCTCAAAGTTTCTAAGGTGGTTAGTGGGGTGAGCCCCTTCATTTCCCCTCCCATCTCAGGCATTTTCTGGGGCCTCTCTTCATGTTACAATTTGAGGTTGACCAAAGCATATGCACCATAATCTCGACATGACCATTTTTGTTTGGGGGGCAAAAGCTCAGGAACACTCCAACGCAACTGGCTGTCAAAAGTCCGCAAGGGCCCCTTTCTTCAGGACAAATACAAAGCGCAGCTAGGAACCTCTCGCGGCGCTCCGCGGTGGAGTTGCTCTCAGCACACCAGGACATCCGACTTCGACCCATTTGATGCAGGGTCTCCGGTCAACATACCGCTTTTGGAGAGGCCAAGTTGAAGGGCCAAAGCTTGACTTCTGGTTCGTCTTAAATTGTTCAATCTTTCCCTGCGACTCGGTGGGGGAAGGGATGGTTGGTCCGCTTTTTTCCTTAGTCGAGGTCGGTGGGTTGGCGGATTGTTGGATCGATTGGTCGGTGAGTCGGCCGGTTGCTGGGTCCACGCCCTAAGCCTCACACTAATTGCGTCGTACACCTCCCCAAGCACACAAAACAAAGGGAACAAAACGTACCCTAAACCCACCCTGAACATACCCACCCAAAACATCTCCCAGAACACACTAACCCCACTTAAGCCTACCCTAAATCCCTAAACCCACCGTAAACCCACGTTAAACCCAGTGTAGATCGCTACCCTGAACCCAGCCTAAAGCATTTGAACACCTAGCCTAAGCCCAACTTAAACCTCCCTAATCCCTAGCTTGTACCCGCTCTAAACTTATCCTGAACCCACACTCAACCTGCCCAATTCCACACTGAGTCATGGGTGAGCTGCGTCAGAATTCGAGGGGGGTGGCTTCCTCTAGAGAAGGTGGCTACAAAGACCATTATCCGAAAAAGGTCCCTTACTAGGGTCTCGTTTCCCGCTGATTGGTGATTTCCCCAGGTTCCCCCAGCAGATTTTTGCAGAGCAGGATCCTTTTTTCGGGTTCCATGACCGCGGAAGTCTGCAAATCCCTCCTATTGCCGCCAGGAGGCCGAGGCCCGTCTGGCGGCCGCGCGGCGCGCGGCCAGGCCCGCGGCGAAAGCCTCGGGCTGCGACTTCTTCGCGCGGCCGGGCCCGAGGCCGGGGAGTTCTTTTCTTGCTGCGATGGGCAGGGAACGAGAAATGGAATGACCGAAGGACCCCAAACTGAACCATCCAACTCGTGGTTTCCTTTAAGCCAGGTTCATTCCATTTCTCATTCCCTGCCTATCGCACCAGCAAGTTATCTTTGGTGCGTTTTGCCCGGATGTTAGGACTTTAACCTTTTGCCAACTAATGGTTTTTCCATCAAACCACTACAAGTTGAACTTTTAGCAGGGGAGCAGAAAGCAAGCGAGTTGTGTTACCGGTGCAAAGGTGAGGCAAAGCAGTTGACCGCAAGCTGGTTTTGGGCATGTTTGCAAACCCGCCTACAATGGCGAGGCGTTGGTTCAGTGTGAGATCTCTTAAGTTATCCAAGAGGGGTCCCCAATGTCTGAATGAACCCACATGTACAACAGCTGAAAGTGTAAACAAGTGCACACCTGTTTGAACACAAGTCAAGATAGATGCAAAAGGTGTATATATATATATATATATATACATATATGTATATATGTATATTATATATATAAGCATCGTTGAATCAGACCCCGCTGCTTTTTGACTCCACATCCCTCACCGGCAGGGAAGTTCATCACATCAGGCTTCCACCGTTTCACAGTGCAGAGACGCGGCAATTCTCTAGATTAGATCAAATTAGGACAGATCACAATGGAAGAGACTCAGATATGGGTGTCCCTTTTTTTGAGGCTACCCTTCTTGTATGTCTCCTGTACAACCCCCATATGTTGTCTTCTTCAAACAAAAAATCCAAAAACAACAGCTCCAGCGCTTTAAATATAACGCCTCTATAACCCCCGCAGGTTTTCCTCTAAACAAAAAACAGAACCCCCCCCATACTTCTACGCAAAAAACCGCACCAGCTCCCGCGTTATGTTTTTTTCCCCCAGGCGCCCGGCGCCGTCTCCGCGCCTGTCGGGCGCGGAGAAGAGCGCCGCCGCGGCCACGGAGGCGCGGAGCGCCGCCGCCGCGGAGCTGCACGCGGCGCAGCGCGAGGAGCGCCTGGTGCGGCGCATGGCGGCGCGCTGCGGCGAGACCCGCGGCGCTGGAGGGGAGTGGCGTGGGCGTGGCGTGGGAGTAGCCCGGGGGCGGGGGAGAAGGGGCTTCATGAATCCAATTCCGCTTCTGTGACAACCTTGGGAATCTCTCTTCAAAGTTTCGGGGGTGAGTCTTAAGCCCTTTTGGTTGTATCACAGAAGTGGATTCCATGTCCCACAGGTCTGGTTGGAGCCCAGACCTGGCGGCTTTTGTTGTGGTTTTGCTTGAAAGGCTGAAGAATATATGAATCCTCGTTAAAGGGAGAAGGTAGTCATGGGAATTGTAACTTTGGTATCACAGCAAGCGTTATTTTCAACAAACCATGCAAAGCTTTGAACAACTAGGACCGGACTAGATCTGGACAGGCCATGTTCCTTGTTTCTTGCCAAGGCAAAAAAAACATGGGTGTGGTGAACCAAATAATGGATTCTTTGGTTGGTGAGTTGTACCCTGTCACCAAGAAACATGCGTGCAGAGACTGCTTGTGGAGGACTAATTTCTTTTGGACAGAGATGTGCACTTCCTTGTTTGTTGCTGGGAGGAAATACTAGCAACTCAAATGGACACAAGGAAACCAACCATTTTAGGGGACCCTACGCTGAGAAACACCCTAGTGACAACTTTATGTTCCCCTAGTACTCCTTTTGGGCAACTCTTCTTCATAAACGGAGCCGTGACAAGAGCCATCTTGTTGGTCCCCCTATTTCCTAGGCCTTGAAGGAAAACCAAAGTTTCCCTTGACTAAAAGGATGCTTTTCGGAAGGGAACCCCAAAGGTAATCTCAACAGTTCGCGGGGGTTCCCGTGAGGACACACCCAGCATTGCCTTTTTGGTAGGTTGGTGCTCTGCAGGTGTCGTGGAAATCTGCGGTTGGGCAAAGAACGGAGGGAAAGGCAGGGCAGTTGTTCCTAGTGCTTCCTAGATTTCCCTTTCCTGGTGCTGTTGAACATCACCTGGTAACTCGGAACCCTGTGTATGGCATATCCAAAACACCCCTTAGCAGGACCATGAGTATTCCTTAACGAGGAAGCCATGACCTGCAGGAGTTTGACGTTTGGCAAATGACCTCCAATGCGTCTGTCCATTAGGCTAAGATTCGACGGTTTCTAGTACTCTCTTTCCAGCGTTCGTGGAAGTGGACGTTGCGGAGGCCTTTTCAAGAGGACTGCAGTCTTTCAAAACCCTCCAGTCGTCAGCTTCCATGATTGGACCAGAGGCAAACGCACCTGGGTTTTGAAATGGACCAATGACCAAGGAATGGCGCCGAAAAGGTCGAGGTCGAGACCGGGGCGAAAAGCGAGGCCGGACCTGGCTGAAGTAGCGGTGCCAGACCTGGCTGAGTTTTTTCCCCAACAGCTGAAAGCTTTGGGGTCTCAGCCCAGATAGGCTCCGGGGTGGTGCGGGGCGGCCCTGAGGTAAGGTTCCACGAGGGTTCCACCAGGGCTGCGAGGTGATCCGGGGTGGTTTGAGGTGAGGTTTCACGAGGGTTCCACGAGGGTTCCACGAGGGTTCCACGAGGGTTCCACCAGGGTTCCACCAGGGTTGCACCAGGGTTCCACCAGGGTTCCACCAGGGTTCCACCAGGGTTCCACCAGGTTGGGTCCGGGGTGGTTTGAGGTAAGGTTCCACCAGGGTTCCACGAAGTTTCCACCAGGGTTCCACCAGCGTTCCACCAGGTTCTGCAAGGGCTGTGGTGTGGTTCGAGGTTCTGCGAGGTAAGGTTCCATGAGGGTTCCACAAGGTTCTGCAAGGGCTGCGGGGTGGTCCGGGCTGCGAGGGCTGTGGGATGGTCCGGGGCGGCTTTGAGGTAAGGTTTCACAAGGTTCCACAGAGTTCCGCAAGGATTCCACAAGGGTTCCACAAGGCTCCACAAGGTTCCACAAGGGTTCCACAAATGTTCTGCAAGGTTGGTTTGTTCTGGAGGGAAGCAATGTGTCATCGGAGCAGTAAATTGAGGGCTCAGAAGATCGCTTTGCTCATGGGCGGAACACTAAGCAAAACCGAAATCAATGGTTTTCAGCACACTTTCACTGTTTTGTCACTTGCTCACTTGCTCAGGCACCGCGGCTCGAAATGCTGGCTTTGTGGCAGATCAGATCACGCTGCTGCGGGACTCACTGTGCAGCAGAGTAAACGCTTGGCATTACTGAGTGTTACTTGGTGGGCTTTGGGTTCAAGGGCTGTAAGGTTCCAAAAACGCTCCACGAGGTTTCTGATTACCAGGTTCTGCAAAAGCTATGGGGCAGCCCTGAGGAAAGGTTCCAACAAAGTTTCACGCTGAGTTTGACGAGGGTTCCACGAGGACGGTTTGCGGGCCCCGATTGCACCGTCGGGGCCCGATTGCACCGCCACAAGGCCTGATCGGGCCCCGATTGCGCCGTCGCGCCCGGCCGACTCAGTCGGGCCCCATCAACTGTACTAAGCTGGCGTTGCCTAGTTTTGCTAGATACAGTTGTAAGGCCGCATCCTAAGGAAAACCGGCGTTGAGCTAATATGGTTGGCTGGGGTTGGCAGGAGCCCGCTTGCACCACGGGACCATCGGGCCCCGGTCAAGGCCCGACCCGATTGGGTCCCGATTGCGCTGTCGGGCCCCGATCAGGGCGCGATTGCGCTGTCACTCCTAGCTTTGCTTTACAAAGTTACAAGGCGGCATCCTCAACAAAACCGGCGGTGAGGTGGGTCGCGGGCGTGGTGCTGTTGGGGATATCGCCTGAGCTTATTTTTTCTCCCAACAGCTGAAGGCTTCGGGGTCTCAGCCCCGATAGGCTCCGGGGTGTGCGGGGCGGCCCACGAGGGTTCCATGAGGGTTCCACCACATTCTACCAGGGTTCCACCAGGGTTTCCACCAGGGTTCCACCAAAGTTCCACCAGCGTTATTTCCACAGGATTTTATAAGAGCTATAAAAGGGTTCCACCAACAGGGCTCCAGCAGGTTCCACGATCTGCGAGGGCTGCGGGTGGTTGGGGCGGCTCTGAGGCAAGGTTCCACGAGGGTTCACGAACATTGCACGAGGTTCTGCAAGGGCTGCGGGGCGCGGAGCGGGTCTGAGGCAAGGTTCACAAGACACCAAAATTCCACGATGTTCTGTGAGGGCTGCTGGGTGGTCTGGGGCGACCCAACACAGTTCCACAAGGGTTCCACAAGGGTTCCACGAGGGTTCGTGGGCAGCCCTGACTGCGAGGGTTTCACAAAGTGCTCCACAAGGGTTCCGCGCAAGCTCCACAACGGTTTCACGAGCGTTCGCGCACGAGGTTCTGCCACAAACATCCACGAGGATTCCACAAGCGTCACGAGGGTTCCACGATGTTCGGGAAGTCATGGGGTGTCCGGGGTGTTCCACGAGGGTTCCACAAGCAATGCTTGGTGGCGCGCTATGATTGGTGGCTTGGATTTGTGGGCGCTGATTGCACTGTCGGGCCCTGACGGGCCCAGTCGGGCACCGTCGGCTGCGCCTTAAAAGCTAAAGCGACAAAGCAAAGCCGGCGGTGCGCTATGATTGGCCCCGGTCGGGCACTGTTGGCTGTACCTTTGTACAGGTAAAGCGGCATTCTAAGCAAACCGGCAGTGGGCTATGATTGGTGGCTTGGATTGGTGCCGGTCGGGCGCAGTTGCGCTGTCGGGTCCCAGCACCGTCGGGCCACAGTCGGGCAACAGCCAAGGCGACAGAGCCAAACCGGCGGCGCGCTATGATTGTTGCTTGGGCTACCGGGTTGCACTGTCAGGCCCTGGTCGGGCACTGTTGGCTGTACCTTTGTACAGGTCAAGCGGCATCCTAAGCAAAACCGGCGGTGCGCTATGCTTGGTGGCTTGGATCGGTGGTTTGCTTCCCGGACTGCGGCAGGTTTCGATCAGTGAACTTGAGACCACTTAGATTCCGTTTACCCTTAATTTGTGGTTTGGGGAATGCGAAACCCATCCTTGACCACCAAACCGCTTTCCAAGCCACCAAACAACGAGGGAGGCCGAAGTAAGGGGACAGGTGCCCTTGGCCTGGCGCTAGGCCGAGGGCCTGCAGTGCCTGCTCTCCAAGACGCCGGCCAACCGCTCCGCCGAGCCCAAGCTGCCCGGGCAGCTGCCGGCGCAGTGCGCCAAGGAGAAGCCAAGCAAAAAGCGAGCTGTGAAGGGACTCTTGTGATCCGACGACACATTTGTTTGGGTTCATTAGGGTTAGAGATCATATGATTTCAAGTGTTTTTTCTGGTGTGTGTGTGAGTGGGGTGTGGGGGTGTGGGGTGGGCGAACACTTTGCCTTGGAAGCCACATGCACCTCTGGATTTCCCCGGTGCTGAAAGAGTGCCAACAGAGCGCAACCATTGATCAAAAATACAGTTGATCCAAAAAATGTGTAGATTTGACCCCTCCAAAAATGTGTCCCTTGTTCAATGGGCAATCAGCATTGAAAGGGTTTTCCAACTTGCAATCGGGAAGCCGAGAAGGTCGATCAACTGAATGGGTTCCACCCGAATTCAGCTTGAACCTGAGTACTCAGGTGGAGTAGTCAGTATGTTAAACTCCAAAGGTGGTATGAGATTGAACGCTTTCCATCGTAGCATATGAATCACATGATGTCACGCGGCAAGGTGAATGAAAGTGCGACAAGTGCCTCTTTTTGGTTATGTTGCTAAGGACACCGGCATCATACTGTTGTCCATGAGGTGTGGAGTCCACTTTTGGCGTATACATGTGTATCCTTGCTTGTCAGCTCCCCCGGTGTTTTCCGCTCTCTTCCCACTGAGCTCCTCCAAGTGGAAGATGTTTTACAGGGGCAAGCATATCAAACAACAGGCAACAAATCCTGGCTTTGCTGGAACGACACCAAACCCAGCAACAAACGAGGGCTGGGGGTTGCACTTGTTTCCAGGTGTTGGATGTTACCAACTCACGCAATTGACCGGGACAGTTGCTTCGCTGTTGCTTTTGGTTTGACCTGCGCCGCAATTCGCACCTGCGTAGATGAAGATTTGTTACGAGGTTTTTGAGCGGAACCGGGGCATGCAGGGTAATATTCACCCAGGATGAATCCCTACGTAATTTTCAGAGCGGGGGGGGTTCCATTTTAGAGGGAACATGCTCGATTCATGCGGGCCAACCTGATTTGGAGTATGAGGGGCGCAACAATTACACATTTAATTCTTCCATGAGGAAACGCAGTCGGCCGTTGCAACAAATCGTCAGCTCGATAAGTCGACAGGACCGGTGCCAAATCCATGGCACCTGCACCGTGAGTTTCTGCGAGGGCGACGAGTGCCTCGGAAGAGCGAAACGGATAAAACGACCTCCGATGGGGTGTCAGTTTTTTAGGCAAAAGTTTTGCAGTACTGTTCTGAATGTGGTTGGTTTAAAGGGAGGGGGTCCCTCTATTGTGACACATCGTCCTTGTGAAGGCTTTTGGTCCTTTTCAAACAATCAATCCACTTCCCCTTCTAACCGGAGGGTTAGTGCCACCAGAGTGAGCGTCCATTTGGCGCCAGCTTCGCAAAAAGCCGAGATTTTCCGGTGCCCGCCAATCCATTGGCAAGCAGACCCCATGGTCTATGGTGGGACTTCGGCAAACTGGACATGTATCTTGGTATCCTTGTTGGAAAAGGAGTGCCATGCACAATTTTTAGGCACACCATACTGAGTCAGGGTGTGTTCTAAATTGGGGCTTGATGTATGTTGCAAGGACCGCAGCGGCTCATGTGAAAATGATTGCAGATTAGCTCTCCTTTGAAGCCGGCCCCCAAGAAGCTCCCTTTGATTTTGACAGCACAGCATGAGCTTGATCTTAGGCCTCACAATTTGAGCTTGACCTTCAGAGATCCTCTATGACTTTTAACACACGAGGGTGTGTCCCACAATTAGTTGTGTTTCGAGCTTGTCCTGTAGTAAGTTCAGTATCCTCATCAAAGTTCAACCCGCGCTCTGTATCCGTATTTGTCCCCAGTCTAATTGGTTCCACCGAAGCTCCGCTTTCCATTCCAATTGGGTGTGTCCAAAAGCGTAAATTTGGGTGGGACCCTTTGGTTTCCCTTTCGAAACCAATCCAAGAAGGGTGATCGGTTTTCGGAGGCACCTACTTGTTACAAGGGAGACCCAGTGTGGGAGCACGCCCTAGTGCTGGCAGGGGTGCCACAGGTTTGGAAATTGGGGTGAACCTCTCAACTCCCCGGAAACGTCTTCAAAACACGGGGTGCTATGGGCCTTGGTTTCCCTTCGGTTTCCTAAAGAGGACCGCAAAGGGGTCCCAGAAAAGGACACCGAGGCCGAAAGTTCAAATGGGACAGGGTAAATCAGAAGCGGTCCCCCATCCCGAAAGGGAACCCTCAGGGCCCCTTTGGAAAATCGTCCAGGGGGCAGCTTCTTCGCCCTCACAGGTTGTCCAAAGGTTTTCCTATGACACAAAGCGCAAAAGGTCCAGCCCATTCCGGGCTACTTCCAGATACTTCACTCGGACTACTTCGGGTAAACAATGTCCCCCAGTGTTTTCAGGCTCATCGTTTCGACGGTTTCTGGGCCTCTTGAAATTCAGCAACTGCTTGGAGAAGTCGCCAGGTGCAACAGCAGCTGGTCAGTGGATGAGCCAAGGGTGTCGGCGCTCACAAAGCAGCTCTTGCAACTCAGCTTCCAAGACCCTGTTCCTACCTGTTTGGCTGCTTCTTTTTTGTTTTTTTGTTTATTTTACCTGTTGGGCTTCCCCGGTTTTTCATTTTTTCTTATTTTTTCTTCTTTGTTCTGTACCGGCTTTTGTTCCCGCTTGCTTGGCGTATTCTTTTGGCAGCTCTTGTTCCCAGTTTCTTTCTGGGCTGTCTGCTGCCCCTTTTTGGGGCTGGGCATCCCGTTTGAAACATCCAACAACTAACTGCTGTTGCGCTGTTCATGATTCCTTTCCGGAGGGTCTTCCCTGAGCAACCAACACCGCCAACCCTGCTCCCTGATTTTGCTTGGGCTTTTTTTAGGAACAAGTCGCAATGCTTCTTTTGTTTGTTCTCTGGTTTCGGGCAACTGCTCAACGAAGACTCGTTTTTGGAGGGGACTTCCCTCCGAAATCAGCTAAACAAAAGGAGCACATTTTGCGTTGTTTTTTGTAAAACAACTTTTTACTGGGAAGACCCCCTGCCCCCTTGCCCCCTTGCCTCCTGAACCCCCCCCCCCTCCTCCATCCTGCCCCCCCTCCTCCCCCCTGCCCCTCCCCCCTATCCAGTTGGTTGATTAATAGGGGGGTGTGCCTTAAACGTTCCAGGCCTCAAATTCGCCCAACTCGGTCCCGAGGCAAGCGCGGAAGATCTCGCAGGAGGCCTTGGCGCAGTCCAGGCATCAGCTGGGCCTGAACGCTGCTCGCCCGGAACACGAGAAGGCGTTGGAAGCTAAAAGAAAGTAACTTGTCAAATAAGAACACATCCGGCTGGAGTGTTGAACCTGCAAAAAAACCGGCGACAAAAAACCCACGTTTGTGAGTTGATCACGGTTTCTAAGAATCTCGCCCTTGCACAGCTCCCTTTTTCCAAGAGGAAGGTCGTCATCCAAGTGGGGCATGTACATTTCCAGTTGTATTTCTGTTGTAGGCGGCTGGACTTTTACATCAACGGCCACGCATTTTGGCTTTTCTGGCCAGTCAACTGAAATCACAGACTCAGAGACTTACCGGAAATCCTCCGGTTCTGGATATACTTGGAACTTGCCCGACTTATTGGTGGGAAGCAAACCCTCTGGAGTCCTGTGAAAGTCTGCTAGCATTGTCCAATTGCGTGTGCAGCCCGGTGTTTGTTGGGGCTGCTGGCGTCCCCATGTTGGACGATGGCCGAGTTGATTTGAATGTGTATCTTTTTCCGAGGAGCCTCTTTTTCCAGTTGCGTTACCGGGAAACAGGAAAACTCCACACTAGCCCCTTTGATGTTTGCTTGGGGACGCCAAGGAAACATCACTTCCTTTTCAAGGGCGCCCAGAAAAGATGGGGACTTGCAAGAGGGAACGCCGCCCAAAGGTCTCCCCTTCGAGACGGCCCCTTGATGGTTTTTCCCTTCTATCTGTTCTCCAACACCTATGGGTACCTTAGTCAATGCGCAACCGAAGCGGCGATGTGACTTCGCGACTTTAGAGGCCAATACCCCAACCATCAGTGTTGTTTGGGGGGCTGCGTTGGGGGGAGCCTAGGTGTTCCGGTTTACAACCATATGTACATACATGCCCACAAATATAGATAATGTACATGCATGCATGCATGCATGCATGCATGCATGCATGCATGCATGCATGCATCCATCCATCCATCCATGCATGCATGCATGCATGCATACATGCATGCATGCATACATACATAAACACACATCTATGTATGCATGTATTGAGATATGTATTTAGCACATGTATAGTATGCCAAAGGAGGCTTGGCACCGTGGCACAATTTGTTTAAGCAACCATACCTTGCCAAAAGCGTGTTTAAGCAAGGGACACCAACAGGCGGATGTTCAAAGAATCGCGATTCAACCATGTGGGTGTTTTTTTTCTCCTTTTTTCAGGACTCACCCCCCACCCCCTTTTGGGCGCAATGGTCGGTTTTCCTTTTAGTTTCCCCCTTTACCACCCAACCAAAAGCAAAAACGGGGGGTTCCCCTAAAAAAGACGAGCCACGTGTCTTCGGGTTGCTAAACGTTTCGTTTCAGGACCATAGGTATCCTTCTTGGTTTGCTCGAAAACTAGATGGCGATTCCTGGTTTACCTGGTGCTTGAATCATCTACCAGGGAAACCCATCTTCTTTTTTTTTGCAAAAAGGACCTGTGTGGCCATGGCCTTGTCCCATAGTTGCCTTTAATGATCTATTATCCCCCTAAAAGGGGACACCAGAGCCTCAGGACAGCGAGGCCACGGAGATCTACGTCCCCGCGGCGCTGACGCAGGCGGTGGAGGACGCCCAGTCCGCCCACAAGGAGCCGGCCGCTTTCTTTTGTGGCCGAACAGGGACGGGTCCGCGGGGATGTTTTTTGGGGGGGAGGGGGTGGCCGGCTTTTCGGGGTCCCGTTTTTTTTCTTCTTTTTGTTTTCTTCTTTTTTTTCCCCTTCTTTGTTTTTGGTGTGGTTTAAACGTCACCTTGTGGGCCAGTTGGTTTTAGCATCAGTTTCTTGTGGGCAAATTTGTGGTGTACTTTTGGGCGGGGTGCACCGACGGTGCTCACAAGGCAATTTTTGTTGGGAGTGGTGGACGCGAATGGAGAGTCAATTTGAAGCAACCCTTTCCGTGATACCTTGGCGTGATCGTGTTTTTGTTGCTGCTTGTCATTTGATGACTACTTCGTCACTTCAAAAACGAGATTCCTCTTGGCATAGGAAGGAGCCAAACACACTGCCAAAGGGCAAAGAAAATGGGCACTGCAACTTCTCCAGAAACCTATCGAGGGGATTCTCCCCAAAGGGTAATTGTCACAGAATTGAATGCAACCCTCAATTCCCTGATCAGCGTATTCCGAAAATGAGGAAGACTAGTGTCGCCAAAATCAGGAATTCTCTTGGCCACCCACAGAACCTGAGACAACCCGAAACTTTCCCAGAAACCCAACGGTGGATTTTCGCAGGGTATCATAGAAAATGGCCAACTCCCCTTCCCATATTTTGCAGCCCTCGGACATATCCTCGATGTTTCGGTGATCATGATATCCGATATCCTTATGATCACGATTTAGATTTCCAGTCATTCCTATCATGTCCGGTTGCTCCAAATGGGCACTTTGTCCCAACCTTGGGCTTCTAAAACGAACTGCAACCCCCTTTTTTCTTGGAGTTTTGTTTTTTTGGGGGGGGGTCCCATATTTTGAGTACCTCCCCCTCCCCAACCCCCCCTCCACCCGCCTCAACCCCTCTCCCCGCCTATGGTCTCAGGAGGCGCAGAGCCGGGCGCAGGTGGCGGGCAAGGAGGCCGCCGAAGCCCAGGCGCGGCTTTCATTTCGGGGGGTCCCAGTGGGGGCGCGGCGCGTTCTTTTTTTGTTTGTGGTTGTTTGTGGGGGGTGAGAAGGCAGTTTTTTGGTATTTGTTTTTTTTTCGCGCTGCGTTTGTTTTGTTTGTTTGTTTGGCCCCCCCCAGTTTTTGATTATTGGACAGATATGTTTCCAAGCGATGATGTCATCCAACATGTAAACCGGACCTTTTGAGGCCAACCCCCGCTTGTTGTTGAGGGTCTCCCCTTGAAGTCAACCCAAGGCTGGCCCCACTTTTGCCCATACTGGGCCTCTGTTTTTTGTTCTTCTTTTTTTTTTCTTTGTTTTTTTTCTTATTATCATTGTTATTATTTTCAGAGGTCTCCAAAAATATGAGACATATTTTAGGGTAACCGAAATATGCAGCAGAATCTGAGAAGATTGATTTTGGTGCACCCCAGAGTTGGGCTGAGCTTTTGGTTTGCTTCGGTGAACCAGTTTTGTTCTGCTGTCATTTCTGGCGAGCTCACGGGGCTTTCACGAGCTCACAATGACCCCTTTCTTGGGGAGAGTCCAGGTTTGGAAGTCTACCACGGGGCCCTTTGATCGTCCAAACAAATGGCTTCCCCCGTTTCATCTTGTTTTTATCTGGAAGATTTCATCGATGAAGGAATGGGTTTATTGTCGCGACTACTTGACCAGATTCCTCCAGCCCGACACGCGCTGACCTGAAGCTTCTCATGGTTCTGGCGTCTGAATATTCGGGTGCCGTGAGACCAGAATCCCCGGGTGCATGCCAGCGATGCAGGAAAACTGTAATTGTGTTGTTGATCAGCAGACCTTGGCCGGAGCTTCGAACTGGAGTACTGTACCTAATCAATGATGTGGCTCTTCGCTGACAGGGTCACCCGCTCTATGCGTGTGTTTAAACGCCCGACAACAGAGAGCTTATGTGTGGGTTGGTCTCCAACTGGGGGATCCCCAAGCCGAGCTTCGGTTTTTTCCATTCGTCCCCGCCGCTTCCCCTTTTGAACCTGGCGTGTTGTTCTATTTGCCCTTTGAGACGCGGAACTAAGCACTCCGGACTCCCCACCCACCTCCGAGTCGGTTTGCTAGCCCCAGAAGCGCAGGGGCTGCTGGACCGCGCGAAAGCGGAGGAGGCCACGCTCTTGCAGCGGCAGCAGGAGGCACGGAGCAACCTCTTTATTAATAGGGCGGTGGGAACCCCTCCAAAAGTGGTCTCGTTCCCCACTAAACCCAGGGACACCCTATGAATATACTGGGGTTGATTAGTGTGGGGTCAACATTAAGCCCTTAGTAAAGCCTTAGATAGTGGTAAGGCCTGTTCGGGTCTGTTCAGGGGGCAACAACCCCTTTTCGGCCGAGCAAACCAAAAGATCCACCCCACAAAGGATCAGGTCCAAAAACAGGGCCCTCCCCTTGAAGGGTACATATGGAGAACCCCAGCGCGGCACCCCCAACCTTCCACTCTGCCCAGGAGAAGAAGCGGCTCCCAGACACCCAGGACCCTTGGGCGTGCACTGAGCTGAGTCGACTGGTCATAGGAGGTTGATTCAACACGACAGTTGGACAAACTCCGCTTCACAGGGCAAAGCAACAACCCAGGGATGGTTAAAGTTGGAAATCGAGTTGAAGCATATAAGGAAGTAAAGCGATTGGGGTTGGGAATGGAACTCAACAATCGGAATGTTTATCCAACGATGACACAGCACAAATTGCAAAGTGTACAAGTTTGAAAGTCAAACTGTACAGAAAGTCAAGAAAGTGTTCAACTGTACAAGTTCATGTTCAGAGGGAAGATCTACCACTGACGCACGGATCACCTGCCGCAGGACCAGGAGCGCAGCCTGGGCTCGCAGCTGAGGATCTGGGAGATCTATCTGGAGGCCGGGTGTCGGGTGTCGGATGGCGGGGGTCTACTCGTGGGAGACGAGTTGGATGGCCGTCAGAAGGCGAACTCCTAAGGGATACCCCGTGCTTCTTGTAGGTTTTGTTTGAAGGGAATGGCGGTGGCGAAGGGATGTTCGTGGTTCTCCCCCCCCCCCCACCCCAACCTGCAGATTGTAGGAGAAGAACAGCAAACGAAAATCTGCGGCCGTGGCCTTGATTTTGAGCCACGCAATTTGTTTTGCCCTGTTTGTGGGCAAGCCACTCCAAGCTAGACTCCTGGTCAAGGCCAAGATTTTAAGTATGACTCCGCTGGCAGAGCGGCAACACTTTGTGCTACTAGGTTTCTTCATCATTTAAGGCCCAATAAGTCAAGCTTTCATGGACAGTCAAGTGAGCAGTGGACTGAATCACAAGGGCGCCCTACCTAGACTGCCCCTTTGCCATTTGCCGCGTTCGCACGGCGAAAGCGTGTGGGAGCTTTGCGCGGATGCTTGGTACCGACCTGAGAAGGGAGTGTTCATTGCCAATCAAAGCGCCTTCTCCGGCATGACGAAGAGATCTACCCAGTCAGAATCTATTCTGCAGACCATGGAACCCAAAAACTGGAGGGGGAAGGGGCCTAGGGAGATTCTTCCAAAGTCAAAACAAGACTTGCAGCGTACCTACGGTCTGAGGACCCTGGACTCACCGTCGCAAGGAAAGGGAGATTGGGTTGGATTCAACCCAAGCGACTCGATGGGATCGGACCAAAGGTGATTCCCAGATCCTTCGGAGGTTGGCAGCCCAGGTGAGTCTGTGACACGACTCGCCCTTGTTGGATCGGACGCGGACCAAAACCGCGGAGTTGGAAAGGTGCCAAGAGTCGCTTTGGAGTCATGGCTTCAGGTTCCATTCGTTAGGCTTAGGTTGCAATGGGGTGACTCCTTGGTCCCTCTTCCAGTTACGTGGTCAGGAATTTACCAAACCCGGCAACCAGCGCCATGGGTAACCACTATTTGGGAGGAACCAGCGTCGCTTGGGAGGAAAAATGGGGGTCTGGTACTCAAAAAGGAGTCCAACAGAATTGCCTACCAGGTGAAGCGTCAGGTTTGGTTTGCCCGAATATACCGGCACCTCCCAGAATGGCCTTTGGTTCCTTTCAAGCACTCTCAACGTGGACCCGCACTCAGTTTACTCGTCCGTATCAGGCCAACGTGTCTGCGGTGAAGCAAAAGCGCCAGACTTTTGTGGACCTCAGGCGCGAGAGATTCGCACAAGGGGCTCAGGTGAGTCCAAGGGTGACTGTTTCTGGGGCTTATCAAAGTCAGAAAATAAAATGGAATCGGCTGTTTCCCTTTCACCCACCACTTCGGGGGTGACTCTGATCATGGTAAAATATTGGGGCCAGGAGTGCCCCGACCGAAGCGACGCACAAAAAGCTGCCCTGAGCGGGGCCCTCAGGAAAGGAGCCCACCGCAAGGGAACTTTCCAGTCACATCAGCTGCGAAAAAACATCGCTGGGCCCGGAGCTTTGAGGCCGCGGTGCGGTAAATCTACAAGAAGATGCTTCCAATGTCCAAAATATGGATCCAACCCTCCTGAGACCCGAGCCTGTACATCTTGGCTGTCCTTTCCAAGTGGAAACTACCTGACCCCCTAGATGGTCCTTATCTTTCTCCGCCTCTCTGGACGATTTCAAGATCCTTTTGGTTGCCACTCTTTTCGTGAGTTTCACTTCGGTGAGCGATGGGGATATCCAAGGAACCCTGTTTCAGCCCATGGTTGTTCTACAACACGTGTATGCCTACTCAAGCTGTTCAGCTTTCAACTCAATAAAACAAATAAGCTGGACCATTCGGCAGGGCAAGGAGTCTACGCAACAATCCCACCGAGGCAAAGAAACGCCTGGGTTCTTTTGCTTCCCTGTTCTTGGGGAAAAAACACCCACAAAAAGGGTGGTTTCCCTTTGACCCACAAAAACAAGGTGGTTTCCCTTGGACCTCCTGCCCCACGCCCCCCAAACGGCGACCCAAAAACGAGCCGCTCGCCAACGCCCCCCGGCGCGCAGGCGCCGGGCGGACGCCGCGCAGCTGGGCGCGGCCAAGGCGCTGAACGCCTCGCAGCGCGGCTTCGCGGCGCTGGAGGCCGCGCTGAAGGAAGGCGTCGGGGCGGTGCCGGTAGCTCGGGGGGCCGGCGCTGGACTCCCCGTGGCTCCTCTTGAGACATGCAGTGAAGCTGCTTGGGTATGGGTCGATTCAAAAAAAGCAGGGGAACCGCGGTTTGAGCCCATGTCTCCACTTAGGGTTCCAATTAGTTTTCGTATTTTTTTGCTTCTTGTGGTTTAGTGCTTGAAATCCAACCACAAAGCTGCTAAAAAAAAATGAATTGTTGCTCCGCTTCCATCGTCAACCAAGCTAGGGGCATGGGTCAAAATGAAACATATCAGGGGGACCGCGGTTTGAGTCCATGTTTGCAAATAAAACCTTTGGGTACTTTTTCTTTTTGTCCACATCTATACTCCCCCCCGTATTTCCCACCCGCAGAGGCGGTAGTTTAGGGGTGGGTTGGTAGAATCTCCCCTACATCCCCGCCTTGGCTTCTGCGGGGAAAAAAGGCAAACACCTAGCTGATCAAAAACTCTTGGACTGAATGTGGGTCCGATCGGCCTCAAGCATCACAAGAGAAAAACAACAAAAACACAAAAGCATTGATTCACGTTGGAGGGGTTGCGACACTCAATCGAAGCGGCCCGTGAGATGGTTAAACCACCAGGTGAAAACTAAGGACTCGTGGACCCAGCCCATTTGTTTCGTGCAGGGGACTACATGCTCGCAGAAGTGATGCACTTGAAACGCGGCGCCCGACCATCCAATGGTTTTCGTAGGAAAAATGCCAAATCCATGGGACCCTCTACAAAACCATGCGAAAACGAACCGCAGCTGTGTTTCAGCTAGGCATGGCTCAGCCCGTCAGGGGTGTCTTTGGTTCGTATTGGGCCAGCTGGGGCTTGACCACTGCTTGGCATCAGTTTTTGGCTTAGTTTGGGGTAGGCCTGGGTGGCTTTGGGGCTGGCTTGCGTCAGGTTTTGGGGCTTTGCCAGGGCTGAAAGCAGTGTGATGTCTTGTTTTTGCAAGGGTTTGCGCCTGGTTTTGACTCCAAACTTCCCCCCTCCCTCGCACCACCCTCCCCCCCCTCAACCCCCCCCCCTCAACCCCCCCGCCTCTCCACCCCCCCCCCCCCCACACCGCCTGCTCTTCGAAGCTCGACCCCCGGTGAGGCGAGGCGCGGAAGCGCGCGGAGGCGGACTTGGCGCGGCGGGTGGCGGAGGCCCAGCGCCAGGTCCAGGCGGGGCCAAAAACCTCGGGGCTGGGAGGTGTGGAATTGCACGGCTCGATGTTCTTCCATTCCCTTTTTTTTAGAAAAAAATCCCCTGTTGGTTTTTAAAGGGGATTTGTCACTGCTGGATTTTTTTTCATTTTTTTTTCGGGGGACTTAAGCAAATGGAGGTTTCTGGCAACCCCATTTAAAATAGTGGTCTGCAAAATGAATTCTAATTTGGTTTGGGGGGATTGAGGAATTGAGGGGGAATTAGTTGAGAAGGGTCAACAAGAGTCATGATCATAAGATGATGTGTGTCCTTGGGGTTAGACCCTTAGGCTACCTTTTTGGGTGGGAACTGCCCATCTCTTGGGAAATCCATGGTGGGGGAGTGGGTGAACGGAAGAAGCTACACCAACACTTAAACTCTGAGTCGCGTTGACACCAAACCAAAACCTGAGCCCCAAAAGGCTCAGCTAGTAGACTGCAGTGTTCTTATCATGTTTGTTTGTGGGTGTGGTCGCAGGCATGCGAGCGATGGGAATCGGTCAGGTGCGCGCGTGATCGGATTTCAAGATGCACAAGTGATTGCAGTCCTTGGGCGTACTCATTCGTTGGGTGGGCGTCCTTTTGATTTGCTGTGAGCAGTCCAATCCCTTGAGCCGTCACCCGATCCCTTGAACCGCCCTCCAAACCAAACCTTTGGTGCATTTTGCTTGCATGTCAGGACTTTGACTTTTCGCCAACGAATGGGTTTTCCATGAAACCGCTAAAAGTTAAACACTTTTAGCCGGGGAGCAGCTTTCGCAACCGAGAAACCCCACCTCTCAAAGAGGCCTTTCGGATGCTTGGAGGCGGCCAACGGCACACTCGCGGACAACCTGACGACGCTGGTCTCAGCCTGGCTGCAGCAGCAGGAGAACACGCAGGTGGGGAGCTAAAGAACCGCAGGTCCAGACTAACCACCAAAAGCAAAGGGTGTTTCAACGTGTAGTGGTTTTTGCCGGCTCCCTTAAATTGGGCCGACATTTCGAGGGGTTCTGCTCACCGATCGATGTTTTTGTTCCTGGAAGCCTCCATTGGGGTCAACTTGAGGATGCTTTCATGGACCCAACCCGATTGGAAAAGGGCCTCCTCAAATTGAAGACAGGCATCCTTGTGCTGTAAAGGTAGCACGGAACGCGAGAAGATCCCATGGACACTTTTTTTACAGAGACCTCCAGGAATGCATGGATTGCCGAACAGCGCTCAGCTTTTCGTGTCTTCAGTCAAAGTAGATTGAAACGCCCCATCCGATCCGTAAGGTGACTTGGGGTTTGCGGGGGCTGGCGGGTGCCCAGACGGTTTGTCTCAAGTGGCACTGAGGTTAAAAAGCCAAGGAGAGGTTGGATTCTGGTCGTTTGCTATTAGGCTTTAAGGCTTTGGGGCTTTGGGGCAAAAGTCTCTTGAGACCATGCACCCAAAACGGGCGCACCAACATGATTTTGATCCCCCTGAGAGCAATGTGCACGTGGAGCCTCAGTAGGTCCTGTGTAAGGTATCCCCGGAACACTTCCCAAGATGTGCACAACTAGAAGTCTACAAGCCATTGAGCCAGTTGGGTCATCAAATGGCTCAGGTGGGAACCAACAGTTTGTTTGACCAAACATGGCCATGGGGCAGAAGAAGGCTTCAGGTTTTGGCAAATCACGGGGCCAAAGCCAACTTTTGTGAGGCCCAACGCTCCTCCCGCTGGAGCGAGCGGCTGTTGGCCGCGGCCAAGGAGGTGCTGGTGACCATGGCGGGGGCCTCTGCGGGAGGCACCAGGCGCCAGGTGCGTGTCCATGGAGAAAATTGTTCGGATGGGCTAGCGTGGGTGTCCAAGCTTTCTTGGGTCCCATGAAGAATTGTTGTCACGTATCCAAACAAGTTGGTCGAGCCAACTAGCACGGGAGGAGCGAAGCGAGAAGGAGGTTTATCCAGTGCTTTAGGGACCAGTAGATTCTAGAAGTCGGATGCATCCTATGACCGTGGGTGACTTCAAAATATAGCTTTCCCTTGCGACCTTTGCCTCCTGGTTGTTCAATCCATTTGTCGATTCGGTCGGAATCTGCCGGAGGAGGCTTTTGAACCCGAGGGTACCCACCAGAACTTGTCGTCTTGAAGGTTGCGGGCTTCGGCTGGGTGTGGGCACCCCAACTCGAGAGAGGTAGGGTCCTTGGAGAGCTTCCTGGAGAACTACGTGGTGAGCCTTTCCGACAAGGACGGGGCGTGGGGAGTGGTGAAGTGGGGGTTGGGGTGGGTGGGGGTTGGTGTGGGTGGGGGTTGGGGTGGGTGGGTGGGTGGGTGGGTTGTGCTCTTTTTGTGTGTGTGTGTGTGGAATCCTTTTGAAGCTAGTTTAAACGTGCTCTTTGATTCTCTGGGAGGTGGGGTTTGTTTTTTATCCTGTACTTGGGGCGCCGTGGGCATGCGGTCTGTCTCCTTGAAACATCCCCAACCTTCCTGACTGTACCTGGGTGGGGGGGGTTAAACTTCCGAAACCAGTGGATGCAAAGCCAAGCCGAAATGTCAGCTCGTTTGTAGGGCGGTATGTGGAATTGATTGACATCTCTCGTGGTGGTTTCGATAATCACTTGTTGGCTTTCAGAAGTACTTTTGAAGCCCTGATGTGAGTAGAGTTCACAAACCAAATATATTTTTTTGGTCATCGTAGGCCTCACACCATCAATCAATGACTTGAATGTGCACTTAGAAAAGAGAAGATCTGGAAGTTGGATTTCGCTTTCCTCTTCAGAACCGTGTTGTTTTTGCAAGTTCAAATCTGCACTTGTGAATACCTGGTGAATAGCGGGCGAGACTGAGCTCAAGCAGAGAAACCCTTGGGCGCGCCTGATGCAGTTGCACGTCAATCCCGCTTGGCATTCCCAGGCTTCAAGCTTTGCCAACGATTCGACTATCCCATTTGGCTTTCTGTACTGGAAAGCTAGGCCCCGACTGGCCTAAGATGAGGAGGGCTTGAGGGATGCGATGGAGACCAAGGCCAAGAGCCGTTGCAAAGGCGATCGGGAGCTCAAGGCAGCGACGCTTCCGACGCAGCTGCCCTCCTCATTTTCGGATGGAGAGGTGTTTGTGGCCGCGCTGCGGCCAGGTGATGTTCCACACTTGAACAACCCCTGGTCTTGAGTCCGTTGGGGCAACATAACCATAGGGAGCCTTATCTCGGGAATCGCCCGAGTACATCTTTGGCAATGTCGAACCAGGCGGACGAAGCAGTGGTGCAACTCCCCTTACTGTGGGAAGGAGTTTTCAACTTGAAGACTTAGCGATTGGGAAGGCCCTTCAATGCCCGCAGCCTAGTCTGAGAATAACTATGTTTAAAACTGAACTCCAAAAGACAATTTTCTGATCCGGTTGTCGGGTCAGGGATTTAGAGGGGAAATTTACGACATATTCCAACATGGCATCATCAAATCGCTATCAAGCTCTTAGTTTTGGGGAGTTTGGAGGAGGGCTTTAGATGGCTTCGGAATGCACAAGTTGAAAAATTGTTCTCATTTTTGCAGGGGTCCAAGATCTAAGGCCAGCCAAGCAAGGGTCGTGGTGTCACGGGGTGAGTTGGCTGTGGCTCAAAACCAATGGGATCCCATTTTGGTTGGTGAATTCACCACCCATCTTAGGCTTCCTATTTTCGTGGTTGGGATTGAATCGGATGTGCACGATTTGGCCAAAAGTCGATTTCGGCTGTTGAAAAGCCCATGGCCACCTCGTTGTCGACGCCGGACGCTGGACGCTGGACGGACGTTTTTGGCCAGGACGCCGTCATGAAGCTGGTGCAGGCCGTCGAGAAGCAGCAGGACTGCCGGCGCGATTTGTCGGTGATCGAAGTGGACCCGAGAGAGCGAGTGGAACGCCAGGCCTAAAGTCTTTTTTTGGGGAGGGCGGTGGTGAAATCTTTCGAATCCCAAAGGAAAGAACCCTTAGACCACCCAATTTGACGCTCATGTGTCTTAACCACTCCCTCAGTGTCTGAACCAATCCCAAAGTGTTTTTTTCCCCTAGACACACATGTTTCAGGGCGGTCACCATGGTCACCACGGGTTGCCCAGGCCTGGTTCTCCCGAAGATTGCAGTATGCAACGTCCGCTTGGGATTCCGGATCTGTGCAGGAGGCGGAGCTGCAGCGATTGGCGGCGAAGAAGGCCTCCGAGCATGCTTTGGAGCAGGCGGGGCCATCTTTGGGATCCCCTTAATGGGTTTGACGGCTGTTTTGGCGACAGCGATGGACGCTTTTTTGGCAGCCGTCCCTGGAAGGCCGGACTAGATCTGTTGATGTTTGTGTCCATGACAACTTGGTGGCTGCGTGTTAAGATCAGAGACCCTTTTGGGGACGGTTTGAGCGAGATCCGTGATTTGGAGGGTTCCATGCTTCAGCCAAAACCTTGAGTCGTGCCCGCGATCACGAAAAGGCACCTCTTTTAGAAGGCCATCTTTGTGGCTCTTTCTTTGACTTCGCTACGAGCGAGACGTCACCTCCTTCAATGCAAGGCTTTGGGTTTGTGAGGTTTGATGATCGCCCGATTTGTTTGCCATGCCCAACATACGGCCGGTTTTGCGTTTCAACGACAAGCGATATGGGCTTTGTTTGGCCCATTTTCCTTTGAGGCAGTGAGTCATGGCGGGTTGTACCAGTGAAACGATGGTAGACCCAGTTCAATGTTCGAAAGCAAGTTGGGCCCCCATCTTGGCTGCTGGTTGGCCTCAACACCTTTAACCGTTTGGCAAATATTGATGTGTCTTAAAACGCGGCATCCCCAAAAATGGTGGGTCCCTTGGGTGCGTGCAAAGAAGAGTGTCCACCAAAGAAGTGCCAGCTTTCGAACTGACGAGCAAGTGCTGAACTTTTTTGAGTGGGCTGGACACTGTCTAGGGCTTACCCGTCTAAAGCTTTGGTTGGTGTCTTCATTTCATCAACGGCCCAGGAGCCCTGTTTTGTCAACGTCATCTTGGGCGCGTCTCTGACGCCTGACCCTAGGTCAATTTATCAGCTGGCACCCAGGTTTGTTGCATCCCCAAGAATGACTTCAACCCAACGGCTCTGAGGCAATCAGCCGCTGGATTTTGGTGTCACTTTTGGCCAAAAACCGGCGGCGCCTCACACAATCCCCGGCGCCTCAAAACCCAAATCGGCACGAGGTGCGCGGGGCCAATCTCACCCTGGCGCAGGCGGAGGCGGGAGTGGAAGAGTCGGAGGAAAGGCCCTAAAGGCGCAAGGTGACCTGTATTTTATTAATCGTTGGCCCAAGAGTTCTAGAGTCGGTTTCCATGAAAATGGTTTAGAGGCCTTCCAAAAATGTGCCACTCGTTGAGTGAAAGGAACCTAGTTGTATATTTTTGCAAGTGGTATTTTCCAACTAGATGTCCATGTGAACATCACTTGGGCTTGCTTGATTTGCAAGCTTACAAAGGGATTCTTCAGTGTTGGGGGAACCCTTTATTCCCCCTTGTCGCAGATGTGAGGTGTGCATTTGCAACACAACCCGGATTGGGAAGGAGCAATTCTGGTGGTGGTCAGTTTTTTGGCTTGCTTGGTCATCCATTTGGTTGGTGTTTAGGGTTTAGGGTGGAACAGTGTCCAGTCAGTGAGGATGTTCTAGGTGAGTTTACTTTCGTTTTGGTAGCCTCCCCGTTCTCCCTACAAGATACGGGTGGCCCACTTCTATCTTGTGGGGCCTCGGCCCTCCCAGACTACCTTAGATCAAGATAGAGTAGTTCACTAGACCTCTTAGGCTGGCCACGGCCCCCGTCACACGAGCCGGGCGGCATGGCTAAGTAGCAGAATAGTGTAGACGACGCACGCTTGGCGACCCAAAGCTTCCTTCAAAGACACGCCGGAGGCGAACCGCTTCCGCAATCTCTCCGTTCACCGTCCGCTACCAACCATACGACCCAAAACACCAGCAGCCGCCAAACGAGACCCACCGCCGACCACCGAACAAGTGCCAGTACCAGAAACATCCCATCAAGACAAACCCTTCGCGAAAAGGCAGCGCAAGGGGCACTGGGACCTCGCCAACTGCCGGCTGCGCGCGAGCGTCGCGGGCCCAGGGATCCCACCTCTACGGGGCCCAAGGCCTCGAAGGCCGGTACACTCCACGGCTGCTACTGGCCCTGGGCGTCTCTCAACCCTCACGCGGCTAGGAATTGCACGACACGCCGGAAGTTAGTTGCTTGTGGAACAGATACGCGCACGCAAACACAAGGCAAAAATCACAAACGCAAACACAAAACAAACACAAGCACACAGACACAAACAGACACAAACGCAATGTTTGGGCTTAACAGGGCGCAATTCCAACCTTGTCACTGTTTGTGCTTGGACCAATGGAGTACCAGAGGCCGCCTGTCTCAGTCTGCTGCCATTGATTCCTTTAGATACTGAAATTGTGCAGCGCATGTGGTAGCGGCCATATAGCAAGGGTTGGTAAACGCCAGGGTCGGTGTGAAGAATCCTGGTACAAGCACTCCAGTGAAGACTGCATTAGCTTTTCTATTGAGCTAGTTATCGTTGTCGTGCGCCCCCTGAGGTTGCACCTTTGGTTGCAATGCCCGGGTGTTCTCTAGTTGCTAAGGAAGTATATACTTCTTTGGTAACAAACAACGACTGGCTATGCGAGACCAGTCCCAGCCAGAAATAGATGTGGATATCCGCCCTCTTGATTTTAATTATTTTAACGCCGACATTACAGGCCTGCTTTCTTACTTGCGTCCCTTCGGAAATGTCCCCTTGCCCCCCTTCCCCTCTAAGATCTTTTCCCCCCCGTCCCCCCCTGAGATCTTCTCCCCCTTTTCCTCCCTAAGATCTTTTCCTTCCTTTCCCTGTTGAGATCCTTTGCCCCCTTTCCCCCCTACGGCCTTTTCCCCCCCTGTGCTCTTCTCCTTTTTCCTCCCTAAGATTGTTTTCCCCCTGTTTTTGTTGAGATCCTTTCCCCCCTGAGATTTTGTCCCTTTTCCTCCCTAAGATCTTTCCCCCCCTTTCCTCGTTGAGATCCTTTCCCCCCTTTCCCCACTAAGGCCTTTTCCCCCTTAGATCTTCTCCCCCTTTTCCAACCTAAGATCTTTCCCCCCCTTTCCCTGTTGACATCCTTTCCCCCCCTTTCCCTTTGGGGCCTTTTCCCGCCCTGAGATCTTCTCCCTTTTTCTCCCTAAGATCTTTTCCCCCCATTTGCTGCTGAGATCCTTTCCCCCCTTTCCCCTCTAAGGCCTTTTCCCCCCTGAGAGAGATCTTCTCCCTTTTCCTCCCTAAGATCTTTTCCCCCCTTTCCCTGTTGAGATCCTTTCCCCCCTTTCCCCCCTAAGGCCTTTCCCCCTGAGATCTTCTCCGTTTGCCTCCCTAAGATCTTTTTCCCCCCTTTCCCTATTGAGATTCTTTCCCCCTTTCCCCCCCAAGGCGTTTCCCCCCCCGAGATCTTCTCCCTTTTGCTCCCTAAGATGTGTTCCCTCCTTTCCCTGTTGAGATGTTTTCCCCCCTTTCTCCCATTAGGCCGTTGCCCCCCCTGAGGTCTTCTCCCTTTTCCTCCCTAAGATCGGTTTCCCCCTTTCCCTGTTCCTGTTGAGATCCTTTCCCCCCTTCCCCTCTAAGGCCTTTTCCCGAGATCCTTTCCCCCCTTTCCCCCCTAAGGCCTTTTCCCCCTGAGATCTTCTCCCTTTGCCTCCCTAAGATCTTTTTCCCTTTTTCCCTGTTGAGATCCTTTCCCCCTTTCCCCCCCAAGGCGTTCCCCCCCCCCCTGAGATCTTCTCCCTTTTGCTCCCTAAGAATGTGTTCCCTCCTTTCCCTGTTGAGATGTTTTCCCCTTTTCCCCCATTAGGCCGTTGCCCCCCCTGAGATCTTCCCCCTTTTCCTCCCTAAGATCGTTTTCCCCCTTTCCCTGTTCCGGTTGAGATCCTTTCCCCCCTTTCCCCTCTAAGGCCTTTTCCCCCCTTAGATCTTCTCCCCCTTTTCCAACCTAAGATCTTTCCCCCCCTTTCCCTGTTGACATCCTTTCCCCCCCTTTCCCTTTGGGGCCTTTTCCCGCCCTGAGATCTTCTCCCTTTTCCTCCCTAAGATCTTTTCCCCCCTTTCCCTGTTGAGATCCTTTCCCCTCTTTCCCCCCTAAGGCCTTTCCCCCTGAGATCTTCTCCGTTTGCCTCCCTAAGATCTTTTTCCCCCCTTTGCCTATTGAGATTCTTTCCCCCTTTCCCCCCCAAGGCGTTTCCCCCCCCCCCTGAGATCTTCTCCCTTTTGCTCCCTAAGATGTGTTCCCTCCTTTCCCTGTTGAGATGTTTTCCCCCCTTTCTCCCATTAGGCCGTTGCCCCCCCTGAGGTCTTCTCCCTTTTCCTCCCTAAGATCGGTTTCCCCCTTTCCCTGTTCCTGTTGAGATCCTTTCCCCCCTTCCCCTCTAAGGCCTTTTCCCCCCTGAGATCTTCTCCCTTTTCCTCCCTAAGATCTGTTCCCCCCTTTTGCTGTTGAGATCCTTTCCCCCCTTTCCCCCCTAAGGCCTTTTCCCCCTGAGATCTTCTCCCTTTGCCTCCCTAAGATCGTTTTCCCCCTTTCCCTGTTGAGATCCTTTCCCCCTTTCCCCCCCAAGGCGTTCCCCCCCCCCCCTCTCTGAGATCTTCTCCCTTTTGCTCCCTAAGATGTGTTCCCTCCTTTCCCTGTTGAGATGTTTTCCCCCATTCCCCGATTAGGCCGTTGCCCCCCCTGAGATCTTCCCCCTTTTCCTCCCTAAGATCGTTTTCCCCCTTTCCCTGTTCCTGTTGAGATCCTTTCCCCCCTTTCCCCTCTAAGGCCTTTTCCCCCCTTAGATCTTCTCCCCCTTTTCCAACCTAAGATCTTTCCCCCCCTTTCCCTGTTGACATCCTTTCCCCCCCTTTCCCTTTGGGGCCTTTTCCCGCCCTGAGATCTTCTCCCTTTTCCTCCCTAAGATCTTTTCCCCCCTTTTGCTGTTTAGATCCTTTCCCCCCTTTTCCCCCCGAAGGCCTTTCCCCCTGAGATCTTCTCCGTTTGCCTCCCTAAGATCTTTTCCCCCCTTTCCCTGTTGAGATCCTTTTTCCCCTTTTCCCCCCTAAGGCCTTTCCCCCTGAGATCTTCTTCGTTTGCCTCCCTAAGATCTTTTTCCCCCCTTTCCCTATTGAGATTCTTTCCCCCTTTCCCCCCCAAGGCGTTTCCCCCCCTGGGATCTTCTCCCTTTTGCTCCCTAAGATGTGTTCCCTCCTTTCCCTGTTGAGATGTTTTCCCCCCTTTCTCCCATTAGGCCGTTGCCCCCCCTGAGGTCTTCTCCCTTTTCCTCCCTAAGATCGGTTTCCCCCTTTCCCTGTTCCTGTTGAGATCCTTTCCCCCTTCCCCTCTAAGGCCTTTTCCCCCCTGAGATCTTCTCCCTTTTCCTCCCTAAGATCTGTTCCCCCCTTTTGCTGTTGAGATCCTTTCCCCCCTTTCCCCCCTAAGGCCTTTTCTCCCTGAGATCTTCTCCCTTTGCCTCCCTAAGATCTTTTTCCCCCTTTCCCTGTTGAGATCCTTTCCCCCTTTCGCCCCCAAGGCGTTCCCACCCCCCCGAGATCTTCTCCCTTTTGCTCCCTAAGATGTGTTCCCTCCTTTCCCTGTTGAGATGTTTTCCCCCTTTCCCCCATTAGGCCGTTGCCCCCCCTGAGATCTTCCCCCTTTTCCTCCCTAAGATCGTTTTCCCCCTTTCCCTGTTCCTGTTGAGATCCTTTCCCCCCTTTCCCCTCTAAGGCCTTTTCCCCCCTGAGATCTTCTCCCTTTTCCTCCCTAAGATCTTTTCCCCCCTTTTGCTGTTGAGATCTTTTCCCCCCTTTCCCCCCTAAGGCCTTTTCCGCCTGAGATCTTCTCCCTTTGCCTCCCTAAGATTTTTCCCCCCGTTTCCCTGTTGAGATTCTTTCCCCCTTTCCCCCCCAAGGCGTTTCCCCCCCCCCCCCCCCCTGAGATCTTCTCCCTTTTGCTCCCTAAGATGTGTTCCCTCCTTTCCCTGTTGAGATCCTTTCCCCCCTTTCCCCCCTAAGGCCGTTGCCCCCCCTGAGATTTTCTCCCTTTTCGTATCCCCCTTTCCCTGTTGAGATCCTTTGCCCCCTTTCCCCCCTAAGGCCTTTTCCCCCCTGAGATCTTCTCCGTTTTCCTCCCTAAGATCTTTTCCCTCCTTTATCCTTTCTCCCCTTTCTCCCCTAAGGCCTTTCCTCCCCCTGAGATCTTCTCCCTTTTGCTCCCTAAGATGTGTTCCCTCCTTTCCCTGTTGAGATGTTTTCCCCCTTTCCCCCATTAGGCCGTTGCCCCCCCTGAGATCTTCCCCCTTTTCCCAATTAAGGCCTTTTCCCCCCTGAGATCTTCTCCCTTTTCCTCCCTAAGATCTTTTCCCTCCTTTCCCTGTTGAGATCCTTTCCCCCCTTTCCCCCAGGCCTTTCCTCCCCCTCAGATTTTCTCCCTTTTCCTCGCTAAGATCTTTCCCCCCCTTTCCTCGTTGAGATCCTTTCCCCCCTTTTCCCCTAAGGCCTTTTCCCCCTGAGATCTTCTCCCTTTTCCTCCCTAAGATCTTTTCCCCCTTTTCCCTGTTGAGATCCTTTCCCCCCTTTCCCCCCCAAGGCCGTTTCCCCCCCTGAGATCTTCTCCCTTTTCCTCCCTAAGATCGCTTCCCCCCTTTCCCTATTGAGATCCTTTCCCCCCTTTTCCACGATATTTTCCCACCTTTCCCTGTTGAGATCCTTTCCCCCCAAGGCCTTTTCCCCACCCCCCCCCCCCGAGATCTTCTCCCTTTTCCTCCCTAAGGTGTTTTCCCTCCTGTTTGTGTTGAGATGCTTTCCCCCCTTTCCCCCCTAAGGCTGTTGCCCCCCTGAGGTCTTCTCCCTTTTCCTCCCTAAGATCTTTCCCCCCCTTTCCCTGTTGACATCCTTTCCTTTTCTTTTTTAAGGCCTTTCCCTCTTCTGAGATCTTCTCCCTTTTCCTCCCTAAGATCTTTCCCACCTTTTCCCTGTTGAGATATTCTTTGCCCCCTTTCCCCCCCTAAGGCCTTTTCCCCCTCTGAGATCTTCTCCCTTTGCCTCCCTAAGATCTTTTTCCCCCCCTTTCCCTGTTGAGATCCTTTCCCCCTTTCCCCCCCAAGGCGTTCCCCCCCCCCTGAGATCTTCTCCCTTTTCCTCCCTAAGATGTTTTCCCTCCTTTCCCTGTTGAGATCCTTTCCCCCCTTTCCCCCATTAGGCCGTTGCCCCCCCTGAGATCTTCTCCTTTTTCATCCCTAAGATCGTTTTCCACCTTTCCCTGTTCCTGTTGAGATCCTTTCCCCCCTTTCCCCCCTAAGGCCTTTTTCCCCCCTGAGATCTTCTCCCTTTTCCTCCCTAAGATCTTTTCCCTCCTTTCCCTGTTGAGATCCTTTCCCCCCTTTCCCCCTAAGGCCTTCCCCCCCCTGAGATCTTCTCCCTTTTCCGATCTTTTCCCGCCTTTCCCTGTTGAGATCCTTCCCCCCTTTCCCCCCTAAGGCCTTTCCTCCCCCTGAGATTTTCTCCCTTTTCCTCCCTAAGATCTTTCCCCCCCTTTCCCCGTTCAGACCCTTTCCCCCCTTTCCCCCTAAGGCCTGTTCCCCCTTAGATCTTCTCCCCCTTTTCCTCCGTAAGATCTTTTCCCCCCTTTGCTTGTTAAGATCCTTTCCCCCCTTTCCCCTCTAAGGCCTTTCCTTTCCTCCCTAAGATCGTTTCGTTGAGATCCTTTCACCCCTTTCCCCTCTAAGGCCTTTTCCTCCCCCTGAGGTCTTCTCCCTTTTCCTCCGTAAGATCTTTTCCCCCTGTTGCCTGTTGAGATCCTTTCCCACCTTTGCCCCCCTAAGGCCTTTTCCTCCCTCAGGCCTTTCCCCCGAGATTCTCGCTTTTTCTTCGTAAGATCTTTTCCCCTTTCCACCCCCCCCCCCCCCACCTAAAATCTTTGCTCTCTTTTCCCAAGATCTTTGCCGCCCTTTCCCCCTTCACCCCCGAAGATCGTTTCCCCCCCTCCCAAAGATCATTTCCCCCCTTCCCAAGATTTTTTTTCCTCTTCCCCCCCCCCTTATAACATCTTTTCCCCCCTTCCCCCCGTAAGCCCGCCTTTTTCATCTTTTCCCACCTTCCCCCCCCCTAAGATCTTTCCCGCCCCCCCCCCCCCCCCCGATAAGATCTTTTCCGCCCTTGCACCCCCTAAGATCGCTTGCCCAGGACCCGGGGAATCGAACACCCCAATGTTTCTACGCAGCCAGCCCCCAGATGTCCAACACACCGTCTGTTGTTGGCGGGTGTATCGACCTCGCTTTGGGCAGACCACGGTACTACCTGTTGGAGGTTTACTAACTAATGGCCAGCGGCGCACATCATTCTGGTGCAAAGGACATCGCAACCCATGAAGAGGATTCCACGCTCGCTTTGCATCGCCTGCAGACTTGGCACAATGAGCCGCTACTACCTGTACCTACAAGCAACCTGTAAAGGCTAGGCTCATGTAATGAGCAGCATTATCCACCGAAGGCCTTGGACACCGAGGCGCTGCCTAGTCGCATGTGCAACCTTCACCTACTCCTCACGGGGAGCTTTTCGTGTTTTTGGTGTCTGTGTCTGTGTCTGCGTGTCTGTGTCTGTGTCTGTGTCTGTGTGTGTGTGCGTGTTCCACCCAGATAGGGCCGAGCGCTTCCCCGAAGCGCGCTCCAGGATGCCCGGAAGCTGGCGGAGCAGCTGGCCCTGAATGCCAGCGGAGTGGCGGCGGAGGCCCAGGCCAGGAGCGTTTGCGACCCAACACCGGGCCAATCTAAGGGTGGAAGTACAGACCCCTTGTTCTTATTCTTTGCTTCCCTGGTTTCCAACGCACTTTATAAGGGCTATATACCCCTTTTTGGGGAATGAACATCAGCAGGGCTTGGAGCTAAGGAAGGAGGTTGCACAGAGGTAGGCTTTCCCAAGAATCAGGGAAGGGTTTGCAGGTGCAGGGGGGCTGCCTTACATCCCTTAGAACGTTCACCTCTCAACTGGTGGTTTTTCCATCACCCTTCAATTCATGAGTTTCCTTTGGGGGGCTGATTTTTAAAGAGAAGTAGCCCCCCTTTTAGGGGGAGGCTTCTATTTTCCCAAAGGCGGCAAAAGTCTTTGGTTTTTATAAACACCTTCACCAGCCAGGTTTTTAGTTGTGCAATCAACATCCCCAGATTTGCGGTCTGGGGCATAACCTGGGACAGAGCTTTGGGGTTTGTTCGAGGGGCCCCCTCAACTTCCGCATGTCTTGGACCTCCAACTGGAACCTGCCAAGCAATTGCAACTGCGAGGCTTGAATGGAAAGCCCAGTGAGATTTGAAAAACCGGCGCCGTAATTTTCAACCCCCAAAATGAGAGCCCCCCCCAAACCTAACCTTCTCTTTGAGCGTCATGCGCAGGAAGTGGCCACCTCCGCAGAAAAGGTGCAGAACCTGACGAGGCAGAACTGCACATGGGATCTGTTGTCTTGGATTTTGGGTTGGCAAGGGGTTGACATTGGGCAAAACTTGCTTCAGCCTTTGGGCGAGGGTCATCGATCGGAAGCCGATCTTTGGCAGGACGCATTCGAATTCGTTACCCCAGCAACAGTCACAATGCCTCTGGGTTGTCCAGCCCGCACCAAAAAGTCAAAGGTCAGATACTTGAGGAGTTCCAAAGTTATCAAGTGAGTGTTGTTTTTTGGGGAGGCGGAGACCACCCTCCTTGGCAGATGTGTTGCAGTGCAAGCCTGTCGATTTTTCCACAGTTGCCCCTCACTTCCCTTGCTCAAGGTGGCAAGTTTCAAGAAAGATGCAACCCACGCGCAGAAGATTGTTCAGGACCATTTGGCTGCGGGTCAGAACCAATGGTACCATTTTGGGGTAGGTGAAGTCACCACCCATTTTAGTCCGTTTTAGTGGGGATTGGGATGTTCACTGGGGGTACGATTTGGCTTTTGACCCATGGCCATTTGAATTTTCCAGCTTGGGTTCTGCTCTTTGGGTTCTACGAGAACATGTCGGCCGGACAGGGGCGAAGTGCAGAGCCTGCAGCAGCGGCGGCAAAGCGCGCAGAAGTCCATTGCAGAGCTGCAGGCCGGAGAAGGTCCTTTGCGTTTTTTTTGTTTTTTTGTACGGGTCACAAGAACTGACAGGGAGCCGGGGTTGGTTTTCCTTTTTACTTTTTTTATTCTACTTTGGGGCTGACCTTGGTAAGACAATGTAATGTGGCCATCCCAGACACCTTGGCATCTTTTTTTGTTTTTGGTGGGGTCTCCCTTTAGAAGCAACTACCAAACAAAGGGCGCCCGATGGGTTTGGGTCACTCTGCGAGTTCCTGACTTGATACTTGGGAAGATCACGTGAAGTTGGAAGTGTTTTTTCCAATCCACGAAACCCTTGGCTGCTCTTTTTTCGTTTTTACCCAAAAGAGCCTTTGACTGAGTACTCCCCGGCAAAACAGGACTTTTTGCGTCACAGCTCACCCTACCACCCTGGTTTGATTTTGACATGTCCAATTTTGGCGACGGAGCCCTTTTGGGAGAAGCACCACCCCGCGAATCTGCCAGCTTTAGCATGGTACAACTCGACTCGGATCACTTGCCTACTGAAGCGGCTGTCGACCGAAGTTGAAGCCAGCGATACGCAATGCCACAGATGGTTGCCAAACCCCGGGAGGTTGCCAACCGAACCAGAAGGTTGCCGAAGCTGTTGGCATTTGCCCAACCAAGGGGTCAGGCCCGATGTTCCCAGCGGTCAGACATGGGGCAAAGCGTTGTGGAAGCCATTGACCCCGCGATACAGTACAGCAATGGTAAACAACCGCATTTTGAAGGTGTGTGTTTTTAAGGGACCCCCCCCCCCATGGCACAAGGGTTTTCGGTTTTCTTTTGAAACCACCGACCAAGGGGCACCCCCAAACAAATACAACCGTACTTTTTTATCCGTTTTTGGTGGCCACCTACGTGAGCCAAAGCTAAGCGATCGGAGGCTAGCCTTGCAGCCTTCGGGGACAAGCTGGCCGCAGCCAAGGCCAAGGTGGACAGGCAGTCTGATCAGCTCAGGACCCCAAGAGGGCGGGATTGCATCCAAGGGCTCCCGAGGTTTCCTCCTTAAAACTCACACCCTTGCATCATCCCAAACGGAGACTCACTTGAAAGAGACACCGAGAAATCAAAAGAGACCCTGCAGGGGTCTCAGTTTTTCCAACCTGTCTTATGACAGCTTGCAAAACTGGGCTGTTCAAAGGTAATCCTTAATCCTTACCTTCGCTTACGCAACGGGGCCCCTTTTGTAGTGGCTTCCGTATAGGGATTATGGATTAGGATTGGCGAACCCTCCATTTTGAACAGCCCAGCAAAAGGCGCGGTCACCCATATGAAAAGGAAGGATCCCTTCCGCACACGGGAGCTGGTTCCACGGCACTGCGGATTTTTGTGTCATTTCACGCACGCGCCGACTCGCGACTCGGGGACCGCAGGTTTTAGTCCTTGTTTCCATTTACCAGGGCAAGCCATTTTGGGATACCTAGTTTTGACCCACACCCACGTGGTGATTTGGCTGTGGGTCAAAACCAATGGTACCATTCTGGGTAAGGTGCACCACCCATTTTAGAACCTATTTTAGTGGGGATTGGGATGTTCACTGGGGGCTAACCGGGCTTTTGACCCATGGCCATTGTGAACCAGTCGTTAGGGGCAAGCGATCCACGTGTGGCATCGACCCCAGGATGGCGAACCGCCACGTGGAAGCTGCGGAGGCGGAGATGAAGCAGGCCTGAGGGCAACTTCGGGGTTTCTTTGGTGCATTTTGCTTGGATGTTAGGACTTTTAACTTTTTGCCAACTAATGGGTTTTCCATTAAACCACTAAAAGTTAAACTTTCTTGCCGGAGTCACCAGGATTAGAACCGGCTGCTTTTTCAGGGATGGTTCGATGGGGGTAATGTTGCAACCAGCCAACGGATTGCTGTGCGGCTTCAAGGAAAACCAAAAGGAGCCATTTTGGAGGCCCCCAAAGAAAGACGAGCCACCCAAATGAGCAAGTTGACCACATTGGAGGTTTCCGAACAGACCCACGTGTAGGGATCCTCTTCGAGGTGTGCCACCAAAGAATAGTATTCATGCATGCACGCGCGCACGCACCCACCCACCCAAGCACGCACCCACGCACGCACGCACGCACGCACGAACGCATCCATCCATCCCTCCCTCCGTCCATCCATCCCTCCGTCCATCCATTTATCCATCCATCCATCCATCCATCCATCCATCCATCCATCCATCCATCCATCCATCCATCCATCCATCCATACATACATACATACATACATACATACATACATACACACATACACACATACACACACATGCACGGACAGACAGACAGACAGGTAGACAGGCAGGCAGGCAGACAAACAGACAGCCAGACAGACAGACAGACAGACAGACTGACTTGCCCTCATAACTGTACACATACATGTACACAAAACACACATAACGCACACACACACACATCTCTAAAAAAAACACATACACATACACAACTTGCAGATATGTATACGCACGCAACGGGACGCGCACACACACACACCCACACACACACACACATATATGCATACATATGTAGATATGTACACGCATCTGTGTATATCCAGGTCTTTTGGACACATGAGGCCGTTGGGCGTGCCCCTCACCTCCCCCAGTGGTTTCTTCTCAGGCGGTGGCCGCCCAGCGGGGGGCGGAGGCCGAGGTGGCGAACGCCAAAGCTGCGTTCGTGGGGAGCGCCGGCCTCGGACCGGGGATTCAATTGAAGGCAGCCTCAAGAGGCGCAAACCACATGTTTACCCCCAAAGTCTATGTGAACTTGGTGGCTCATCCCCTTAGATGTTTTTGCCTTTTTAGTGTTCAGTGGGGGATTTCCATTTCACCCATAGATATATTTTTTAGCGGGGGATCTGAGGACCAGCCGTGTAGTTGCACACGTTCTGCTAGATCACTCTGTCGCCCGGTGGCCCCCTTGTTCCCTTTTGGGGGAAGGGTTCCCCTTTAAACTCAACCAACCAAGAAAGGACATTCTTTTTTTCGATGGCCACTGGGCATCTGGGGTCAGCACTGAAGCTGGCTCTACAACCCCAATAAATGTGAGTGTTTTTAGAGTTGTTGATTTCCCCCAGGTAGACTTGCACCCAGGGGTGGTTGACCTTCCAACAGGGGAAACTTTAGTTCATATGAGTCTAGTATGCAAAAACTGGAGCCCTGTGGGTGGGGTTTTGTGCGCTGACAAAGAGTTGGGGCTGTATGCTTCCCAAACATGTGCAATAGGGACCGTTCTTTTCGGAGTCGCAACAAACCAAGGCATCGGTGGTTGCTCGGAAGAAGGGTGCAAAGGATGCGGGATCAACTTGAGTTGGAGAAGGACACCCACACACACACACACACCAGAAGCAATGTATCAGCCTTCCCACTTGAATTGTGCACGCAATACGCTACAAATATACCGAGTAGTTTCTCGAGATTGGGGCAAGAAGCTTGGATGGCGCTTGAAGGGGAGTCCCTGAGAGCAGGAAGCATACGGACTGGGTTAGGTGTATCAGGCAGGTCATGGTCCCTCTTGGCAAGAGTGGTGCATATGAGGCCCACTCAAGACAGACCCACAGAAACATCTTTGAGCTGGCGCAGCAATGCACGCTTACCATAGAACGAGGCGCTCTCCCTCCAACACGCATGGAAGTTGAAGGGGTTCTTCCAACAATCATGGTAGTCTTCAAAGACCCTCCTGTCCGTCCGGAAAGAGGGTTTCCCTATTGGAAAGACCAACGTAGACATTTACGACTCTACGACCATGGTAGGGCAAATGTTTGGTTTCACCTTGGCCCCTTGTTTCAATCTGCCCCGATAGAGAGCCCAGTTTTGACGCTGTTTCTTTTCTGCATGATGTCAGTAGTTTCTGATGAATTCGCCGTTCAACTTCCACACAAAACCAAGTAGACAGCTCATTTGTTTCTATGTCAGTTCAGGGTAACAACAAATGGGCGTGTCCAAAAAGCCCCCACCAATGACAATCATTTCCTATCAGTCTTCCTATGCGACCCATCCGCTGCAAAATGGGCGGTTCCCTGTTGTTTCCATCTTGAATTGAGCCCAGAAAGACACTTGTTGCTCGTCGCCCAGATGCTCGTTGTGTGCCATGGTCATTTACCTGCACCAAACAACGACCTCCGCTCCTAGGGAGACATTTTTATACGTGTCATCATTTTGCCGGTCCCCCCGTGCAAAGCAACAGGCGGTTTGGAGATTTTCGACGCTCATCTCCTTTTTGGAAGAAGGAAACCCCAGGACACCTCCGGAAGCGCCAATTTGGGGGAGGGGGGCGGCCCCCCGTTAATCTTAAGACGCGCTCAGCTCAACTTTTGTAGGCGGCTCAAAGGAAATGCGCCTCATGAAGAGCTCGTCCTCAGCCAGGCTCCCTGGCTGATGCTCGCAAGGAGTGCCGGCCGACGGAGGGGGAGTTCCAGGCTCGGCCGATCTCCCGGTTTCTCCTTCAGAAGAAATCGCGGGGGGGTTCCAAATGGGTGTCTCGTTCTTTTTTTAAGGAACCCCTTTATGGGGCTGGTTCAAAGGGAAGCCAAAAGGACAACCTCCATTTTGTTCGTTTGGCGGGGGTTCCCGAATTGATGCCGATTCTTTTGCATGCATCTGACCTATTTAATTGGCCATTGGAGGGCGAAGAGCTCCGGTGATGAGGGTCGCACGAAGGCACTTCAATGGTTTCGTACCCGAGTAATCGTTTCGTTGCAAGAGCTGACTATGTTGAAACCCGCAGCTTATTTTGGCAGAGGATCGCGTCAAGCGGTCATCCCAAACATAGGTGGTTCGTTTACGATGCGGGCAGTCCGAACCAATCCATGAGTTTGATGGCCTGCACGAGTTTGGAGGTATTTCTAGGTATTTCCCGCTAAGCCAGAAAAGCCACCAGCACAGATGCTATGTGCCAAGTAATGCCGCGTCATCCAGCACGCCGCTGGATGCGGAAGCGGAAACCGAAGGCATTTTCTTTTCGCTGTAAACCCAGCGCCCTCTGAAGCTTCGTGGAGTTTAGAGAATCCGCATGGGTTGAGATCAGCATGCGTCCCTGGGAAGAAACGAATCCAGCTTCCCACCATGCACAAACTGCCTTGGTGAACCGCTCCAAGGGTTTTTTGCTCGTTCGGGGTGTCCCTTGCAGCCCAAATACGCCCCAGCCGATATCGAGGTTGGCCGGACTTTTCTTTGGGGGGGCAGACGTGCCCAGGGTGAAAGGCTAGGAGGATTTGTTGCCTTTCGACCCCCCCGATCTGCAGTGAAAAGCAGGAATTGGAGGTTTCTACACAGGGTCCTGGGCTGTATTTTATTAACAGGGAAGCTGCCCGGGGGTCCTTTTAAGAGGAAAATCAAGTTCCAAGACCCCCTGACAAGTTCCACGTGAATTGGTGATGCCTGGTGAGGTGTATCTCCACTTCCGCGAGCTGCTGAGTTTGGCCAAGCACGTCGTTGCCGGCGCCTCAGCTCGCGAAAGGGACCCGCTGCGTCCCTGGCAACGGCTGGGTTGCCGTTGCTGGTGCTGCAGCAACTTGGGCCTTCCCCGAAAAAGATCCACTGGTTCCGGCTTGGCGCCTTGAAAAGAAGCGCCCCCGAAAAATTGGCGAGGTTGAAAGGCCAAAAGGAGATGCAGCTGGTGCTGCAGCAACTTAGGGGTTTTTCAAGGGATCCAATGGTTCCGGCTCAGCGCTTTAAAGGAAAGCATGTCCTTGTGATGTCCAGGTTTGTTATTTTGGGGTGTGGGCTGAGGTGCGGCGCTTGCTGGGGTTGCAGCTTGCAGACCTCTTCCTTGCAAGGCAGCAAGCCCTGCTGCACGATGCCCAGGCGAAGTGATTTCGTGTCTTCAAATTGGATTTGGACCCTCCAAAGCTGATTCGCGCGCGTCCTTTTGGTTTCCCTTCAACACCAATCCAAAAGGGGCATCCTCCAAAAAAGACGCTCCCAGCGAGCTTTTCAGCAGGTCAGCTTTGTGTTTTGGTTTAGTTTTCTGTGTGGCTTAGGGGCATCCTGACTGGTATGCGACTTCATTCCATGCGGGGTCAGCTTCAAAGACTCTCTGCCGAAAGGTTGAGATGATTCTGGAGTCAAAGGGGTCAACCCAAAGCCAAAGAGGATGAAGCCATTTGATCCCCTCCCGGGATGGTTTTACCCAGGATTGTTCTGTTGACCGGTGGGTTCAGGCTGTGCATAGGTAAGGTGCTTGCGGGGCTATGAGCTTATGGCTGTTCACACTTGAGTGGGGAGCCAAATATAAAAACAATGGTAGCAAATGGACTAGTTCCAAGGACAAGTGGCAGTGGAAATATGAGTTTGTCTCAAAATATGGGCACCCGCCAAAATGTGTGGCTTCCTTTTGGTTTCGTTTTTACACTATACATACTGCGCAGACGCGCTTGCGCAGATCCTCCCAGATACCAAATGACCATCGCCACCTCAGGGATTCATGACGCAGGTCGCTTGGGTCGACTTCCGCTTAGTGAAAGTGAACGTAGTGTTGCCTGGTAGAAGTCCTGTGGAGCTCGTTTGGGGGGAAGGATCATGTCCCAAGGCTCAGTTCCCACCAAAATCCGCAGCGGAATGGATATGTTTGCTTCTTTTCCCGGAGAATACGTCTGATTTGGTCAAGCGCTGTTGACGTCAGCCTGGTGAATTAGGTCAATTAGGTACCTGGACCCAGCTAACCTTCGGCGTGTCATCGTTTTGGTGTGGCAGTATCCCCATTTTCGCTTGTGGCACTTCCCCCCTCCCCCAGTTTTTAGGGGGGCAGCCCATGTTGGACTGGCCATACCCTAAGCTCCCTAAACCCTAAAATCGGTAATCCCCAACCCGAAACCCTAAACCCCATGTTTGTTTGTTGGTTGCGGGCGGCACCCGGAGAGGTGGCGGAGGAGGCGCAGCAGGACGCTCTGCTGGACCAGGAGGCCGCCCAGGCCGCGTTGGTTTGTAGAGAAGGGGTGGGTGGGTTTGTCGCAAACGGTTCCCCCCCAAAAAAAACAACCAAGTGCATCAACAACCACCATTTGTAGAAAAGGAGGAAGCTGCTTTGAAACTAATTAAAATTACCATTTGTACATGTAGGTAGAGGAAGCTGCTTTTTGGGAGATGGTTCTCCCCCCTTTGTGGTTCTGTAGGAATTTGTGGGGGAGTACCCCCCCAAGAATTGGTGGGGAACACCCATTGAGCTCCAAGAAGAACGACAAATGGAAGCTTTGGACCTACACTGCACCATGATGGATCGTCCGTTTGGCTTCCCTTTTGTTTCAAGTCCGAAAAGGGTCAACAGACATAGACCCATACGGTTGGAATTAGATGGCATCCACCGTCCACCATTTTGGTTTAGTCATACCCTCTACCCACATACAAGGAACTATGCCATCAACTTTCACCCTGTACCTGCTGTCCACGTTGCCGTGGAACCCACGAGAGGGTGCCTTCAAGAGGAACAACGGTCTGCCATGGCAACATGGGTGGGAGGGAACATAGGGAGTAAACAAGCAACATGGGAAATGTTGGAAAGACTTACTACTGGCTCCTTCTGCTTTGTTTTTCTTGTATATTGTTTGTCCTTGGAATTATGCAGTTTTGTTTGTACGTAGACTAGTTCCTTGTTTTCTGGAATAAGGACATGGCTGCTCTTGCGCTCGACCAAAACAACATTATGATCTCTTTGAGCCCATTTCAAACGGCACTTCACGTGCGGGGTCAGCTATCAAACTCGTGGCTGACCATATATCGTCGGTCAGTTTTAGCCATCGCCTCTAATGAATTTAAAGTTTGTCTTCCAAACTTCCGGTTTTTGGAGCCGGGGGGGAAGCACGGGCTTAAATGGTTTTGCTTACTTTTTGGTCCTGCCCGCCCTTGTCGTTGCTTTGAGGGTGTTCGCATTGCAGATTTGGTCCCCTTTTAGATGGGACATACGTACCACATTGTCTGTTTCGCATTGTACCCCAACACCAACACCGACGTGGTCATTGTTCCGATTTCAGTTGAACTAAGCGCGACACACAATGACACCCGGTCCAGGAGTGATCCAGGTAGATTTAGGTGTAGGGGACAGTCCCCTTGCAGTAAACAGGTGTAGACGTCCGGTCTTTTCATGCTTTGCACGGTTCTGGCTCCTAAACACAAGGTCTTGATTATGTTTTTAACGGGCGCTTGAGGACATGGGTTTGTGGGTGACCCACAAACGAGCGGGATCCTTTTCGGGACGGGCTTTGATGAACACCCACATGCTATCCATCTCGGGGACTTTGTAGCTGACAGACCCTGGGTTCTTGAAAAAAGGGCAGGATGATGTACGATGCAAAGGGAGCCCATTTGGGTGTGGCTCAAAGTTAAACTGGGGTTACGCAGATTTTGTTTTTGTTCTATATGCCAAGGTGCCATTTTGAGTACCCTCCCACCAATTAACATGGAACCTGACAGGGACCCGGTCCCTTTAAAAGGACAATGGACTTCCACGACCCCCCGAACGTCAGGCTCCATGTAATTTGGTGGGAGGATCAAACACCCAGGCGTGTCCCGTTGGATTTTAGGGCTTGATGGATTGGACATGGAAAGTGGCCCGATGGGACACAAAGAAACTCGCAGTCCAAGGACAGGGTTGCAACAACTTGCAAGCCAGGAAGTATCACCCAGATCCATTTACCTGTATATAGGCAAAAAAGGCACCACCAGGCTTTCAAAACCAAAAGGAAGATGGCTAGAGGATGATTGAAAGGAGATGGAATCAAGCAATAGAAGACTTGGAGGTGTTGTTTGCTGACTGAGGTACCCCTTTTTGATGGTTTTTAGAGGGGAACCGAAATGGAACCAACCGCTTTGGGAAGCACCCCCCTCTCCAAAACCCGCTTGTTTCAGGTATGACGACAAAGACAGTTTTCCAACACAATCTGTACAAAAAGGCCAGGTACTTGAAGCAAGGGGTACCCTCTGTTCCAAGAAAAGGCTGGCGCTGACCGAGCAAGGGACAAGCAAATGAGCTAGGGACGGCCATGTCAACATGTACCCCCGATTGAAACATCCCTGCAAAACCGCGTTTCCCCAAAGAGCGAAGGATTCCCTGTAAAACAGGCCCCGCTATCAATCAAGCAGGACTTCAATCGAGCAAAGGGTTGCGAGTACTAGTCTTTACTCATTTGAACCCTTACTAGCCTTGGGTCTTCATCATTGGGATTGACTAACCTGGGTGGATAAAATGAAATTTTGATTCAACCATCCTAGGTTCCCATTGGGGCCTTCAAACTTCAATCTTCGGTAGGAGGAGGCAGCCGTGTCGCTGACGGCGGCGGCGGTGGATCACTTTGGCACGGAGGTACTGCTTGCGCGTGCGGTACGGGGGGAAGAGAGCCGAGCCATTTGCCAGACGTAGCTTGCCTCTTTGACAGTTTTCTTTTTCTTTGCGAAGTCTCCTTCGTTTTCTGCTTCAAGCAGCAAACAACCACTTTTGCGGGGGTGGAAGTCTGGGCCCAGCAGTACATGTCCGGTTTTCTGTGAACCCTTTCTTTCGCGGCGAGTAACAGGCGAATACATGTTCCTTTTCTACATCAGGAGAGGAGAAATCGGCTCTATCGCCCAGAAATGTCTCGCATCCGATCTCAGAAACTTGTCCTTCAACCTTTCCCGGCTTTATTGAGTCAGTCTCAAGGAAATTCAGGGATGCCCATGGAGCCATGGGTTTCGAGGCGCGATTTTTTTGGGGGGCATGGCAACAGCAGTTGCCTTCCCCCCGTCTCAGGGAAACTGGGGTCATTATGTTGATTGCTTCTAGGGGTTGTCAGTTGGGGGTTGTTTGCCTTTTTGCCTTTAACCCATCACTTAGGGGGTGACTTAAAATCATGAGGCCAGGGAAATCCCGGGAGGTGCCGCCACGGGTTGCAATTCATGTCCAGCGAGGCGCGGGAGGAGGCGGCGGCCCTTGCGGCGCTGGCCGCGCGGAGGAACTTCACCGCCAGCCAGGAGCTCGCAATGCCAAATGGCCATGGGTCAAAATCCAGGTTACCCCCCAGTGAACACACTCTAACAGGTTCTAAAATGGGTGGTGAATTCACCTACCAACCAAAATGGTACCATTGGTTTTGACAACCACAACCAAGTAGGTTGCCGCGATAACCTTGGTTTCAAGGGGGACCAGAAGTTTTTTTCTTTTTTGGGATAATTTCCCTTGTTTCACTTTGGTTTCAAGGAAAACCAGAAGGAAGAAGCCTCAATCTTGGGGTCCCCACTTTTTTTGACACGGTACCCAAATTGGATGTTGTGTGCTGTTAAACCAACATACCTGATGCTTGTAATAATTTAGCCCTTTATATGATTCCAACCAAAGCAACTGACTTCAAACACAGGGGATATTGTTCCAGAATTTATGGGTGACACTGTTTTGGTAGTTTAAGGGTCAGGGTATCCGATCCTCTGTGCAAAAACCATGGATCTGAGAAAGAGGTAGCGGAAGACAACCGCCCCTTGAGAACGCCCGCTTTCATGATTGTTGGAGAGCTCGCCAATCGGGGAGTAGAAGAGCTCGCCCATGATGTCTCCTCACATAGAAGCTCCCTTTTCCAGTTTGTGAGTTTGAAACAAGTTGCGCAGTCGTTCGAACTGGGCAGCTCAAATCGAGATCCGCGGATTCCCACATTTTGCCTTGACGTCGGCTGATTTCTCCCCCACGGTTCCTTGGGGATGGATCCTGTGCCAAGATTTTATGCAAGCACCCAGCCCTTTAGAGTACAATTGCAGGGTTTCAGTCCTACCAAAGCAGCTCTGGCAGCTCTTTGGACAGCCCAGACCCAACAACCAGAGAGCTGGCCTTGCCATCTGCTGCTGTCTTGGAACCCGCTTCTTGTCTCGGTTGGTGGTGTCTTGGAATCTGCTGTTTTTGCGTGAGCTGTCGAAGGGTCTTTTGGACATGCGATCGAGCACGCGAGATATCTGCTGGTGCAGGTTCGCGTTGTTTTGAGTTCGTGGGGGGGGGGGGTTGGAGACCTCGCGCGAGCCGTTCCCCGCTTGTTAGGAGCAAGTGGATGCCATCCTGTCGACCCGAGCTGAGGCGGACGGCGGTGGCAACTGTTTTGCTCATTTTGGGAGGGTACCCCTTTTGTTTTTGAATGGAAAACCCAAGGGGAACTGAAGGGGGGTGCACCCATTGGAGACGAACCCAACGGTTCACCCTTCAATGCCCTTGAAGGGGAGGTTCTACAACCAGCAGCTCTGGCCGTTGAAGAGAACCATACAACCGTCATGAGTGCCTGCAAGTTATACTCATGTCCTGCCAATCTTGATGGCTATCGTGTGGGATCTTTAGACCTTTGTAGAAAATCAAATTACCGGATTTTCCATTTGTTTCCCACAAGCAGAGAGGCTTCTTGTGGTTTGCTTCGGACAACCCACCAGCAAGGACTCGCCTTTCTTCCCGACCGCAGCGCCCCTCCCGTCTTCGCCTCCCGCCTGCCAGGCGGATGCAGAGGCGGCGGCCTTTGCTGCAGCTGAAAGCCAAGCGCAGGGCAGATTGGAGGCGGCCCAGGCGGAGCTGCGGCGGAGGAGTGCCAACAAGGTCCCCCAGTAGTGCCCTTTTACCCTTTTTTTGAGGAGGGTTCCCCTACTAAAATAGACTACAGAAAGAAGAGTACCCTTACTCTCCACTGGAGGACCTAGCCAAGGGTTTGGGTTGGAGGAGTGTGTGTGTGTGTGTGTGTGTGTGTGTGTGTGTGTGTGTGTGTGTGTGTGTGTGTGTGTGTTTTTCTTCCTTTTTTTCCCTGAGGGATTTACGAGCAGGGTTTTGTTTCGCTGCGGGGTGGTTTGGGGGGCTGGAGTTGTACCCACAAATGTAGAAAGGGATATAAAAGGGTTGAGGGATTGGGGGTTGTTTCGGATTCACAAACAGATGTACCAGGAGTGTCCATTCCGGGTAATGTGGGTGGTGTTGGATGTATCCTTCAAGAAACATGTTTAGCCACCTGTTTTCTCAGGGATTTACCAGGCATTTTCTCAGGGCTGGGAATGAACCAAAAGTGTATCACAGAAAGCGTGATTTCCACATGTTACCCCGCGTTATGTTTTGGACTTGGCAGAAGTGGTCCTGTGAGGAGATGATCGGGGTGTTGTACTGATACCCATGTGAAATAAAGATCGCCTGGCTCATGAAGTTGCCACGGACCCTCAGAACATCCTCCCAGAGGGGTTGACTATACTGAAACATGTTGATAGAATGTGGTTCCCCAATTCCAATCCTTCGAAACCTGATAGAAGCCACGAACCCGAATGCAAATGAATTGCCCAAAGCTACTGTTGTGCGTGTCCCTCCCTATCCACCTTCTTGTTGAGTTGTTTTTTTTTCCTATGCATCTGCCTGCTAATCATCCATGCATCTATTTGTGAATCTATTGATCTCCCCATCTATCTTCCTATTTGTATACAGTATGTGTTTGTCCATTCCACGCACCTGTACATCTATCCACCTAGCTATGTATTTATCTACCTTCCTGCCTACCTAACTATCTAATCTGTTCTATTCCAATATTTTCCAATCTAAACTAGTTTAATCTAATCTACCTATCTATTCTATTCCAATCTAACCCGTTTTTCCGTCTATCTATTTGCCGCCTATCTATCTATCCATCCATCTATTTGTCTATTGGTCTGTTTGTTTGTTTGTTTGTTTGTTTGTTTGTTTGTTTGTCTGTCTGTGTGTCTGTCTGTGTGTCTGTCTGTGTCTGTGTCTGTGTGCGTGTCTGTGTCTGTGTCTGTCTGTCTGTCTGTCTGTCTGTCTGTCTGTCTGTCTGTCTGTCTGTCTGTCTGTCTGTATGCTTGTCTGTCTGTTTGTGTGTCTGTGTCTCTGTCTGTCTGTTTGTCTGCCTGCCTGCCTCACTGGCTGGCTGGCTGGCTGGCTGGCGTCTCTGCTATCTAAGCTAACCTAACCTAATCTATCGATTTGTCTAATCTCACCTAGTCTAATCTACTCGATCTATGTCTGTCTCTCTGGCTTTCCATCATTCCGTCGTTGTATTTATGTGCCTATCTCTCCTTTATATTTACCTCCTTACCTGTCTATCCATCGATATCTATCTAGCTACCTATCTGCCTATCCATTTATTTGTTGTTCTATTTTTTTATATACCTGTACTTATTCAATCTATCTATATATTTGTCGGTCTGTCTATCTACCTTCCTCTCTTTCTATCTAACTGCTCTCTCTCTCTCTCTCTCTCTCTCTCTCTCTCTCTCTCTCTCTCTCTTCTACCGAGCTATCAATCTTACCTAGAAGTCTCATCTATCAATCTGTCTCTGTCTATCTAGTCTATCTATCTGTCTGTCTGTCTATCTAGCCATCTATCTCTCTATCATATCTATCATATCTATCTATCTATCTATCCATCCATCCATCCATCCATCTATCTGTCTTTCTATGTATCTATCTATCTATCCATCCATCCATCCATCTATCTGTCTGTCTATCTATCTATCTATCTGCTCGGTCCATCAATATGATCTATCTATCTTATCTATTCAGACCAGTCTAATCCAATCCAATCTAATCTAATCTATTTTCCATCCTTTCATGTAGTCTAGTCTATTTTAATCTAATCTGTCCATCCACCTATCTATTCATCTAAGCTAGTCTAATTTGCCTATCTAATCTAATCTGGCCTAGCCTAGTCTGACCTAATCTATCTATCTTGTTTAGTCTCATCTATCTATCTGGCTATGTCTGTATATCTGTACCTATATATGTCTCTATACCTAATATTTGTTTGTATCTACTTAATCTATATCTATCTAATCTATCAATCTTTCTAATCTAATCTGACCTAATCTAATCTAAGCTAATCCGAACTATCTATCTATCTGTTAATGAATCAATCTAGCTTTCTAGCTATCTGGTGTTCCATCTTTCTATGTGCCTATCCCATCTATTTATGTATTTATTTCATTGTGCATCTGTCTATCTATGTCTATATCCATATCTTTCTTAAATGTATATCTACAATGTATATACATATATATATCTGTATCTCTACCTCTATCTATTTATCTATCTATCTATCGATCTATCTATCTCTATCTCTATCTCTAGATCTAGATCTAGATCTAGATCTATATCTAGATCTAGATCTAGATCTATATCTATCTATCTATCTATCTATCTATCTATCTATCTATCTATCTATCTATCTATCTCTATCTCTATCTCTGTCTCTGTCTCTGTCTCTATCCCTATCTATTTCTAATTAGCTATCTATCTATCTATCTATCTCTATCTCTATCTCTATCTGTATCTCTATCTCTATCTGTATCTCTATCTCTATCTGTATCTCTATCTCTATCTCTATCTCTATCTCTATCTCTATCTCTATCTCTATCTCTATATCTGTATCTATTTCTATCTATCTATCTATCTATCTATCTATCTAATCTATCTATCTATCTATCTATCTATCTATCTATCTATCTATCTATCTATCTATCTATCTATCTATCTATCTATCTAATCTATCTATCTATCTATCTGTCTATCTATCTATCTATCTATCTATCTATCTATCTATCTATCTATCTATCTATCTATCTATCTATCTTCCGATCGATCGATCGACCTGCCTATTCGTCTACCGTTTATCTATGTATGTATCTAGCTATGTAATCTTTCTCTGCATCTATGTATCTTTGTATGTATCTATCTCTCCTTCTTTCTTGCTTGTGTCTATCTGGCTATTGTTCTAACGCCCGCTTTCTATCCATCTGTCTGCGTGTCTATCTATCTATATATCTGTATTCCTATTCCTCCTATCTATCTATCTATCTGTCTATTTGTCTATCTATCTACCCTTCTATCTACCCTTTTTCCGACGGCGTTGCAAAGGAGTCTTCCGCAAATTCACTAGCGAATCCGAGTATCGCACTCAGAGCCCGTAGGAGCACGCTTGCACGAATGCACTTGCGCGAGCACGCTTGTACGAGCACTCTGGCACAAGCGCACTTGCGCGATCACACTCGCACAAGCGCGTTTGCGCGAGCGCACTTGCACGAGCGGGCTTGCACGAGCGCGCGTGCAGGAGCGCAGTTGCAGGAGGGCGCTTGCACGACGTGCGCGAGCGCAATTGCACGAGTGCGCTCACGCCGGCACACTTGCGTGCGCGCGCAAGCACACTGGCACGCTTGCGCGTGTACAAAGTCGCACACGAGCACACTTGCACGAGACAACTTGCGCTAGAGATTCTAGCTATCTTTTGAGGCAGCGCGCGGCCAACATGGCAGGATTGAACACCTTTGACCAACAAAACGGCAAGGTTGAACACCTTTGCCCGGCCGACATGGCAGGATTGAACACCTTGACCGTCAAAGTGGCAGGATTGAACACCTTTGCCCAACCAACATGGCACGATTGAACGCCTTTGCCCGCCAACATGGCAGGATTGAACGCTTTGGCCGACAAAAGTGGCAGGATTGAACACCGACCAACGTGGCTTTGACCGACCAACGGTAGGATTGAACACCTTTGACCAAGCATCGTGGCAGGATCGAACACCTTTGCCCGACCAAAAATGTAGGATTGAACACCGACCAATGTGGCTTTGACCGACCAAGCCCGCATTTCCCCTGTACAGGACCCGTTGATCGACCCCCATGTCTACATTTCCAGCTGGGACCTCTTGACAAAGAATTGCAATCCTTTGTAATTGTGTTAGCTGCTGAGCGTGGCTGTAATGTCGCCAGTTGCTTTCGTCCTGCGCCTGCTCTTGCTGTGCAGGGTCGAAGCAGTCGACGAGGCGCAAATCCGTTCAGCCCTGCCAGGCCACGGTGGGTTTTGCTCAGCTGACAGCCAGCTCCTTTGCTGGTAACAACTGAGAGAAAGTACCGGCGCGTGGTGCTCAGGCCATCTGGCAGAGAAGGAGCAGGAGCTGCCCATGCCTAACAGGCCCTGAGAGGCGCCTCCCATTGGCCAAGCCATGCCGCTGCGCGGCTAGGTGCGTGTGGTCCTGACACCATTGAGTCCAGCACTTTGAGCCTAACTACGTTGTACTCTAGGAGCTTATTTTGCCAGCCACAACAATGCGTGCGTGCGCGTGGTGTTGGCAGCTCTTGGAGGGGTCAGCTGAGTGTGCAGATGGCCAGCGGGCTGTCCAGGCCGGTGTGTGTCACACTCCACCCGCCAACGACGCAGACGCAGACCTGGATCGAATGCTCCACGCTCTGTGCCATTTTGCGAAATGCCCCTAGGTCTGTTTCACTTGCTGGAGCCACCCTGCAAGGCCAAGCGCAAAAGCCCTAGCGCGATGGCCAACAAGGCCGAGAAGGCCGACGGGATTGTTAGCTGGTGATTCGAAGAGCTGGGGGTATCCAAAATCGACGTTTAGAAGTACTTTGAGAGAATGATGGTCTGTCTTCCTATGTTCTTTTGTGCCTGGAAAACCTTGTTCTCCCATGTTTTCCATGTACTCAAAGTTGCAAATTTCAAGCCGGGGCTGCCAAAGTACTTGACTTGGGCTGAAAAGTTACGACTTTCGAGCTGCCAAAGTGTGCGCTGGAAAGTGCGACTTTTGAGCCGGACCAAAGTGCCTCCTTTACTACACACGTGCCAAAGTGCGCTTCCTGAGCTACACATGCGCTGAAGTGTACTTCCTTCACGACATGTGGCCTGAAAAGTTGCGACTTTCCAGCTGCACTTGCGCTGGTTTGTTGCGACCTTCGAGCCGGAGCTGCCAAAGCGTATTGTCAACAGTTGTTGTTGCAAGCGTTGCATATGACAAGGGTGTCAACAAAACGAAATGGGATAGTAAGGTCATGGCCGCAACAGCCAAGCAATAGGCTTCCGGCTTCTTTCCGTAGACTTTCGGCTTCTTCCTGCAGTCTTCCAGCTTCCTGCAGTCTCGTAGTCATCCGGCTTCTCTCCGCGACCAATAGCCGTCTTTCAGCGCAACACAAGCTATATCGCGCATCCTTTGCTACCGGGCTTCTTCCCGTAGTCTTCCAGTTCCAGCTTTTTCCCGTAGTCTTCCGGCTTCTTCCCGCACTCTTGCGGAACCAAAGGGCGCGAGTTTTGAACTTCTTCCTTCTTCGCAAAACGAGAAATATCGCGCGCCCTTGCTCTCAACTGCACCCTCTTTCTGTCGTGGGGATCCACTTTTGAGCCTATCGTGATTTATTATTTTTTGCCGTAGTGAAAGAATATTCCGAGTCGTGGTAGGGGCAAATTCTGTCATGGTATATGGAAAGCTTTTGTGAAGCGTAGTTGTTGCGCCCCCTCTAAGCCGATTAACATGGCAGGATTGAACAGCTTTGACCCACCAAAACGCTAGGATTGAACACCTTTGATCGACCAAACTGTCAGGATTGAACGCGTTTGACCCTTGACCCACCAAAACGCTCGGATTGGCAGGATTGAACAGCTTTGACCGACCAAAATGCTAGGATTGAACATCTTTGCCCGACCAACATGGCAGGATTGAACGCCTTTGGCCGACCAACGTGCTAGGGTTGACCAAAATGCTAGGTTTGAACACCTTGGATCGACCAAACTGCTAGGATCGAACACCTTTGACCGACCAACATGGCAGGATTGAACACCTTTGTCCGTCCAACATGGCAGGATCGAACACTTTCGTCCGACCAAAATGCCCATGCTTTCGAAGGCGCTGTTCCGTTGCGTGAGGAGGACGGAGCTGGAGAGCGCCGTGAACCAAACCGAGAAGCTGTCGGAGGCGTGGATCGACTGTGCGAATTTGTGAAGGGACCCGTGTCAGCACAACCTGCGCCTTTTTTGCCTGATAGAAATTTCAAGTATTGACACAAAGGAACACGAGTGTTTGGAGAAACAGGCGTTGTTTCGAGAAACGTATAGTTCTTGGACAGGCCGGGGGTGGGTATCAACCAATTCCGGGCTGCTCTTTGGTTTCACCAGAGACGGGCGATTTGCCGGCAAGGCCAGGTTCAAGCTGTAGCCATTGGTTTCCACTTTCCCCAAGCCACGTTAGGAAGAGGCCTTGGCTGTGCATGCGAGCCGTTCCTGAAGGATGAAACCGGTGTAGAACATGGGTCAAAGGTTTCCTTTACCTTCCCTTTGTTAGTGCCGAATCTTTGTCGTGGGCTTCTACCCGTGTGATCCAGTCGAATGGAAGCAAACTTGGAAACCAAGTATATACTTGTGCATGAGGAAAAACGGCACATCCTCATAGGTGTATATGGGTACATCTATTTTTGGGAGATCCCACAAATGACGCAACGGTTTCCTTTTGGTGTCCCTTCGAAACCTACCAAAAAACCGGTGGTACCCTCAAGAAAAAAACCGAGCCAGCCATATAGTCCCCACTCCCATCGGTTTCGCTTACCCTTCCGAGCCGGATGTAGGTTCTCTTTGGGGAGGTTGCAGATCTGAGAGGTTTGCGTCATGTCCCCAGAATCCCCAATTGCTGCATCCCACCCTCTCAGAGGGTGCTTTGCATTTTGCTGAGAATTCGGAGTCCCACGATGACTGTTGTATTGGCTTCGTACCCTATTCCCCTTTGAAGTTCAAACACCACCTTGACATACCTTGACGCTTTGGGAAACAGATGACCCTAAATTTTAAGTACCGCAGATTGAAGTCAAACCTGATGGGTGAATAGGGGGTACCCCTTTTTTTGGGTTGGTTCAAAGGGAAACCAGCAGGAACACCCACCATTTTGGCGGGGGGGGTCCCTCTAGACAGACCTATATCGGAATTAATGTAGGTGTTCTCCTACCTTCATCGCGAGTCAACTCTGCAAAGGCAACCATTGGAGGAGCAAGCTTGGCATAGTTGGACCCGTGGCAAAAGGGCTCAACATGAGTTGGCACGATCCACGAAAAAACATGCTCCAGGTGTTCTGAGATTCTGCAAAAAAATCATCCGGGGTGCAAAGAAGAGCCCGTCATGTCCCTGCCGTTCACTCGGCCAAGTTCGCCAGGTCACAGGGACACCCCCAATGGGGCAACCGAAAGGACTCCGTTTCCCATTCAACCAAATCCCACCAACTGGTGGCGTTCCTTCCGGTTTGCCACACCAAAAAACACCGGGCACCAACTCCAAACTGCTGGTTTTCCCTTTACCACCCCAAAAAACGTGGCACCAACTTGGGACCCAAGGCCTCTCGCGCCTCGCTAGGACTTGCTGGCAGCCCTCCAAGCAGAGGCCGCGGCCAACTCCTCGCTCCGCACCTGCCAGGCGAAGCTGGCGGCACCGGTAACAATGCTCGGTCGGAAAACCATAGCGCTGGTGTTTTTTTTTTTTTTGTTTGTGGGAATCATGATAAAAAAGACACAGGGTTTCTTTTGTGAATCTTCAGAGACACAGTTCATGTTGGTAGGTGTCAAAGCCAACTTACCCGGGAAGCTCGAGGAATTTGGGCATATTTCCGGCCTGGCACTCTGGAAACCAGCCAAATTGCTTGAGAAAGGACACCCACTGGCAACCATCCCAAGTGAGGCGTTGGTCAGGAAAGCAATCGGGTACCCTGGCGCATCAGGGGGGGGTGACCATATATATATATATATATACACACATATATATATTATTATATATATATACACATGTATCATGTATATGAACATGACACATTGAGAATTCCACGTGGCAAGCTTGAAAGCTTGAAGCTTGCACCAAAACGCTCAATAATTGACAAGCCAAAGATGCTGATCAGCGATACAGGAAGCATGCCCCCTCTCCCTGGGTTGCCCCCAAAACACAAGAGGAACACTTTGGTACAGACCCTCCACAGAACCCGCATCTTCTAAATAAAGCTGACGAATTGTCCCAGGGCCCACCTTTCTACTTTTTGCACCAAAGATATTTATCGGCAGATGTTCAGTGAGTCAAGATTTTAAAGCCAGGGTTGAATTCTGCTTTAAATTCGAATATTTGCTTAATCAAAGTCCTATTCTGTAACAGATGAATGTGTTCAGTCTGATCCAGACTGAGGTCGCTGACTGCGCTGAGAAAAGTGTTCATCCAAAGATGTCAAATGCAGCAAGGCGTGTGCATATATGGTCACACCTTCGACAAGAACATACGGGAGCAAATCACAACAGCACAGCCAAACTTGATGAGCAATGCCCACAAACCAAAATCTCAGTGTTTTGCTGGTTTTCTGAAAGTTTCAGAAGGAACATACTACTTTTGTGAAGGATACTGTCCAAAAACTGAGGGAAAACCAAAAAACCAAAACACCCTCGAGCAAACCCAAAAAAACATCTCTGAGGGAGAATCTTTGGTTTCAGCCGCAAACTTTGGTCGTTTTGTTTTTCTCCAGGTGTTTTTGTTCATGTTGGTTTTCCCGCAGTTGTTTTTGTTGTTTGACATTATCCCTCACAATCACTGCCAAGCAACTCGAGTTTTTTTGGTTTGTGGAAATTTGGCCTTCTCAAAAACCAAAAACACCTAGATTTGTTTGGTGTTTGTGAGGGATGATGTCAAAAACCAAGACCACTGTTAAAAAACCAACAAAAACAAAAAGCCCCGGAGAAAACCAAAAAAGCCAAAGTTTGGGGCTGAAACCAAAGATTCTCCCCCAGAGATTGGTGAAGTTAGTTGTTATTTTTGATCGAGTTGTTTCTGTGTTTTTTTGGTTTTCCCTCTGTGTTTTAGACATTCATTATGCCTCGCAAGTCACAAAACAACTCGGGATGTCTTTGTGTTTTTAGAACTTCCCTCAGTTGTTTTTGTTGTATAAGATTCCATGCTTGCATATATCAAAAAAAACACGTCAAACAACTATGTTTTTTTGCACTTTGTCAGAGTGGAACACAAGAACACATTATAGAAATGCATGTTTTTATATCATGGCCAATTCAATGTGGAATGCCCCCAGAGACCAGAATCCGGACAGGGGGGTTGTACATACACGTTCATAATTCTGCATCATAAATATCAGTATACAATTTATAAAATCACTACACCAGGCAGCCTAGCATTAAAGCTGTGTATTTTGTATACATACGAAATAGTTGAACCGACTTAAAGACACAACTGGTAGATCATGGGACACATATATATATATATTTTTGTCAAGCCTCCCGGCTGATGCCCCCCATCATCCCCAAGCCTGGGGTTTGGACCAAGGCACATGTGTAGCTGCGTGTCCTTTTTGAGAGATACAAACTTTTGCGGGGTTAAGGAAGACTGAACAGAAACCAGCCTGTTAATGCTCGACCGCAAATCCATCTAGCGCCCTCTTCACCCGCTTACTCGTCCAAGCCCTGGGCTTGTTTTGGTCTGGAGCAAAGGACATGCGACGTGGTGCGCTTTTGGACACCCCTTCTTGTGCATGGCTCAAAACTGCGTGCAGTTTTGCTGGCGCCTGTGCTTCTTTTTAAAAATATGTCGACTTCCTATTGGCTTCCATTTGAATGCCATCCTCTTTTTCAGAGCTGCAATAGCCGATGCAAGCAGAGTGAGTCGAGTGCAGTCCCAAACACGGAGCAGACTGCATTTGGTGCCGAAGGCATTCGAAAAGGTGGCAGCATAAAAGCGAGTCAGTTTGGTTGAACATAGATGGATTCCGTTGGTTTCGGCTTGGGTCTAATTAGCCAGCGCCGGTTTTTTGTTTCTTCTTTCGAAAATGACACCTATAGAGATGGTAGTGTAGTTCGCGGGGGACGTCCAACCCCGTTGCGCAAAACTTGTAGCAACTAACCCCTGCTTCCCTTTGGGAAACCAAAGGAAGCTTGCTTCAACAAGGGTTTGGCCCAACCCCTAGAGGGCACCCATGAAAACACACACACACACACAGACACATAGACACATAGACACACAGACACATAGACACATAGACACATAGACACATTTTCACATAGACATAAGCTGCATTGAACCAACTTCAAGCCCAGGAGAAGGATGCTTTCATGGATGAAGCTCTACCTAGGAATACTTGCAAAACCCTTTTGTCAACTGTCGCGAGTCGGATTTTGTCAATCCCACGGTCCACGAATCGTATTTTTCATGAACTCATAAAGCAGGATTTGGGTGTTGACATGAGAGGACCCCAAACAGAACGGTTTCCTGGCGGTTTCTTTTTCAAGCCACCTCATATGTTGGGGGCAATTTGTCTCAAAACCATAGTTTCCAGTACCCCCAAACCACCCCCAGATATTTCCAGGGGTTGAACGGGATATATACATATATAGCCACTATATGGCCACTAAGGGCTATATGCCAACCAATTTCCCCTGGACCTAGTGGTCAACAGACGCGAGCGCATCGCTCGCATCGCAAGGTGTGGCAGGCGGAGTTCAACGCATCGCTTCTGCTGGAAAGGACCGACCTGTGGCTGAGGGAACCCACGTACTCCTTTTCATGCAAGTACCCGGGTATGTCATTTTTTCGGGGGTACCCCTTTTTGGCCATGATTTAAAGGGGAGTCAAGTGAAACCACGTTTTTATTCTGGGGGGGTGGCCCTCTCAAAAAGGCAGACTCATTTGGTCTTCTGGAGCCTCCGGAGAGAAACCACACTGACACATGATATAGGCTTGAACAGGCCAAGCCAGCATTTCCGTACTTTCCCTACTTGGAGCGCACGTCAAGTTGATAGTTCCCCATCCCCCCAACCCCCCAAGACGGGCGGTGACGCAGTGCATGCATTCCCTTGTTGATCATGTCGAGCCACATAGGCGCCAAACATGGTTGTTTGCAGCAAGAGGCCTCTAGCAATATGAGCAATTTGTGAAGCGGTCGAAGTGGCGAACAGAACGGTTTGGCATCTCTTAGCTTGGCTGCGATTTGGCTGGAGAGGACCTTTAGCTTCCAGCGAACCAGCAAGAAGTGAACTGTTGGAAGAGGGGGCGCTAGAGGGCTATGCAGAGGCCCTCGATTTGTTGGGCCCCTTCACCCTGGCGACCATGCTTCAGCAGACCCTTGTAGGCAAAGTGTAGCAACCTCGTTTTTTGGTTTTGGTTTGCGACCTCCATGATGAAGGTTCCTGGCACTCACCTGTTTGGGTCAATAGACGTTGACCGAAATACATCGTCATAGGGGCTTTGGGCAAATGCTTCTTTCATACAGGCGCATAGGCTTGGAAAGTGAGCGAAAGCATCATACAGGCAGACACAGCCATGTGCAGTGTTTTTGACTACACAAACAAAGGCTAGGCTGCCGGGTTCCTTTTCTCGGGGGCTTCCCTCTGAAAGTTCGGCGAATAGTATATGCTCGGCTTGCGAAGGACCCAATTCGAGTTAGGTCGAAGTTTGTTCCCGAGACCCCCTCGTTTCGGGCTTGGCAACTGCCATGCCTGAAATCGTTTGCAGTGGAAATGCTCGCTTCGCTTTTTTGCTTTGGGGCGGTTTCCCCGTATCATTTCAGAGGAAACTACGAGTTCCAGCACTGGGTTTTGGCCCGAGGTGATTTTTGAGATTCATCGCCTTTGCAAACGCCTGAAAGCGGGATGGTAAAATCACAGGCCAGACAGGAAGCATTCCGATTGTCCAGTTCAGAGGGCTTTCCCTAAAAGAGCGAAATGGGCCAGCCAAAGAAGAAGACAACTGCATTGGCTTCTTTGCCATCGCCCAGAGCTCCCCGGAACCTCTCCGGAATCTGCCCAAACCTTCCCCACCCCGCCGAATTGAGGATTGGCTAAGACCAAGACTTGGGAGAGTAAAAAAGGGGACGCTATTTGGGTGAGCCATCGTTCGCAACGTAAAGAAGTGCCTTCCTCTCCCCCCCCGCCCGCCCCCGATTTTGGTGTTTGTTTATTTTGTTCAGGGACACCCATGGAAACCCGAAGCCCCGCTGAGGGAATGAGTTCATCAATGCAATGAGTGAGTGATAATTGGTCCAACCGTTTGACTCGTCGTAACGAGGCTCAGCCGCTGCTTCTCTTGTTAGTTTTGTTCATCGTAGTTGTCTCGCAGAGCAGATAGACCAGATTGTGGTGGTTTCCGGTTCTCTCTCTCGCCATGCGTTAGCATCATTTGATCATTCTATTTGCGAGAGTCTGACGGTTTACATTATTGCCGCGTCCTGTCCAATGACCAGCATGCATCTCGCGCACCATGAACGCACATCGTTGCGAGAAGGGTTGCAACATTGTCAAAGACCAGGACAACTCTTGCCACATCCGCCCCGTCATGGAATTCCCGCCACCACCCTTCCCCTTGAGGTCGGTTTGGCTTTTGCACCTGGAGGTCGACGGCCCCTTCCCCGTCGCCGCCTTCGGCCGCCGGTCGCCGCAGGAAGGAGGAGCTCTTAGCGGCGGCCAAGGCGGAGCAAGGCCTGCGCGAGGCCGATGAGGCAAGGGGTTGGGTCGGGGTCGGGGTTGGGGGGAGGTGAGGAAGTTGCGGCTGACGTTGGGCCTGTTAGAGGTGTTGGCGAGGTTAGAGATTGGTTTGGAGGTTTGGGTGAAGAGTTTTGTTGGGTAGGCGGCTCCAAATCAAGCTATGGTATCATGTTTACAATTGGGGGTTGTCAATATGTGAAATGGTCTTTCGAGAAGTTCTCGTGGCGTTGGCGGCCAAATTTATTGAAAGGGATCAAAGCATGTGGCCCCTTCCCTTCTCAGGTTCAGCCAAACAAACCACAGCAGCCTAATCGAAAAGGTGCAACACCACGAACACGAAACCACCACAAAACACATGCACACCCAAAAGCGCAGGAACCCCCACACTGCGCTAGATAATTGAACCACAGACAAAAGCAAGATGAACTCACGAAACAAATGGGTGTCCTCTTTTGGTACCTCTTTTTTGGTGGCTACAAAGGAACACCCAATTTGAAAGCCACCAGTTTGTGGGGGGGGGTCCAGTTTCCTGACAAAGGACAAACCCAAATATGGAAAGCAGCGCACGTGTCGCGAGAGGCTGCAGCAGCGCGGCGGGAGGCGTGGATGCGGTCTTCGGTGCAGACCCACAGCAGGCACTTGGCCCTGCTGGATGCGCAGGCGGAAATGGCTGAGTGTCCACCTTTTTGTCAGACGGAGTTGTTGCGATTTTTAGCTGGAAACGCGCCAGCTCCAGGAAAAACCAGATGGAAACGATCGATGCCAGGGCTAGTCAGATACAGATGCAACTTGTGAGCATGCCAAACGCTTAAGTGAGGCCTGGTTGATGTTCACGATTTGCCGCACGGGGACGTCGGGTGCCAAATTACGTTCCCAAACGGAAAGCATGGAACGTCTAACCGCCTGGGTCGGCACCTTCGAAGACACGAGAGCGAGGTCCTACTTTGGTAGAACCAGGAAATATATGGGGTATCCCTACTGTTTGAACATGGTCCCTTTCTGCCGTACCCAAGCGGTGGATTTCCATGCCCCTGGCAAGTTTATCACTCTTCAGGGCTTGGCGATTGGAAGCTGGCCGCAACACCCTCCTTGTATTTTTTCCCCCAGAAACTCCCCGGGCCCTAAGCGTGTAGCAACTCTTGGATAAGGACCAACATATGTCAGCACGCCTTCAGCTTCCGCCGATTTGAAGGGACAAGCCAAACGCCACACAGAAAGAGCCAGGTTGCCTTTGTTCCGGACACTTTCAACCAAGTCACATCTTTTTTCTACTTGTCTCGTCTGCCAGTTGGTCAGGTGCAGCTCCAGGAGAAGGAGAAGGCCAGGGTGGAGGCGGGGCGGGTGGGCTTGGTCTCCCGAACTGGGCGAGTGGGTTGAGTGGGTTCCGAAAGCTCCCACCACCACCACTGGTGTCCTTCGGGTTTTTTGGTTTTGAACACACTGACCAACAAAGGGCCCACCCCCTCCCCCAAAAAAAAACACAAAAACAACAACAACAAACCCCCGCGCCACTTAAAAAAGAGACAACAACGAGCACTTTGGGATTTGCGACACCCCCCCAGGCTCCTGCAGTTCTCGACTGCATTTGCCGGACCCGAAGCCGAATCAAGAGCTTTTGGATTCAAGTTGCAGCCCAGTGCAGAGCTCCAGTTGGGAGGCCTTTCTGGCTGAGTCTAGGCGATCAGAATGGGCAGGGATAGCATGGGGTTGGGGGTGGGGGGGGATTCCTCACGCCCCAAAACGGGTGCTATCAAAACAAAAGGCATTTTGTCAATGGTTGTGATCACGGAGTACTGTTGGAGGATGACAATCATTACGCGTGCCTTGACCTAGGGAATGTGGCCCGAAAAGCTTAACCCTCACAAACATGCCCCATCTATTTTCAAGGGATGTTTGATTGCGGGCGCAGTTGTCCCCCTTGAGTGGGGGTTGGTTCCTGAGTTGACCCTGACATGTTGACTTCAATATCAATCGGATCAACTGCGGAACTGCACAGTTTCTATAAACCCCTGCGTCAATGAAAGCGCAACATGTTATACACCCCTGCAAGCCTTGTTCAACAGGTGGTTATCACGTCGCTCTTTTCACTTTGTGCACATGAAGCCTTTTGTTGATCAAGAGAAAAAGAGCCCCACTGCGTCTTCGCGGGTTCGAGGGTTATGAGCCCAACGCCATGAGTGAAGGCTCGATGCAGACGCCTTCCGACAAGGACCTCCAGCTGGCTCTCGTGGCTCCCCAGGAGGAGAAGGCGGAGCGCCCTGAAGGTGCACCTCAGGCCTTGGGGCCGCAGATGAATCCCTTCTGGTCGCAGCGGGCATGTGATGAAGCCATGCTGAAGGCCATGAGGCCGAGCACGCTCCCGGAGAACCAGGGTGGAGATGCCCAGGTGGCCGTGCAGGCCAGCCCACCCAGGGAGATCACTGGCGCGGAGCTGGTGAAGGGGGTGGTGGAGGAAAATGCCAGGCTTTGGCACTACATCAACCAGATGCAGAAGGCCAAGGTACCAGTCCATGCAGGCCTCCTTCAAGGAGAAGTTGGTTGGGGCCGCAATGAGTGGCCCGGATGCTGCTGGACCCGGTGCTTGGTGGGCTGAGGCCGCCGGTGGAGGTTGGCCGCAGTGGGCATGGCCTGGTCTTCAGCCTTGCCGGCTTGGGGTGGAGATGGACCGACTTCATCACCTGGCCTTGGAATTGGGTCGACTGCCAAGAAGGCACTTCTGGACCTTCTAGGTGGAGTTCGTGGATGGCCTCCACAGGCCGCTGGCGATGACCCGCATGGAGCTGGTGATCAAGGACAGCCAGATGTACAGGCCTTTGGTTCCGCCCGCGCTCATCATCCTGGGCATCAACAACGGCAAGGTTCAGGAGTTCCTCATGGTGCTGGTTTTCTAGCGGCAATGGAGCCGGTGGTGCTGGGCCGAACGGCAATGGAGCCGGTGGTGCTGGTCCTGGCGGCAATGGAGCCGGTGGCGGGGCCAGCGGGGGATATGACGGCGGTCCTGGCGGCAATGGAGCCGGTGGATTTCCGGGTGGTATGGGAGGTGGACCTCCTGGCTATCCCGGAGGTGGTGGTTTCCCGGGTGGTCATTTTCCTGGAGAAGGTCAGGGTGGTTCCGGTGGAGGGCTTCCCTGGAGGTGGCAGTTTCCCGGGTGGTCATTTTCCTGGAGGAGGTGCTCCTGGTGGTGGGCCTGGAGGTCCACCTGGCGGTCCCCCAGATGGTCATGGAGGAGGGCTTCTTGGCGGTCTTCATGGAGGAGGCGGTCAACTTCCTGGATGGCTGAACGGGGTAATGGCAGGTCAGGAGACGGTGAGAACGGTGGAGCTGCCGGAGTTGCAGGACCTCGCAACAGCCGAGCAGGACATGGGGCCTTTGCTGGCGGGAGATTGGATGATGATGATCTCGCCCTTCATGTCCGACCTCTCGTCATCTTCGTCTGCGTGGTGGCAGGAGGTGCTTCGGGTGGCGAATGAATGCTACCAGCGGTGGCTCAATGCGGATCCTCTAGAACGTCTTCGGCTTCTTCCGGAGGCGCCCTTAGCGTTTTCGAGGGCACCTTGGGGGCCAAGTCGCCTTGCTGAAGGCGGTGCCTGAATCTCTACGAGGTGAACTGATTGCCCAGCGGAGGGCGGACAGCATCTCCATCATCTTCAAGGTCTTGAAGACCTACCAGCCTGGAAGCCTGGCCGAGAGGAGTTCCTTGCTTAAGCAGCTGGTTGACCAGCGCATCCCCTCGGGCATCGGCGAATGGCTGTCTTCTTTGAGGACGTGGCGAAGGTGGCTAGTGCGGGTTACGGAACTACGCATTCAGCCTCCTGATCCAGTTCTTCTTTTGGCCACTCTGGACAAGTTCGCGGTGGTCCTTGGAAAGATTTCTGCCCAGGTGTCGTTCAGGCTGCAGATAGCTCGGGCAGCACTACGGGTGGACGTGGCACCATCGCCACATGGAATCCTGCAGTTTGCGGACACGCTGCAGGCGGAAGGGGAGACGGTCTACCACGGAGGTGGGGCGTCGACCAAGGAGGCTGTGAAGGCCAAGACCATGGAGGTCAAGGACACGCCCGGCCTACGACCGGGGCTACAAACCTCGGGAGCCCGACAAGGAGAAGGGCAAAGGCAAGGGCAAGGGGAAGAGCGCTGCGGCCTGCAGGTACTTCCTCTCGGAATCAGGTTGCAAGAAGGGGCAGGCGTGCGGCTTTGCTCATGAATGGGGGGAAGAAGGCAAGATTGGACGATGCTGGCGCTGTGGAAGCAGTCAGCACATGAAGCCGGACTGCCCAGTGAGGGAGGTCACAAACCCCAAGGTGAAAAAGGAGAATTCTCCGGTGAAGGAGAAGGACAAGTCCGAGTTTGAGGAGGTGGCAGTGGAAGGGACCAAGGTCACTATTTTGTCGCCCTCGCCTTCGGAGGCTCCACCTACGGAACAGGTGAATGGAGAGCTGGTGAAGGAGGCGGTGCAGCTTCTCAGGTCATTGAGACCCCGGACGAAGGGCGTGAAGGTCAGTTCGATGCGGGAGGGCAGTGGAGAGAGGGCTTTGCTTGATGGCGGGGCTACTCATGTCCTTCGGTCGGCTCGCTCCATGGAGGAGTTTCAGGATGCGGTGCCCATCCAAGTGGAGTTGGCGGCGGGTGAGGTGACCTTGAGGCAGGACCCCGCCACGGGCACATTGCTCACGGACTACCCGGTCCAGACGATCATTCCCCTTGGGAGGATTGCGCGCCTGGGCTACAAGATCTTGTGGCAGCACGAGGAGTTCGAGCTAAGAGACCCTCGGGGCGTGGAGATCCCGGTGGAGCTTGAGCTGGGCTGTCCCACAGTGGCGCAGGAGGTGGCAACGGAGCTCATCGAGCGCCTGGAGAAGGAGGGAACGGAAATGCAGAGGCGCCTCAAAGCCCTGAGGGCGGGGGAGCCGGGGGAGGTCAACTCCAAGGTTTGGAGGTGGATGGTCGACATCAAGGAGTTGTGGCCGGACCTCTCTGATGAGATGATCGGGAGGATTGTGCCTTCCGGCCAATGGGAAGGTGCGGCTCTGCCCTGGAATAGGAGGCAGAGGAAGAAGTTTTTGTCGAGTCCATCCGTCATCGTGCACTTGTTCTCTGGGCCGGATCAGAGTTGGTGGAAGAAGATGATGGAGACCTCATCCCGGGTCATGCTGTGCGTGGATCGGGAGGTGAGCAGCGGCCAGGACTTGTTGCTGGAGCAGGTCGCAGGATTCTTGGCGGAGGTATGCGAAGGAGGTGCAGTTGATGCCCTGCTTGGTGGACCCCCTTGCCGTACAGTGTCGAGGCTTCGGCATCAGCGACCCGGCCCACCGGTTCTGAGAGCACGACACGGGCCAGAGAGGTTTGCGCTGGACTGCCTCAGTGAGGCGGATCGAGAGCTGGCCCTCAATGATGCGACGCTGTGGTTTAGGCAGGTGTGGTTGTTCTCCCTGGCTCAGGGAGCGAGGAAGGAGAAGGTGCGCCTCCTGAAGGAACACCCTCGAGATCCTCAGGAGTATAAGGCGAAGTCCGACAGCACCGACTACCCGAGCTTCTTCGCCTGGCCTGAATGGGCCTCCTTCAAGAAGAAGTTCGACATCAAGGAGGTGAAGCTGAAGATTGTGGAGGGTCTTCGTCTGGAGTTGGAGCACCCGGTGGTGTCGAAGATGTCGAGCGATGATTGGGCCCGGCATCGGGCGCTGGACCACATGCCGTTCAACAGAGAGTGCCCGGAGTGCCAGAAGGGTGCTGGTCGTTCACGGCCCCACAGGCGCATTCCTGCACCGGACACGTTTACGCTTTCCCTGGATTTGTGCGGGCCATTCCGCCCTGGGAAGGATATGGAGGAGGCAAAGAGCCGCTACATGATGGTGGGAGTCTTCACGATCCCCGTCGCCAGGAAAAGCAGAGAGCTGGTTCCTTTGGTGCCCGGGTTGGGGGAGATCCTTGCTAAGGAGAAGGTTGCCGTGGAGGAAGGCGATCTTGAAGGTCCTCTTCTACCGGAGGTGGAGGAGGGGGGAGATGATATTCCTGGGCACGTTGATGGTGATCCAGGAGACATGGAGAAATGGGAGGAGATGGTAGAGCCGGAAGAGGTGGAAGTGCGGAACCAATATTTCGTGGAGGTTCTTTCGTCAAGGAATGGAGAGGCCATCACACTGGCCATGGCTCGCATGGTGGCGCGCCTCAACTACTTGAATTTGGAGGTGCGGCGGATCCACTCGGACCGAGCCGGGGAATTGGCCAGCAAGGCCAACAAGCGATGGTGCGCCCACAGAGGCATTCTCCGCACCTATACATCGGGCGAAGACTGGAAGTCCAATGGGCGTGCGGAAAGTGAAGTGGGAATGGTTCGCAGGGGTGTCACGGTCCTGTTGAAGGCCCTGAAGCTCGATGAGGACCATTGGCCTATGCTGGCGCGCCAGGTCGGAGAACGGCGCGGCCGTCAGCAGCTGCGATCACTTGGCTACATCACGCCGGAGCTACTCCCCTACAACATGGAGGTGATGGTCAAGACTAAGTCATGGGATGACTTTCAAGGGCATTGGAGAGCCCGGAAGAAACGCGCTTGGCTGAGAGGACCGGATGTGTCGATGAGCCTGACCTCTGGTGGCCACATCGCGGAGACCGAGGACAAGAAGTACCTCCACACCGACGATCTGGTGCCATGCAAGGAGCATGAGGAGGAGGAAGCGGTTCCGGAGTTGCTGGAACTGGTGGAGCGAGATCCAGGAGCTGGCCCACTTCGAGGCCTAGGAGATCCACCGAGGAGGATACGAGGCAAGAGTGCGGTCAAGTTACTGGGCGTGCAAGCGCTACAACGGCGGCTTCATCAAGGATATGCCCTGGCGAATGAGGAGTTTAAGATCCTCGAGCAGGACACGGAGATGGGGGAGTCGGTAGTGGGATTGATCCGTGAGGTGGATGCTGAGAACGCGGAGATCAGGGTGACTTTGGAGGACGCCTATTTGAAGGCGGTCAAGGAGCAGGAGGAGCAGGTCATGCAGGCCGCTGAGGAGGTGTTCTTGCAGACCAGGATGATCTCCCTGCAGGAGGTGAAGAGGAACCTTAGTGACTGGCTTCCGTCGATGAAGGGGGAGCTGGAGAACTTCACCTGGCCATTCAGAGGGTCACCAAGGCTGAGGCCGACGCCATGATGGTTGAGGCAAAAGCAGCTGGAAAGGTGGTGGAGATGATCCCTGCCATGGGAGTCTTTAGCCGGAAGGCGGGAGCAGGGAAGCGGAAGTCGCGCATCGTGTGCTGCGGCAACTACATGGCTGACCGGAGCGCCGATGAGCTCTACGCCTCGGGGGCGGACTCTACGCAAGTGAGGGCCATCCTGAGGAAAGCAGCCTTGGAGTCCTGGGACATCCTTTCCCTGGATATTCGCTCGGCCTTCCTGTTGGCACCCACTTCGCAGGACGAGTTGATCATCGTTCAGCCACCTCGCATCACGGCCTCACAACGGCGCCAAGGGATTGGGCATCCCACAGGGACAACCAGCTGAGGCATCTTCGCTGGACGCAGGTGATCTCGGGGGAGGAGAGGAAGCTCGGCCTGGTTCCTTTGGCAGACCCGAACCTCTGGGTCGTGAAGGAGTGGAAAGCAGGAAGGGCGGTGTACTCTTTGCGGGACCTGGTCTGGGCTACCTTGCGGTCTATGTGGATGATCTGCTGGTGGTGGCGGAGAGGAGCGCCGCGGAGAAGCTTGCTCAGGTCTTGGATGCGACCTGGCCGGCTAGCCCGCCAGAGTATGTGGAGGCCGGAGGCCCCGCTATGAAGTTCCTGGGCATGGAGATCCAGAAGTCAGAGAAGGGGGACATTGAGGTCCACCAGCACTGCTACACGCAGGAGTTGCAGAGGAATGGGGTGGTGGCGCGAGCTACGCACATCAAGGTCCCGGAGGAAAAGGAGGAATCTGCCCCAGCTTTGCGGACGGTGCGGGAGGCCCAACGGCTCACTGGAGAGCTGTTGTGGCTCTCAGGGAAGACCAGACCGGATCTTGCAGCGGCGGTTCAGAGGATGTCGTCGAGGGCGACGAGGAACCCGGAGTGGGTACTGGAGCTCGGAGCCAATGTTCTCGCCTACCTGAGCACGTCGTGGGAGAAGAAGCTGGTCTACACCAAGGAGGTGCCAGTGGATGCAGATCCGACTATGTTCCGGCGGACACCCCGGGAGGCTGGCACTTTGGAGGTGCTGGTGGATGCTTCGTTTGGGGTGGAGGAGCAGCACAGCGTCACGGGCATCATACTGCTCTTCGCGGGCTGCCCAGTGCAGTGGGAGTCGAAGAAGCAGTCTCTGGTTGCTCTATCTACGGCGGAGGCGGAGCTGACGGCGATTATGGAAGGGGCGCAAGCGGGTCGCTCAGTGAGGGCGCTGCTGGAGCTCTTCGAGGTCCCGATCAGCATGGAGATCTAGAATGCGGCGCTGATCTTGGCCGGAGGCCAGGGAGGAGGTTGGCGCACCCGTCATTTGCGCATCAGAGCAAACTGCTTGGCGGAGGCCATTAGGGAGGGCGAGTTCAGCCTCACACACCGGGTGGGTACGAGATTGTGGGCAGATGCGCTCACGAAGTGCTTGCCGGTGGCGGCTTTGGAACGGTTCTGCGAGGGAGTGGGCTTGAAGTCTGTCCCCAAGGTCGTGGAGCATGAGGACGTGGAGGAGCAGAAGGAGGCCATGGTCAAATGCCTCTTGGCGGTTGTTGCCGGTGGCCTGCTGATGGCGAGTGGTGGTCTTTCTCCACAAGTCAGGCAGATGAAGGCTGTGGGCCAACTGGTGTTGATTGGAGGAGTGGCGGCGCTGGCCCACAAGGTCAATGAGATTGGCCTGGACAAGGCCAGACTGCTGCTGGCAGGCGATGAGCCGCATCAAGAAGGGCATCGTGGAGGTGCTCTGGAAGAGGTGAAGGCCGTCAAGGTCAGGGCTTTGGCGCCGAAGGAAAGGCGTTTGCCGTGGGATGAGGAGTGGAGTGGTCAGGAGATGCTTGACCCGATCACGGATGGAGAGGTTTGGCGTTCAGGGCGTTTGTCCTTGGGAGAGCGCTTGGACGTCGAGGACGAGGAGCAGAGTCCTACGGTCTGGGAGGGGGACCAGAGTCTCCTGGCCACGTGTGATGAGGTCAGGGATCTAGGCACTACTTCGGAATCGGGCTCTATGGCATCTTCACCGTGCAGGAGCTCTATGGTGGCTTCATGGACCTTCCCGGAAAGTGATGAAGGTGGACTGGAGGAATGGGATCAGGAGGGTGTAACGCCCATGCAGACCTCGTCGGTGAGATTGAGGCGGAACTCTATGAGATCCTGGCCGACTACGCCTACTACGAGTGGAGGAACGGGCCTTGGGGGCTTGATCCTCTGCACGCAGGTGGTGCAGACAGAAGCCCAGGATAGACGTCGAGAAGGCGAAGGCGGCTATGAGCTCGTGATCTTCGTGGTGGTGGTGTCCTTCATTGCCATCATGTGCTACAGGGTCGTGGAATCGACCGTGCGGGCAATCTTGGAGCAGAGGAATCGGCTGCCGGAACCTGCAGGCCCGGAAGTGCGAGAAGTGCAGACTGAGGCCGTGGAGACGGAGGAGGACATGAGACGGAGGCTTCGGGAAGAGGTCAACCGGACCTTCCGGCTTGAGCGAGTCAGGAGGTTGCAGGAGGAGAGAGAAGAGGAGGAGCGTTTGGAGCGCCGGCTGGAACAGCAACAGCGCGAGTTGAGCGTGCGAGAAAGCTCTGGAGCTGAGGAGGAGGTGATGACGTTTGAGCGTCGCTGGCCTAGCACGGCCACGGAATCGGCGTCATCATCTGCTGATGGCCTTCGCAGGCGAGGTCAACACCCACTGCAGCGGGAGCTGAGGCAGCTACGTGAAGAAGCTGAACAAGGTGGTGAACCGGAACCGGAGAATGTGGTGGCACGGCAGGGGGCTATGGTGGAGCTCTACCACGTCACGTCCTTCGGGGAGCGCTATCACTGGACTCGGGATTGCTGGGGATTGCGAGGTGCGGTTGCGCGAGGCATCCGGGCCATGCTCCCTTGCCCGAACTGCTGGCTGGGAGCGCATCTTAAGGAATGGGACCGCGTGGAGGGGCTCTGATGGCTATCTCCACTCGGCGAACAACTGCATCCCCATGGACGAGCATTCGACCACGATCCGAGGGCTTCCACTACGCCCTTGCCGCTTTTGCATGAGCGGCATCACCTCGGATCCGTCGATGAGATGAGTGAACAAAGGCTTGGGCTGTGGCCGAGGATTTTCCATTTTGGAGATGGCCCCTGGGAGCGACAAAATCCCAGGCGAGCCTGTGAGGGGAGCACGTCGCTCTTTTCACTTTGTGCACATGAAGCCTTTTGTTGATCAAGAGAAAAAGAGCCCCACTGCGTCTTCGCGGGTTCGAGGTTATGATTCCGACAGATAATACTTACCCCCAGAGTCAACACATGGATCCCTAGGCGAACGGGGGCTTGTGCTGCATAGCTTGCAGCCCAGCAAGCCTTGTTCGGGTGTTTGGCCCTTCGGCCCTTTCCGCCCGAAAAATTGGGAAGCCAAGGTCAGGTCAGCCACCGAGCCAGGCACCGAGCCAGCCGTTCGCCGAAGGGAGCGCCATGCGCGGGGCGGGTCGCTACGTTTCTCAGGCGAAGGTCGCTTTCGACAAGGCAGAGAAGGATGTGGTGGACGCGCAGGCGTCAGCGCGGGGCGTCGTGGAACTCAGAACCCCTGCGGGGTTTTTATTGGGCCGGGCCAAGCCCAAAGTGCCCAGACTTGGGCTTCGGTGTCTCAAACAAAGTCATAGGTCCCTGGAGTCCAATATTTGTTTGTCAGCTTATTTCCTTTTTGCAAGCAGACGTAACAGGGGTTCTGATTGGGGAAATTGGCACTGGGCAAAGAACCCTTGCCTTACTTTGTCTCGAAGGATTTTCCCTGGCCACCGGGCCAAGTCAGTTGCAAGTCAAGCCAACACGGCCAAGTCCGTCAGCAAAAGCGCCCGAGCCTCCCCATTTTCCGCGCAGTTGAGGATGCCATTGTGTTCGCTCGTCCTTTCTTTTTCAACAGCAGGGCCGGGTTCCTATTCCACTGCAGGTACACGTGAAAACCCCAAACAGCTGCGCCTGATTGGAATCTCCGAATTCATCGGAGCCCCTTACTTCCTGGTGCTCTGTAGGGAATGAGGGAATGAACTTGGGGATTCCCTTCAAGGAAACCACCAGTTGGATGGTTTAAGTCGGGGTCATTCCATTTCCCATTCCATGTCTCATTCCCGTGACGGGAAATCATAGGGGATGGTTTCTATTTGAAAATTTCGGGGTCATTCCATTTCCCTGCCTCGATTTCGCGCCGATCGCACGGCCGCTTCGGCGGTAGGCGAAGCTGGATGGCCTGATGAAGACGGAGGCAGAGACGCACCAGACCATCACGGAGACCTACCAGGCGAAACGGTGGCGAAACGGCAAAGGGTCGTGGTTGTCAAAACCCATGGGATCCCATTTTGGTTGGTAGGTGAATTCACCACCCATTTTAGAACCTATTTTAGTGGGGATTGGGATGCTCACTGGGGGTACGATTTGGATTTTGACTCATGGCCAAACGACAAACGGCAGAAACACGCGGGTCCTTTGCAGGAATTCGATGGTGTGCTTTTGTTGAAGGTACGTTTTTTAACGGATGGTATTAGAGGGAATCCAACAGTGAACCAACCCATTCTAGGGATTTAGACGCAAACCTAGATTTGAAAAGAGCCTGCTGGGGGCGACCCGAGCAAAGAAAGGAGGGAGGTGTCATTTTCCTTTCTGTTGGGTTAGGGCTGGATTTGTCCTAGTGGCCATGGATCAAAAGAACCCTTGCTGTCAAGGGGCAACCCACTCCAGAAAAAGGAACACCGAATGCCAATTGACTGGGACTTTACTCCGAAATTTGATTCCATTGTGTCAACACTTCACCTCTCTATCAACCATGAAGCCCAACCTCTTGGATTCTGAGGTGTCAGGTGATCCTTGTTGGGTTGCCTGGACTGGAAAGGCGCCGTGCTGAGAAAAACAAAAAACACATGCCCGGTGCCAAATCAGGCGGCCAGAGTCTGGCAAGAGGCCATGGTGTAGTGGCTCACACGCCTTGTTGAGGCATCACAAGCCGGGAGTTGATCTCAGCAACATGTCTTCAATATTGGACATCGGCCTTGCGGTGGCCTCTGTTTGTATCTTATATGTTTGGACCTTCGGGGCCGCAAATAAAGCACAGGGAAAGACTGCAACTGCGAGACTGGAAGCCGGAAGGGTGCCACCGGAAGGCGACCGCAGGGGTAGAAAGACGGAAGTCTGCCGGACGAGCAAAAGAAAGTGGCGGAAGACTTTAGAAAGGCGGCTAAGGGTGTGCTTCCAGTAGCGGACGACGAACAGCAGCAACAAGGTAAAGCAACAGGCCTAGGTGTCCTTTTTGGTTGTTTTGGTAGAAAAATAGATGGCCCTGCTTTACCTGGTGGTTTAATCATCTACCCTCAGGGCCATCTATTTCCCCTAAAAGGACACCTATGGCAACCGGAGTTTCTGAATGCGGCCAGGACCGCTTGACTCCGGAGTCGGACGTGCTTGCGGTAAGCCTGTGATCTTCCCCGTTTTCGGCAGTCTTCCGGTGGTGGACGAATAAAAGCAGCAAGAGGGACTATAGGGATTGCTGAAAATGTCCAAGAGGGGCCGGGCATGCTTGTAAGTCTGGGTAGATTCGGTGTTAGTCGTTTTCGGGGCATCTATTTTTGCCTCGAAGAGTTAGAGCAGGCTTCCGGCCTCTTGCCGTAGTCTGCCAGTTTTGCCGACCTTTGCCCGTATCTTGTTGCAGACTTCCCAGCCTCCAACGCTTGTTTTTTTGCTTCAAGGACAGTCTTCCCAGAGTCTTTCGTTCTGCCCGTAGTCTTCCATCTTGTCTTCCCGTCTTCTCCCTGTACAGTAGGCTGAAGACTATGCATTCTTCCGGCGTGTAGTCTTCCCTTCGTCTTCCCTCTTCCTATCAAGTCCCGAACCTGGCAAATTTCGATTCAGCCAACCACCGCCCCTAGAGTAAACCAAACCGAACAGACCCAAACCCAAGCCTCATCTTGACTGAACGAAAGCGTCAGAACCCTATACTATCACCGAAGATCATTGGTAAGAATGCATTTTCACAGGATCATCCTCATGTTCACAGTAAGAAAGCAGCCTTCTTTGAGGCTCCGAGCCGTGTCAGACACTTGCTACAGTCACAGTTCCGGCGAAAACAGCCATTCGCTTGGGCGCATGCTTCCCAAACGGGGCCCTTTGCTTCCTTGGGAGCCCTCTTCGCATTGTACCTCTTGGTACATCGCTGGCAATGCCCTTGGCTCCTTGAGAACTGTTTGATTTTTGCCTCATTGGTTTGGGAGCAAAAACAAGACTGGTGTTGGTATTTTACTGATTTTTCCTCATTGGTATTTATGCCTCATTCGTTGGGGGTGTCCAAGTGTCCGCATTCCGAAGGCCCTGGAGAAATTGAAGCTGGAGCATGCCGACGCCCAGAAGGAGTACGACCAGCAGGACGCTCTCTCTCTCTCTCTGTTTCTCGAAATAGCGGGGCCCCTAAAATGGTCGGCTTCCTTTTGGTTGTCCTCGAAATACTGACCTGAAGGAATCCTCCATTTTGAGAAACACCCCTCTCTCTCCCTCCGCCCCCCCAAGTCGGCTTTGCAGCAAAAGCACGCCTGGTCCCGCCTGGACTGGCCAAGAGTCAAGAGGGATATGGGTATGGGGCAAAATTCAACCAGGAATTGGACCGCAGGTGTTGGTCTATGTGTCCATTTACCAGGGCACTGCTGGGGTGATTTCCAGGTGGCCCTTGACCCCAAACCCTGAGACAACAAGCTGGTATGTGCCATGGGAAACCAGAGTCCTTTTACTTGGGTGGTATATGATACGTGTTGAAGTCGGTTTTCCTACAATTTGTGACTTGTGGGTCAAAGTTCGGGTTGGTAGCTCACTTGCTTCCAAAAATCATGCCGCTTTGAAGGGGTAGCTGACTCTGTATGAAGGGCAGGGTACTTAGCAACAGGTTAGGAACCCTGGTTTTAACCCACTTGGGTGACTTGCAAGCAAGTGTGTTTTTTCTTGTGGTTACCAACCAGTTACTTCACGCGCAAAGGCTCTTCAAGTAGGCTTTGCATGGTGAGGAGAAGCCATGAGGCAAAAATTGTGGTCTGTCAGTTTGGCGGTCTGTCTGTTTGTTTGTTTGTTTGTTTGTTTGTTTGTTTGTCTGTCTGTCTGTCTCTTTGCCTGTGTGTGCGCTTTTGACCCTTTGCTTTACCGGGTACTTTCCCCTTGTTGCTCCTTGCCAAGGCCTTGCAAGTTGAGGCTTTGTCACTTTGGTCCTTCTGTGGTCCATTTTGGTCAAGATCCCAGATGGTGGTGCAAAAGAGCTGCGGAGCAGGTGACCAGTTTTACAGCGAAAGGCCCAGCCGAGCTACACGCAAGACTGCCCTGCCCTCGTGTGTGGCTAAACAGAAATGTAGGCTTACTTGGAGTTGGCACCCCCTCTCACAAGGGCTTTTGAATGGATTTCGAGATTCGGAGAGAAGCCACTCTATTGCGTAAGCTCCCTTTTTCAAAGACAACCCTTGGCGCATGCGAAATGCCGTGGCGTTCTTTTTGCCCCGCCCTTCCTGCCTTGTTCCTTCGGCCAAAAGACGAGGTTCCTTACATGTCCCCTATCGCCCCCAAGCAAACCTCATTGATCAAAAGGCCCAGAAGATGTGCAGGACATCTAAATGGGCACGGGTCAAAATAGTTTTCTTTGGTTTTCCTAACCAAGCGAAACGGGGTGCCCAAACGGCTGTGACTCAAATGAATGTACCAACATGGCACCTGGGTTTTTCTTTGCCCCAAAGACTCAAGCCGCACCCTGGTCCCAGGATCCGCGCGACCGCGAACGCAGCTTCACCACCGCCCTGGACCGCTGAGACCCCGCGCGCGCGCGCGCCGCGCGCCGCGCGCCGCGCGTGCGCCGGCCGGGCGAGAGCCTCTCGCCCGGCCCCGGGCGCCGCGCGGAGGCGAAGTGGAGCAAAAGGCGGCGGGAAAGCTGCGGCGCGGTGCGCCGGGCGGGGAATTCTGAGGCTTGCCCTCACCGTGGCGCCCGGGAGTTTGTTGAAGTGGGTCCCAAAGTGATCTGACTTGATCTGCCAAGTAAGTACCCTCCCGCAGGTGCTATGTTGGTGGAAGGGAGGGTACACCCTTTAAAACATATATCATCAACCGTGGTTGGTGGACATAAGCCCCCAACTTGGAGGGAAACGACCGTCCACCATAGGATCCTCAATCAAGATTCATACCCAGAGGCTAAAAGGTCATTGGCTAGTGGCGCTGGGATTCGCCAGCTCATCGCGAACTGCCGGCCCTTGGCAGCTTTTGTCGCATTTTTGTTTGTTGTGCCCTTCTTTTCCTGGAAAGTGTCAAAGTGGGCAAGCTCTTGCAGCTGTTGCCCCGCCAGCCAACCTTTCAACCAACCGCACATTGCGACAACAGGCCGAACGCTTGCCGGTTGACAGCTCAAGTTGGAAGGTGCTTGGCTTCAAGCAAGCAGCGCAGCTCTGCTCCAACGCTTGTCACAGATACTTCACTTGCGCAATGAAGCAAGCAGGCGCGCCACTTTCTCAAGAAGACATATCACAGCTTTCTCAAGCAAGTATATCACCCCCCGTGATTTTGACTAATTTTGTTGGCAGTGTTGTCGGGTTTGTCGGGCTTGTCTCTCAAAGCTGTAGAGCCCCACAACTAGGGGGCTTTGGTTTCCCAAAAAAGGGGGGCCAATCCGAACTTGTTGACCGTATACTCGGATAGCGGCTATCCTTATTTGGTTTCCTGATATCACCCACCAGAAATGCTTGCCTTGTGACATTTGGCTTTGTCAAACACGGCGTTGCCCTTTTGTTGGCCAGTCAAAATTGCGTACTCCCAACATGGGTTGCCCTGGGAAAGGGAAGGGACCTAAACCAGCGGTCCATATCCCGATGGTTGGGATTTGTCCCGTTGGCTTCGCTTGGCTTCCGAAAAAAACGCATGGCCATGGGCAAAGGGACGCTGCCTCCCGCTTGAGCCATGGCCGATGCCCAGGACCCGTTTGTTCGGGGCGAGCGTCTGAAGAGAACAATGTGTTTTTTAGTTGTCCTAGAAAGAAACCAGAAGGGCTCGGCAGTGGTTTATTTTTCCAGACCTCAAGGGAGAGTCTTGTCCAAGCGGAAAGAGCTGAAACCTGCTGCGGTCAACTGGTCTTGTGCAAGAGCCTGATCAATGACATGTACCGGTGCGCAGGCTCTGTTGCCAGGGCCCGAAAAAGGCCGGAAGATGAGCCGGGCCCGGGCGTGGTTCGAGATCAAGCGCTACTTCGACGCTGACGCGCGCAGGTTTGCGCACAAGGAGGTCTATGCAAGAGAGCTGCGGCTGGATTCAATTCGGTGCTGGGAACTCCTTTGTGGTCATTTTGGAAGGGCCAAAAGGAAAGCAAAGAGTTTGGGGGCGTCCCCCCAAGTTTGAGATGCCCTATGCGCTTGGTGGCCAATGTCCATCCAGAATTCTTGCGTATATGGTTCAACTTTTTGTGGCCAATAAAATGACCCCCGGTGTGGCGTTTTGAATTGCAGCTTGGTCAAAGCCCGACCCCCCGATGATGAGCGGACTGATTGGACTTTGCGCTTTGAAGATTGCGATAGGTTGCATGGGTTTTCAATGCTCCAGCATGAGGTTTCGAACCACACATCGCAGCGCGGATTACAGATCCAGATTACCAATCAGAACAAGGATTAAGAAATTCCAACACATAGGCCCCAGCATGTCGAACAGGCCAGTGTGCGCTTTTAGCTGTTGAATCGCACATGGAAAAGGCAACATAAATGGGGGTGTCCTTTTTGTAGGGGTCTCCTTTTGTTTGGGTCTTTTAAAGGTGATCAAAGGCCACACAAACGCACCAGGGGAGCCCAACACTTGCCCGGTTTGTTTGTAGCTTCAGGGACGCCTTGTATTGAAGCTGAAAGTGATGCATGTCAGTCTACCAAAAAGGTGTGGATAAAAAGAGAGGCCGATTTCCCGCAGGAGCGTGTGTGTGTCTTTTTTTGGGGACCCGGTAAAACGATGGATATCCTTTTGGTGTTGCTTTAGAACCACTAAAAGAGCGCCACCCTCAAAAAGAACATACCCATACTTAGCATTGCGCGTTTGACTCAAAGTGCAACTTGAAATGGCCCCTTGCTTCCCACGACTTCTTGAGTGACTTCCAATGGGAAGTGGGCAACACTGGCAATCGGGCGAGGTACCCACTTGGGTGATTCCGGCAGTATGGCTGCCTTCTGTTGACCGAATTACCGTTTAAGCTTAAAATGACTATGATAATGACCTTTTCTCCTCTTTCAACCTTAAAGTGACAGTTTCCCCACTTTAAACCTTCAAATGACTTGTACTTCAGTGTGCCACTCAGCAAGCAAACAGAGTTTCTGCAGGAGGGTCCAGTTCGTAAACGGCAAACATGTATTTCATTTGCAAAATGCATATTGCAATGACAGCACACTCGCACACATCTTACCTTCCAAGAGGTTAGCAGGACACGACTTAAGGATTAGTTGGACCAACTCAAGCATGGTTGTGCAAAATGGTTGGTTTTGCGATTCGCTTTCCCGTGATACCCGATGAATCCCCTGAGTGATGAGTTAGTGGGAATGACCCCCATACTGGTATCATCGGATCGGATAGTGATTTTCCACCACCATCCATGTAGATAACATATACATTCTATATTTCTACATGCATATGGCCATGGGTCATAGCCTGTGCCTCCATTTCGGGGCGGATGAACGCCCATGTACCACCTGATTTTTATGTTCACCAGGGGAGGGTTTTGACCCACAGCCATCCAACATTCGACCCATGCGAGTAGGGGCGCCTCAGGCTGCTGAAGACGGTGTGCGAGTCCCTGCAGCGGGACGGCTTCGTGGTCATCGACAGCTACCTGGCGCAGCACGCGGCGCGGGGCTTGCGCGCGGAGCTGGGCCCGCTGAGGCTTCCGCGCGCGAGCTGAAGCGGGGGATGGGGGTTCACCTCGCCTGGACTTGAGAGATGGTTTTCTTGGGGGAAGGGAAGTGTCTTCAAGGAAAAGTGGTTCATTGCGGCTGGACTGGAGGCGTTTTGTTGGGGAAGGGTAGTCTTTTCCAGGGTGTGTGTCTTTGACCAGAGGTTTGGAGGGCAGCCAGAGTTTCCCCCAAGACCCAGTCGTTTGTCAAGGTTCAAGCATGAACCTTCCCAACATCATTTTTAGGGCCAACATATTTTAGTGACAAACAGGAGTCCATCTAAAATATTTTTCTGACCAATGATGGACGTGAACAACACGGTGAGGTCCAAAACAGACAGGCCTTCGCACGGACAAGTGGTCCGTGGTTCTCGCCATGGCAGTGTCCCTTTGGCTTCCTCTTACCCCAAAACTCTGGTTCTCAGCAGGGAATGAGGAGATTTAAGGGCTCAGACTTGGTATGCAAGAGCTAGAATGAACTCACCCTTTGCGCCCTTGCAACAAGGGGTCGACGGATTACCCCTTCAAGCCTTTTCTGGTGTCCTGTATTCGGGAATCCCCTTCCGGTTCATTCCCAACACCCGAAAGGTCATTCCCTGCTGGGCGCCAGCAAGAAAAGGCAACTGGAGGTTGGAGTTCCCGTCGGGGCCTGGAGGATCGCGGATGAGACAATGGAAGCTCCAGCACAGGTGGCGCCATGGGTGGCCTGGGTGAACAAATTGCAATATATTGCATGATGTCTATGTGTATATATATATATATACACATAATATGTACCTTATATATATATATATATGTTATATATATATATATATGTTATATAATACATGTATATATATATATATATATATATATATGGTCTACATATGATATATATAGGATATGCTATACATATATACATATATGCTACATGTTTATATATATATATGTATATATACACATATTAGTTATGCACATACATATACGATATACATCTACATGTATGTGTTTAGAAAAGGGCGAGTGCGTGTGTGTGTGTGTGTACATGATTTTGGAGGGGTATGTGAAAAACCGCAACCGTGACAACATTCAGTACCCTTCACATGCCTATGCAGCACTTTGCTTGTGCTTCTCACTTCTCACCTTTGGCTGTCAGTGTTGCCTGTGTTTTCTCATATGTTCTTGGCGTGGGGCGATGTTTCAAGCGGACGCACGAGCCCCTAGCTGGGGAATCATGCTGGCTTCCCTTGAAAGCTATCACAAGAAGTGTCCTCAGGCGTTTGGAGCACACCCCAAAGGCTGGAAGAGATTGATTCGTGGGTCCGGGGTTCGGCAGCTAAGGTGGGATCTCAGTATTTGCAAAGAACGGAGCATGCTGGCCATCTGCAGCGGAGCGAGCCTGGCGTGTCTCTTCGTGAGGATCCGATTTGCAGAAGTTGCGAGATCACCATGGGAGGACAGGGTCCTCATATGTCATGTCCCTTGTGCAAGGATGTATGTGCAGCTTCATGGCCATTCGGCAGGTTTCCAAAGATGCTGAGCGTATACTTAGTACTTGAAGCACTATCCTGGTCACGTGTCAACCAGGCCCCTTTGTGTCTGAGTTGTGAACATGGTTACAACCTATTCAGTGGTTTGAGCATTCAAGAAGTTGGGGGCAAGGTGCGGGACATGTGCCGAACCCAGCAAGAGGAGCAGGTGGCGCAGCCAGTCTTTTTCAGCCGCGCACCAAAGACGAGTTTCTGCGGTCCGTGAAGACGGTGTTGCATTGCGTGGCCGCCAACTCCACGTCAGAGGCAGAGATTCCAGAGGCCAGGGGTCAATACTCACCATTCGGATGCTTTAGGGTTTAGGGCATATGGGTGTTTTTTGTTCTGACCACTTTTGAGGGTTGAAAGGGAGTTCTCATATCTTTATTCTTTTTTATAGTGTTTGCTTTTGGAGGAGTTCCCATTCAAATTTGTCTTTTTAGTTTGTATCTCTTTGCACTTTTCCATATTCCAGATGCGGGAGAACTCCAGAAGCGAGAAAGAAAGAGGCAAGCAATGAGTATTAAAGTGATGAAGATAGAACATATGCAATCTCTTTCATTGTCTTTATCTCTGGTTGTCTTTTTTTGTTGTTGTTGTGTTTGTGTTTTACTCATCATCTGTTCATGCATCATATTGTCTCTGACTCAGAACCATTCTAGCTTTTAATCTGATAATTTGCCAACGAAGCTACTGCTCACCCAGTTTGGTTTCTTTTCTTCCCGTTTGGACACAAACCCATGTGTCATGGTCAAAGACTCTCCCTTTCCTTGGGGTTGGTAGTGGGTTTATCCCACTACTGTCGTTTCCGAAGGGAACCATGACCACCACGTTTTTTCGGAGTTTGACAGGCGGATAAGGTTCACGTGCAGCTCACATTCGGAGACTTGGAAGCCTTGGAGCGCGCGAAAGCCAAGCTCGGTGTTCCAGGTGCCAGCCGTTGAGTCACCGGCCCGTCAGCTGCAAAATGGGTTCCCTGACTGCGGGGAACTCCCAAAATGGGCAGTTTCCCCTTGGTTTCCCCGCGAAACGAGGGAGGCTTTGTGTGTGAGGAGTAGATTGAGGCCACCTACTGCAGGTAAATGTGTGGCGCCCTGACAATACAGGACATATCTCCGAACGTATGCCAAGCTTAGATTACTCGTTTGCAACAGGGCCTTTGGTTGTCTCCAAATAGGGGAGGGGGGGCAATAGGCGTCCTTTGTGGGTTTGTTTGGTTAAAATTAGATGGCACTGGTTTAGTTGGGTGTTGTTCCATTTGCCAGGGCCAGCTATTTTTCCAAAAGGCCACCTATGACAAGAGCCAGGCCACCTATGACAAGGGCCAGGCATTTGGAGCTGACAGCTGGAACTGCTGGCATGGCTAGTGGGAACCCCGGCGAGCGCTTGCTGGGCACGCTGCGGCAGCAAAAAGGGCGGCGAGCGGATGTCCCGTTCCCCTGTCACATGGATCCATGTACGCTATACAGCCGTTGAGATGTAGCAGAATGTTGTCCCTATGTATATTGTATGTGTGTATATATATATATACACATATGTGTGCCTTTGTATATGCATTTTCATTTTATTTACCTCTTGCTTTGTTGATCATGTATGTCATACGTCATTTAAATGTTTTGTGGTTCATAATGCACGGGGGGTGGGTGGGCAGTTTTTGCTGAAGTGAAGTGAAGTGTGTCGTGTTTGTCAGGGTCGAGGGCTAACCCTGAACTTCCCAAAGGTCGTGACTTTGCCAAGCTTTTCAGGATTTTGCGGGAGAAGGGGCGAGCCGGGTTGGCAAGGTGTCCAAATCCTTTGGAACCCGTTCTTGGGGGACGAGGATCTGAGCCAAAGGAAGTCTGATCTTGCTGGTGCTCAGGGAATGAGGGAATGAACCTGTCCCCTTAAAGGCAGTTGGATGGTTTATAGGGGTCATTCCCTCATTACTGAGCACCAGCAAGTGAGGGGCCAGGTCTGGGCACGCCCAACTGGTGCGGCGAGTTGCCCGCGTCCGAGGATCGAGCCGAGTCATTTGGGCTCACAAAACGCCCATTACTAGGCGGCAAGGTGACGTGTGCAAGCGAGCGGGGGGTAGCGGCAGCAACACTTCAGCATAGCAGCACGGGCTTTTTGTGAATTCCGCTCAAAGGCTTTAGTTTTTCCTCATATTGACAAAAGGGTTCTATAGTTGGGCCATGTTAACCAGAGGCACGGTTGAAAGTTTGGCACTGAGCAAGCCACGGGCGTGCCCAAAGCCAGTTGAGGGGGATCGGTTGAAAGCGCTTGGCAAGCGCTCAAACAGCCCGAAAGGGTTGCACGCCCGGTGTGATGGCAGCTGCTTGAAGCCTCGGCACAGGCCGGTTTGGCACCGGGCGGAGGGCTGTTTGGCTGGACATGGCCTAGGAAGCTTTTCCTAGTTGCTCAGGGGACCCCGCTTTCCAAAGATTTGGTGGGTTCACCACAAGGCATTTGAGGCCGACGCTCGGCTTTTTCGGCTACCCCAAGACCACCCTTCGTAAGATATTTTTTGTGGAGAGTCCGGGACGGGGGTGCCTGACCTTTTGGGGTTGCCCTCCGCACTTGGAATCCAAGAAACTGCAAAGCCTCGTTGAATTAGTTGGTTTGAGCCCAAGTTTCTGCTTTCAAGTAGGCCTTACTTGGTTTGGATTGGTAAATGGGAACCCACCCCCTAGCCTCCAAACCAGCAACCAAACCACCAATTCAGTTTGAAATTGTTAGATGTCTGGGTGTTGTTTCTTCAAGTTTTAGAAATTGTTCTAGGGGTACCTTCCCCATTCTTTCCAGGGATCCTTCTTTCTGGAAAACCTCCTTTGAAACCCAAGGAAAACGGATCCGGTGTTTGGAAAGAACGATGGTTGAAAAGAATGGACAAAGAATCAAGCCCTAGAACTGTTCGTGGGGGGGTATTTGTTTTAAGTTTTTTTTCTTTTTCTTCTTCTCCGTGATTCCCAAAATAAAAATAAAAATCCGCACCCATTGTTCGTCCCAGCGGCAGGCATGAAGCGCCCCGCCGAGTCGGAGGAGCCGCGGCCTGCGCCCCCGCAGCCGGCGCCGGAGTCAGGCGCTGGATGCGGGATGGGGCTTTGGGGCTACCGCTAGGGCGGGTTTCTTTTTGGTTGGATTGGGTTCATTGGGATTGGTTGGATTGGATAGGTGTTTTTTTCGGAATTTTGGTTTTGGGCGACCAATGTTGGTTGGTTTCTTTATCCCAAAAAGTCCAATCTTGGGTTCAGAAGCATCCCAATTGGTGCAGGAGTGTGTCCAGCAGTACGTTGCAATCAGTGTGTCACTATTTCTTCGAGGGAGCCGCCTCAGAATCCCTGAGGAGATCTTGGGTTGGGGGACGTAGGCTTTGCGCCTTGATGTTTCGGAGGAACCCTCTTTTGCTTGATTCAACAAGGAATGCAAGAGGACACCAAACATGATCTGGGTGGCCTGCGTTCTGACCACTCGCACAATGGCATGTCTCTGCCTAGGGACCAAACCAACCTGATCATTCGGAGCTGCGTGGATGGTTTCCTTTTTTGGGTTTGCAACCCTATTTGGGGTGGCAACTAAAAACGGGAATGCAAAGGGACACCACACATGTTCAGAAACCCCCTCAGAAAGAGAGACAGACCCATGTTTGGACAAATTCAATCGCAACCGATGTCACCGGCTTGGACCGATTTCACCCATTCGGTTCCCTTCGCATAGTGTGGCTCCTGATTATGGAATGCTTCGAGTTGTCCGGGCGGTGGGCTCCGCCTGGTTGGGCGGATTAGGAAGTCTTGCGGACGGGGCCCGGTGGGCCGGGAAAAGGGGGGGGACATCCAATCACGGAAGTGGAGGTTTGGGTAGACGATGCGAGTTTCTTCCAACACCAATTTGTCCATTTGTTTCGTTGGTTCAGAGGGTCGAACGTTCCCCACTGATCCTCGGAGGCAACCCCTTCGCCGGCGTTTCCTTCAGCGGACCTGGCGCAAGCTTTCCCACGACCGCCGCCTCTGGGCGGGGCTTCCCGGGGGCTACCCCCAACTGCTTCGGCTCTTTTTGGGTTTCCCTAGCCCTGGTATTGGAAAACGGGTCCGTGCGTCAAGTGCATGTGAGGGAAACAGCTTGATTCCTCAAAGGCTCTTCCAAGACTCAAACCTAGTTGTCAGGAGAAACGCGGCCCATTTCTGCTCATTGCTACGGGATCCCTAAGCAGCCCTGTCCGATGTTGACCGCAGATAGAGTCCAGTGACTTGCTGAGCGCTATGGGTGGGTACTGTTGGTCATATTTTGGTGTTAAGTGGGAGCCAAACAAGCAAACATGCGTGTTGCTGATCCGCCAAAAGTGTTGCTGGGGTTGATTGGCACATGCAGAATGCTGATAAGACGCCGCGGTTTCCTTATGCAAGCATGGTTCATGATTCCAAGAACCAGAGTGATTTCCTCAAGGTCTAAATCCGACCGGCGGCTGGCGACTTATGCTCCACTTTTTGGCCCCTGCCGTAACCCGAGCCGGTTTAGTCGACAGACATGGGCACCTCCATGTCTTTTTCCTGCGGGGCAGCCACACAGGATGGTTGCAACTGTGTCGCGTCAGCTTTTCGTCGCAAGGAAGCACACATACACTGTGAATTCCATGTGCTTTTTTTTTTTACTGTTCATGCGTCTGCGTTTAGCGCAGTTTTGACTTCTTTTGCGAAGGGTGCTCGTCCTCGCCCCTGTGTCCATTTCGGTTTCGGGGTCCGCTGGCCAGCCAAATGACGAAGAAGCTGGGGCCTTCGGATGGTCCCATGGTGCAAGCTGGGAAGGCTTTCAAGGAAGCCCACTGTCCATAACAGGGCTCCTTAAAAGATCTCCATTTTGCCTATTTGAAACATGGCTTTTTCCACCAGAATAAAGGGAACCTACCATTTACCAGGCAATGTTCAGGTGTATGATGTAAGGATCCCTGCATAATC